CAATATTATATTAATCTTATACCAAGAGCAAACTTGCCTTATTATATTAATCTTATACCAAGAGCAAACTTGTCTAACCTTCCACATTTTAGGATGATTTTAGAAGAATATTGAACAAGTCGAAGAGTTATTAAGTATATGATTGATAAGAGAAAGTATGAGCCCATGCTCTATGTTTGCTCTACTTGTTTCAAAGAAAGATGGAAGTTAACAGATGTGTGTCAACAATAGAGCTATCAATAAGATAGAGTACAGATTCTTAATTCCATGCCTAGATGACATGTTGGATATACTTTGTGATTTTAAAATTTTCTCAAAAGTTGACTTTAAAGAGTGAATATCATCATATTTGAATTCGACCAAGAGATGAGTGGAAGACTATATTTAAAACCAAGGTACATCTTTATAAATGGTTGGTTATGCATTTTGGCTTATCCAACATCCCTAATATATTTATGAGAGTGATGAATCAAGTTCTGAAACCTTTTATTAGATTTTTTTTTTTTTTTGATGACATTCTTATTTAAAATATTATAGAAGAAGAACACATTAAATATCTCATATTAGTATTTGAAGTATTACATCAAAATGAATTATACATTAACTTGAAGAAATATGACTTCATGATTGTTAGTTTGTTATTCTTAAGATACATTATAAGTACAAATAGGATCAAAGTAGATGAAGAAACGGTGAGAGATATAAAAAATTGACCAATATTGACCACAATTATCAGGTTCAAAGCTTTCATGGGTTGACACCATTTTATAGAAGATTCATATGAAATTTTAACTCAATAATGTCTCTAGTTACTGAATGTATTAAAAATTATAATTTTCAATAGACTCATGAAGCTAGTAAAAGTTTTATCATGATAAAAGAAAATTTTATTTTGCTCTTGTTTTAGCTTTGCCAAATTTTGATAAACTATTTGAACTGGAATGTGATGCATCCATAGTTGGCATCAGAGGTGTACTATCCCAATAAGGTTGAACATTTTGCCAAAACAAACAACATATAAATTATAATTTTATGATGTGGTATGTGCTTTACAAATATGAGAACACTACTTGATTTAGTGAGAGTTTATTTTCTATACTGATCATCAAGATATTAAATTAGTCAATAGTTAGAATTCTATCAATATAATGTATGTAAGATGAATTTCTTTTATTCAATGTTTTACTTTTGTTATTAAACATAAGTTAGAAAAATTGAATCAAGTTGTAGATACTCTTAGTAGGAAAACAACATGCTTGGTGAACATGCTGAGATCACATGATTTGACTATCTCAAGAAATTATATTTAGACGATAATGATTTTTTTCAACAATATATAATATGTATATTAGGACTATCAACTAAAGGCTTTCACCTACATGATGGTTTCTTATTTCGAGGAACATAGTTATGTATTCATCGCAGCTCTTTAAGAGAAAAACTATATGAATTACACTCTTCAGATTAAGTAGGATAGTTTGGTTGAAACAAGGTTCCAAAAAGAATACAATACAATACAATATATATGAATTCAAAGAAAAAGACTTCCTACTAGATTGGATGTAGGACAGTTTGGTTGAAACAAGACCTTACAATTAATTGATTGGCCCAAATTAAAAATATATATAGAAAATTTTGTTAGTAAATGCCAGATTTATCAAACCTACAAAGGACAAAGTCAAAATACTAGATTATACACTCCATTGTCGGTTCTACAATATTATTGAGTTGATATTTTTATGGACTTTATATTAGGTCTACTGTGAACACAAAGAGGTTGACTCAATTTTTGTGATTGTTGATAGATTTTCAAAAATGATGTATTTCATTGCATGTAAAAAGACAATGATGTAAGTCAAGTAGTAAATCACTTCTTCAAAGAAATTATTCATCTACATGGAATTCCTAAGTCAATTACATCTAATAGAAATTCTAAACTTATATCTCACTTTTGACAAACTCTTTGGAAAAGGTTTAACACATTTTTAAAATTCAATAGTATTAGTCACTCACAAACTGTCAGTCAAATTGAAATTGTGAATAGAACTCTTGGCAATTTAATTCATTGTATTTCAGGAGAAAAACCAAAATAATAGAATTAGACTTTGGCTTAAGTAGAGTTTACATATAATTTGATGATTAATCACTCGACTAACAAATCTCTATTTTCAATAGTATATTATTTTTCTCTAATAATTTTATTAAATCTATTACAAGTATCACGATTAGTTGGAACTAGTATTACTAAAAATAATATAATAGATCATATCAAAACAATTCATGAAATTGTGATACACAATCTCACAATAAATTATAAGAAATATAAAATAGCAATAGATAAAAATAAAAATAAAAGATATTTGAAGTTGGAGATAGTGATAGTATAATGGTGCAAATAACAATTCTCAACATGTAGCTACAATAAGTTGAAGTCAAAAAAATATAAACTATATCAAGTTCTACAAAAGATGAATGACAATACATACCTCATTCAACTCCCACCTAATATGACTATTTTACCCACATTCAATGTCAGTGGCATATATGAGTATTATGACGATTCAAATAAAGACTTGAAGATGAAGTTTCTTGAAGGAAAAGATACTAATGTAACTCGAGTCACAAGTTAAAGTCTCAACTTTGAATTTAGTCCACTTATCCTAAATTTGAGTCCTAAAGTGAAAAAGGGGGCCCACATATGTCACTAGTGGGCTGGAGGTTTGAAAAGTAATATTTAATGTTCTACTTTATGTCCTTTCATTTTTAGAGGTCACTTTATGCCTCTTCTTTTCTAGAAGGGACTTTAATGTGATTTAGTCTGTACCTAAGATTTATTAAGAATCTTCAACTGTTAGAGTCTATACCTAAGATTTATTTAGTAGATCTATATGCCAAAGTCTTTTTCAGGTCATTTTAGAGTTAATTAAAGTATTCCTAGGAGATCTGTTTAAGATCTCAATCTATTAGAGTCTATTTTAAGTCAATTCAAAGCTAGTCAGACTCTATCCCCAAGATCTATTAGGGCTCTACTTTTGGGAGTACCCCACCTCCTTTCTAAGCCTATATAAAGGCCCCTATTGGAACTTGAGGTCTTCACTTTTTTAGTTGAACCAATTTCTCTACTATGAGAACCTTTCTATTTTACTTGTAAATTCAAGCACCCCCTTGTGAATTCAAGGGTTGAAGACTCCAAATTTATGAATTCAGAAGTTAGATTTTTCTCTAAGATTTGAGATTTGTGGATTCAAGCCCAAATCTTGTTTATCTTTCACATTACTATTGTGTCAAAATTAAATCTCCAACGTAATAATTTTCCTATAAGAAAATAAAGAAATTAGGTGTTCCATTCACAGTCAAAATCATCTTAAAATCAGTCAATTCTTGATAATCTATTGATTTTCTCTCATCTTATCATTACAACTTTGTCTAGCCATCCCCAAGGCATTTGCTCCATATCCTCTTACCATCTATATAAGGAAAAAATATGGAGATTGTGGTCATAAAGAATAACATATTAAAATTTATTAAAACATGCAAATTTAATTTTTTAAATTTATACACATTGTGTAAATGCTTTTTACATATTATGTAAAAGCATAAATATAATTTTTTCATAAGGTAAACTAAGTTTTTTCAACCAATTTCCCTAGTTCATATCATGTGATTTAGTGAATTATCTGTCTTTTTAAAAAGATTTCTTGAAGATCCATTGATTCAGTCAATCCTTGACAAAATAAAAATTAGAGAGAATGAGGTGACACATATACAACTACTACAAAAACAAAAACTTGACTATGTTTACACAAGAAAGTGATGGATATAGAGATAAAAATAAAATATTAAAATAGAAGCCCAAGAACTTTATAGGTAACTAATTGTAACTTATGAAACATATATTTCAGACTTACAAGTTGTTGGGTACTTCAACACCATCAAATTTTTGGCAACCCTCTCATCCAAATTATGGAGCACTTTAAATGTGGAAAAGATGGAGTTCACATCATCAACATAGTTTCATAAACACAAAAAATAGGCATGAGCACCACACTACCCAAAGAAGGATGTTTTCCTTCCTTTCTAATGGATATATCAAATGTTATATGAGAGTGAATCATAACTTCTAAGGCAACAAAAACTTACTTTTCACCTTTTTGAGAAAGCAAGTTGTTAGAAAATAGTATACTATAGTATAGTACCAATAATTTGATATTTAATAAGAAGATAAATAATTATACATACCCACAATGCAAAACCATAGAAAAAGTTGAATGAAGAATTTATACCTTAGTATTATTAAATAAAAACTCACAAAATAACTTGCAATGTACTTAGTAATTGACGTGACTTAGTCGTTGTATAGTAAATCATGCAAATTTAAAATTTATAAAACTAGAAAATATGAATTTTTAGATATTTAAAAGTATTTCTAAACAAATATATCAATTACAATTCAATAAAACTTCCAAAAATAGCAGTAATTTTCCAAGTTGATCACAAGGATGTAATATAATATCGGGTAATTATTCAGAATTTTCTTCAAAGAATACTATTTTATATAAATTTTACATTAGGAAATAAAAATTAAATATATTTAAAATTCACAAAAAAAGAAAATAAGGGTGCGGACATCAAGATAACATCAGTGCTTGGTGAATGTGAATCAGGCTGAAATAGAGTTCTGCGTGGTGATTCTTACATAAGCGATTACACACGATTTAATTGATCAAATTAAGATCTGTAAAAGCCAGAAGAATCGTAATTGAATGAAGTATATCTTGATAAATTTAAATCACATAAATTATCACTAAATGAAGTAAAAATTAAGTTGAAAGTAGGAAAATAGAGTTCTGACGTCGCAGCAGTGATGCATCGGTGATGCATTAGAATCTTGAGCATTCAGGAGGATCGTCGTGTAATGTCCATGGCCTCAAAGGCTCTCTTTGGACAATGACGATGTGGGCAATCTTTAGATCTCCTTGCGAAGTCTAGAGATCAATGAAATGGGTAGTCGAATCATCTCTGGCGACTGTCACCCAGCAGAGCAGAAAAATGGTGACTTTACAATGGCTGTCGCCCGACGGAGAGGAGTTGGATGGAGGTGGGGCATGTGTCAGGGAGCTTTATCCTTAGGTCCGCGCAACAAGAGATGGCTCTTCATTACATCCGGTACACTCTCAGGAGGTGGCAACTCGTCTCCCAACGGATCATCCTCTTCTCGACGACAACTTGTTCGTCGATTAATCAGAGATGCTTTACTCGACGGATTTGCGATCCTTTTATCGTAAATCGTTTAGTAATTTTAGTAACAATGCTCTACCAATTACGTTGATGAGATTTTTGCTAATGATCTAGTGATTCTAGTAGTTTAATCCTTTACCGGTGATCTGTAGGAAAGTCGTGATAATTAGATAAAAAATATGAGTTTTGACTCTAGGAGGATTCGAACCTACGCCAGTTACCTGCCTATATGAGAGAGATTGACATAAGTACTCTAATGCTTTTATCAAATGACGTCATCATGATATATCTCTATTATAAATAAGAGATATTGTAGGTATTAAAATCATCGAAGCCTTACTGAGGAAGGTTTGATCGGGTTTAGTACCACATCGCTTGTGTGCCGAAGTTTGCAAGTAATATTACATTTGCAAGTAAGTCCCTTTCTCCCACGTGTACGACCACTTCTTACCCCACACCCGACTGGTCATCAGTGACATGAAAGGAGAGTGGCGCACACATGCCCCTATCGGTCCTAGCTGCTCAAGCCCTTGCTCGCGGCTCCTCCTCGATTACGCTTTCAACTTGCTTGCAGGCCCAGTTGGCCTGCAAGTACCCCCCATTTTGCTATATTTTTATTTTTATTTCTTTTTCTTCATTTATCTCAAAAGTAAGACTGTAAAAATCATATAAATTCGTATAAAATCACATCATTAGCCAAAAATTCACGTTAATCAACTGAAAACCACTTTTCACACTTTAACATAAATATAAGTCTATTTATCATGAGTTAAGGTAAAACTATATTATTTACTAATTATTAACTCATGATAATGACTTATCAATGACATATATCATTTACTAAGTCATTACGGTAATAGTTGTTGCTAAAATGATAAACAAGTCTAAAAAGGTCCCTAATAAATAGAGCAAATACGCATTCAAATGCAACAAATTTTCAATTGATTATGCGCAAGTGAACCTTCGCATTGACCATTAAGATTCAACCATTGGCCTTTGGCTACTCACATATTCCCATTCACTTTTTGCCGTATGTTTGGGCAATGAAGGGCCAAATGTCATGAACAAATGAAGAAAGTTTGCCTAACACTATCCTTGTGGCCCCAAAAGCTAAAGTTTTTCTGGTATGTCATATAAACATGTTTGGCTAGACAAATTGAATCCCCTAAATGACTTGGTTGCCTAGTCAATGAGGCAGGCTTTTAAAAACCATGCAATCCACTATGGTATACAATTTGATACTTTGGGATTTCTTCTACAACATTTTCAAATTGAAATGCAGATATAGTTTACTCTTCTCCACCAATTCCACTTCATTGTTTGATTAGAAAAATGAAGTCAACATCAAGGATATAGATGAGTTCAAGGCCTTCTTCCCACTCCGCTCCATTTAAAAAGGAAAATCATGTTAATAAAGAGTAGCATTCGAACATGGTTCATTCCATTGGCATTGGTTACTCTAACTGATTCAGCAACAATCAAATGCATACCATTTCATCTGAAAATGTAAATTTCACAACAAAATGACGAAAGCCTTGACCCAAAAATTACGAATCAACATCACATGATGACCACACTGCATTTTGGTCTTCATGCATATCTAGGGGGAAAATTCAACTCTCAATAGTGAATGAGACATCCAAGTGAAAGAACCAATGGTGCAAATGTTGAGGCTGACCAAGTGGCCTTCCCAACCAATCTAGCTTCTCGAGTTTGCAAGATGGGATAGTAGAGGCCTCGAAACAATAATATGTTACCTTGAGGCAGAAAATTCCCAATAAAGCATCACCCCATATTATTTTTTTCTATAATTAATATATCATACCAATTATGATTTTTTTTGAAGTTGCTCTCTCCCTTTTTCCAATAGATGGCAACTCCACCTCTCTCATTGACCATCATATCATTGCCACCTTGCTCAAGTACCCTTGCTCAAGTACCCTTGCTCCCCACATGATGACAATCTATACTTACTCTGAATAGGATGGGGTTGATGATACTTTCTAATATTCAACTTTTTCTCTAAATTTTCAGAGTATTTTCTAATGAGATGGCCAATAGTGTTAGATTTTTAATTTATTTTTTAGGTAATTTGAAGCATAATAATAACAAAATAATAATATTCATACATTAAGATCAACATTTTTTATTTCATATAATGTTAAAGTATGTTATTTACCATCTAGATGATTTAATAGTGTCAATAGGCCAACATGTCCTACTAATTTATGTAATGCCTAGATCAAGGTTGTTCAATAGTGGTATCAGACTCTTGACCCACTAAAGTCCATTATCTCTCTCTCTCTCTCTCTCTCTCTCTCTCTCTCTCTCATCTCTCCTCTCTCTTCTATAAGTGTCATGTATTCTATCTTGAGGGTGTATGGATTTCAAGACTTTTCCTTCTCGTGTCAACATGGTATCAAAGCCCTTGGTATCTCTTGTTGTCCCCTCCTCTTTGGTGCATCACTCTCCTTCTCAACAGCCTCTTCCCTCCTTGAGTGGCTCTTCAACACTACCACTCTTCCCTTTTTCGGCTTTGTCGTCTCTACCATCGCTCTCCTTCTCCTTTCAGCATCACCCACGTCATTGCCATTGCCTCTCACTAGTGCCATTACTCTCCTCTTCTTCTTTGGCGTCTCCACTATCGCCTCACCATCAAGGCCCCTGATGTGACTTAGTCGTTGTATATTAAATCACGCAAATATTAAATTTATAAAACTAGAAAATACGAATTTTTAGATATTTAGAAGTATTTTTGAACAAATATATCAATTATAATTCAATAAAACTTCTAAAAATAGTGATAATTTTCCAGGTCAATCACAAGAATGTAATATAATATCTGGTAATTATTCAGAATTTTTCTCTGAGAATAATATTTTATATAAATTTTATACTAAGAAATAAAAAGGAAATATATTTAAAATTCACGAAAAAAGGAAATAAGGGTGCAGGCGTCAGGATGACGTCAACGCCCGGCGAACGCGAATCGGGTGGAAACAGAGTTCCACCTGGCGATTCTTACGTAAGCGATTACAGACGATTTAATTGATCAAATTAAGATCTATAAAAGACGGAAGAATCGTAATGAAATGAAGTATATGTTGGTAAATTTAAAATCAACAAATTATCACTAAATGAAACAGAAATTAAGTTGAAAGCAGGAAAACAAAGTTCCGACGTCGCGACGGCGATGCACCGGAATCCTGAGCGTTTGGGAGGATCATCGTGTAGTGTCCACGGCCTTGAAGGCTCTCTTTGGACAAAGACGACGTGGGCAATCTCTAGATCTTCTCGCGAAGTCTAGAGATTAATGAAATGGGTCGTCGAGTCGTCTCCGGCAGCTGTCACCCAGCGGAGTGGAAAAACGGCGACTTTGCAGCTCTTCGGCGGCTGTCACCTGACGGAGAGGAGCTGGATGGAGGTGGGGCGCGTGTCAGTGAGCTTCATCCTCAGGTCCGCGCAGCAAGAGGAGGCTCTTCATTGCATCTGGTATGCTCTCAGGAGGTGGCGACTCGTCTCTCGGCGGATCATTCTCTTCCCAACGACGGCTTGTTCGTCGATCAATCGGAGATGATTTACTCGATGGATTCACGATCCTTTTATCGCGAATCGTTCAGCAATTTTAGTAGCAATGCTCCGCGAATCGCATTGACGAGATTTTCGCCGATGATCCAGCGATTCTCGTTGCTTAATCCTTCACTGGCGATCTGCAGAAAAGTCGCGATAATCAGATAAAAATATATGACTTTTGACTCTAAGAGGATTCGAACCCGCGCCGGTTGTCCGCCCCTTCTGAGGAAGGTGTGACGCGGGTTTAGTCCCACATCGGTTGTGCGTTGATTTTTCGGGTAAATCTATAGTAATGTTACATTTCTAAGCAAAGTTCATTCTCTCGTGTGTACGACCACTCATTGCACCACAGCCGGCTGGCCACCAGTGACGTGGAAGGCGAGTGGCGCACACGTGCCCCTGTCGGTCCAAGCCGCTCGAGCCCCTACTTGCAGCTACTCCCTAACTGAGCTTCTGACCCGCTTGCGGGCCTGGCTGGCCGGCGGGTCCCCCCCTCATTTTGTCTTATTTTTATTTCTTTTTCTTCATTTATCTCAAAAGCAAGACTATAAGAATCATATAAATTCATGTAAAATCACATAATTACCAAAAAATTCACATTAATCAACTGAAAACCACTTTTCACACTTTAACACAAATATAAGTCTATTTATCATGAGTTAAGGCTAAAACTATATTATTTACTAATTATTAACTCATGATAATTAAGACTTATCAGCCCCTCCTTGTTGTCATGCCCTCTTTGTCACACCATTGTAGGCGTCATCGCTCTTGGGTGCCGAGGGTGTTGCTGTCACTGTCGAGGTCCCTCCTTGCCATCATGCCCTTGCTGTTGCACCCTTACCGTTGCTCTCTTGTTGTCGCACCCCAGCCCTCGCCATCGCCATTGCAGGCGCTGTTGAAGTCCAGCTGCGGCGGCTAGGGTTTCGCCCATCTCCGAGTGAGCTAGTCAGTAGTTCTTCCAAACCGGCCCACTCAGGACTAGCCCAGCCAGACCTGCCAGCCCTGTGTAGACCCACAGGCCCAACACGGCCCAACTAGTCCAGTGTGGCCCAGCCAGCCCTAGCCAGCTCTATCATGCCCTGCCAGCTCTACCTACTACTCCAGATCAGCCCATCAGGCCTCGACCTGCTCACCTCAGCACCTGCCCTCTAGCTCAGACCCACCGGCCTCATGGTGTCATCTCATCCCCCTCCGTTGCCTACCTCTGAGCCCTCTGAGCTTCTTCTGGCTAGTGTTCTCCTTTCTCCAATAGTTCCTTCAGTTTGTCACTTCATCACAGTACAACTTACTTGGTCGGCGTACATCTTTGATAAGTTTTTATTATCATGAGTTAATAATTAGTAAATAATATAGTTTTACCCTTAACTCATGATAAATAGACTTATATTTGTGTTAAAGTGTGAAAGTAGTTTTCAGTTGATTAACGTGAATTTTTGACTAATTATGTGATTTTATAAGAATTTATATAATTTTTATAGTCTTACTTTTGAGATAAATGAAAAAAAAGAAATAAAAATAAAAATATAGTAAAATGGGGGGTACCCGCCAGCCAACTAGGCCCGCAAGCGGGTCGAAAGCGCAATCGAGGAGGAGCCGCGAGCAAGGGCTTGAGTGGCTAGGACCGATAAGGGCACGTGTGTGCCACTCTCTTTCCACATCACCAATGGCTAGCCAACTGTGGGGTAAGAAGTAGTCGTACACGTGGGAGAAAGAGACTTCTTTGCAAATGTAATATTACTATATATTTACCCAAAACTTTGGCGCACAAGTGATGTGGGACTAAACTGACGTCACACCTTCTCCAGAAAGGCTTCGATGATTTTAATACCTACAATATCCCTTATTTATAATAGAGATATACCATGATGACGTCATTTGATAAAGACATTAGAGTACTTATGTCAATCTCTCTCATATAGGCGGGCAACCAGCGCAGGTTCGAATCCTCTCAAAGCCAAAACTCATATTTTTTATTTAATTATCATGACTTTCCTGCAGATTGCCAATGAAAGATTAAGCTGCCAAAATCGCTAGATCATTGGCAAAAATCTCGTCAACGTAATTGGCAGAGTATTATTACTAAAATTGTTAAATGATTCGCGATAAAAGGATCGTGAATCCATCGAGTAAAGTATCTCCGATTGATCGACGAACAAGCCGTTGTTAGGAGGAGGATGATCTACCGGGAGACGAGTCGCCACCTCTTGAGAGTGTAACGGATGCAATGAAGAGCCTCCTCTTGCTGCACGGACCTGAGGATAAAGCTCTTTAACACGCTCCCCACCTCCATCCAGCTCCTCTCCATCGGGTGACAGCCGCTGGAGAGCCGCAAAGTCACCGTTTTTCTATTCCGCCAGGTGACAGCCGCTAGAGACGATTTGACCACCCATTTCTTTGATTTCTAGACTTCGCAAGGAGATCCAGAGATTGCCCACATTGTCCTTGTTTAAAGAGAGCCTTTGAGGCTATGGACACTACACGACGATCCTCCCGAACGCTTAGGATTCTAGTGCATCACCGATGCATCGCTGCTGCGACGTCAGAACTCTGTTTTTCTACTTTTAACTTAATTTTTGCTTTATTTAGTGATAATTTGTGTGATTTAAATTTATAAAGATATATTTCATTCAATTACGATTCTTATACTTTTACAAATCTTAATTTGATTAATTAAATTATCTCTAATCACTTACGTAAGAATCGTCGGGCTGAACTCTATTTCTGACTGATTCACGTTCACCAAGCACTAACATCATCGTGATGTAGACACCCTTATTTCCCTTTCTTTGGGAATTTTAAATATATTTCATTTTCATTTCCTAGTGTAAACTCATAGAAAATAGTATTCTTTTAGGAAAATTCTGAATAATTATCTGATATTATATTACATTCCTGTGATCAACTTGGAAAATTACCACTATTTTTGGAAGTTTTATTGAATTATAATTGATATAGTTTTTCAGAAATACTTCTAAATATGTAAAAAATTGTATTTTCTAGTTTTATAAATTTTAAATTTACGTGTTTTACTATACAATGACTAAGTCACGTCAAATTTTGGTGCCGTTGCCAGGGATGTATTACATAATTTTTCATATTTTTCTATTTTTCTCTAAGTACATAAAAAAAACTCTTATTTTATTTTCTTTTTGTCAAGTTTTTTTAAAAAAAATGAATGAAGAGAAGCAAGGTAAGGACTGGAGCATACTGAAGGAGGGTAACAATTACTAAACTTTTTTCCTTAAATTTATTGATTTTTTTTATGCATGGTAGAAGATCCTTACATCTAATACTAGAAAATCCTTTCATTATTTCATTCAAAATTAAAAATCTAAAAGGAAAATTAATTTTGATGAATCTTGAAGGAAGTACAGGTCAAACTGAGAACAATCCTATAGCCATAAAAAATCATTATATCTCTGATTCATTTCAAAGAGCATCTAATATTAGAGTCCCATTAACACCCACTGTTAAATTCAAAATAAATATAAGAATTTTTCAAATGCTCCCTATTTTTCATGGATTGCCTTTAGAGGAACCTTATCAACACTTAAAAAATTTCATATGGTTTGTGATTTAGTTAATTTCCCTCAAGTTACACCGAAAATTATTAAGATGAAATTATTTCTTCATACACTTAGGGAAGAAACTAGTCATTGGCTATCCACATTAGATAGAGAATTAATTAACTAGAAAGACATAGAACATGCCTTTCTTCGAAAATTTTATCCTTTAGAAAAAACTCAAAATATGAGAAAACATATGGAGTTTTTCTCAAAGACTAGGAGAACTTTACATGAGACATGAAAAAAATTCAAAGATTTATTATGATAATTTTTTTAGAACAACATAGAAACATGGTTGATTCTATATGTGGAGGAGTTTTTATGGAGAAAACCCCTGATCAGATTTATAGTCTTTATGAGAATTTAAGTGAAAATTTTAGAGATTAAGTCTCTTTTGAATTATATGACAAGGATAAGAAGAGAGGAATTTATGAATTGCATCATGATGATGATTCTAATTTAAGAAATGAGATTAATCAAATTAATCAAATATTAGAAAAACTTGATTTACTTATTGAGAATATTAGAAAGCCTCCTAACCTTCAATTGAATGCATATAGTGCTTGTCCTATGTATGTATAATGAAAATGATCATTTCGAATTTCAATATTATAATTTAGATCAATCATTTCATCCTAGATAAAAACAAGTGCAAGTACCCCACGATTTTAGTAAAAATAAGAAATATTTTTCTAATTCTTATAATCCTAATTAGGGGAATAATTTTTCTTGGAGAAACTCAAATAATATTCAAAATCCAAAAACACTTACATCCAATTCAAATTTTGAATTTCATCCAAAACAGGAATACATATTTCAAAAAAATCAACCCTCTCAAATCCAACCTGATGTTATGAAAATGATGCAGCAAATGAGTTAAATGATGTAAAAAACTATAAATCAAATGATATTGTACTAAAAAAAATTTATAAAGGCTTTTGAGAATAGGAGAGAAGAAGGACAGCTACCCAATTAGCCCATAGAAAATTTAGGAAACTGTCCAATAGTAAGATTTCAGCAAGGAGAGTATAGTTGGATAAATTTAAGAAAAAACCCACAAAATGAAAATATTAGGACAATGAATACATTGAGTGAGAATATTTTACCTGATCTTTATTTCCAATTATTAGAAGAAATCGATGAGCCATTAGAAGTAAATGAAAATATTAAGGCTGAAAATATAGTAACAGAAAATTTGAATAAAATTAGTTATTACTCACAATTGATGAATGAATATAGTAAGGATGATGAGGAGAAAGAGCTCTTATATGAAGAAACAACAGTTGATTATGGAAAAATCATTCAAATTTTAGTAGAAGGGAGTAAGGACAGAAGTAAAGAAAAACATATTTCAGTTGAGGAAAAATCAATTGATTTGGGAGATGTAGGAGACAAAATTAATAAATCTAATCATAAATTTGTAGCCATGGATGTTGATATTGAGGATGATGATGTATATCATATATCGAAATTAGAAGATAGCTCTTGGGAAGATGAAGAATTTGATGAGTTGAGAAATGAAAAGCTAGAAAAAGAGTTGATTCAACTAATGGGGAGAAACGAAAATAATAAATATGAATATAAAGATAATTTTAGAAGAGAAAATTTAAATTTTACTGAATTCATTAGATATAAGATTAAAGAAGACAATCTTTCCATCCTTCAAAACCCACAGCCCATTAGATTTATTTATAAGCTTGAAATATTTCACTCCTCGCAAATTGAACAAATATGTAGGGAAGATAAAATGGAGCAGAGGAAGATTATGCAGATAAAAGAACACATTAAGAAATGAGTGCATAGAAGAATTAGAGATATCAATTTAGATGAAAAAATTCTAGACTGAGTAAGAGCTAATTTGAAAATTATATGGTTTGATCAAATTTTATGGTCTATTAATAAAAAGTATTTATTAATGAATAAGAGCCTTCCAAAACAAGATAGAAATGAGGAAAGATTCTTTTCAAAATGAAAATATTATTTTTGAGAAAATTTTATTAATTTCTATTTTTTTTTGGCTGAAAGTATGTCAAGGTATATATATGAAGTATATGAATTTGTGCTAAATCTGAAAAAGAATATCATGAAACTTACCTTGGGATACAAATATATTTTGATGGCCATAGATCATCTTATATGATCTAAGAGCTGTCCAACTGAAGACATTAAATTCAGCGCTGCATGGAAGGCAACCCATGATTTTTATTTAACTCTATTTGATATATTTTTTTAAACTCTATTTTTCTTAAAATTTCGTAGTATTTATTTCTGCATTTGTTTGTTTTCAAAAAAGTGCAGGAGGAGAAGTGTGAGATGAAGTGGAAAATTAAAAACGAGGTTGAGGTGATGTCTTTCTGAGCTTTATCATTTATGACAACATTTTTAATGCTTCACTTGAAAATTATATTTTTTGTATATTCTGTTTCAATTTTTCTATGTCATTGAGAACAATGTCATTTTTAAGTTGGGAGGTGAAGTATTAATTCTTAATTTATGCTGTAGGACGATTAAGAACAAGTGTTTGGATTTTTTTTATGCTCACTTAGAACACCGACTAAAAAAAATAAAAATCGAATAAACTACAACATCTATTTTCTGGTTTTCTGTTAGGAACAACAGATTGTCAAAAAAAGCAGACAAAAAATAGCTCGAAATTTAAAATTCTAGAGACCCTTTTTTCACATTTCAATCCCCTAGACATATATTACTAAAATTCGAAATTACAGCTATAAAAAGGATAGTTTTGATTTATTTTTGACAAATTTATTGTTGTTAAAAATAGAACTGAAAACAGAAAATAGAACTATTAGAACTATCTAATTTACAAATTTCTTACATCATATTATATGCATGAAAAATTAAATTAATTAGATTGATTGATACCAAAAGATACTAAGAAGGTTATTATTGAGTCAAAAGAATGATTTAGTAGCATGAAATGTTGGAATACTCCTTAGATACATGATAGATAACATGAATTTGATTTTATAGATTTTCACTTCATGATCTTGATAGATAATATTTACTTGATGTGAAAATTTGATTGATCATTTGAGTTTAATAGAGATTTTTACACCTTGACCTATAGGACTTGTGAGGAAAAATCACTTATTTCAAAAAAAAAAAAGAGAGCAATGTGAAAAATCTAGAAACGAAGAGTACACATAGAGGGTGTGAGACATCATTCTCATGGTCGAAAATAGTGCATAGAAAAATATTTGCTGCAAAATAAGTGGATAAAGTGAAAGCCTTGAAAATGAAGAGTACACATGGAGGATGTGAGACATCATTCTTATCGTCAAAATTTGTCTACAAGAAAAGCTACTTATCCACTATATATATAAAATAAAATAAAAGAAAGAAGAAATATAGTGCAAACTTCAAAAATCAAGCCATGGAAAAAGGAAAATGTAGGATCAATATTATTCTTAGATGAGTATTGATAATTAAAATATCTTGTAAATATATCTATGAGTGAAGAAGTGATAAAGATGTGAATAGAAGAAGTGAAGTCTAGATTGTTATTCCAAGGAGTGCTTAAATATTTAAGTGCTTGACATCATTCTTAAATACTTCATATAAGAATCCAAAGTGTCTAAAGGTGCATCATTTCTAATTGTATTTTTTTTTATGCATTGAAATATGATGTTTGAGATTTGTAAATTTTTATTTTCTTAATTCTATTGCTAAGGGACTAACAATGATTTAAGTTGGGGGGTGTGATAAGTCTTTATTATCATGAGTTAATAATTAGTAAATAATATAGTTTTTTCCTTAACTCATGATACATAGACTTATATTTGTGTTAAAGTTTGAAAAGTAGTTTTCAATTGATTAACGTGAATTTTTAGCTAATTATGTGATTTTCTATGAGTTTATATGATTTTTATAGTCTTACTTTTGAGATAAATGAAAAAAAAGAAATAAAAATAAAAATATAGCAAAATGAGGGGTACTCGCCGGCCAATTGGGCCTGCAAGCGGATCGAAAGTGCAATCGGGGAGGAGTCACGAGCAAAGGCTTGAGCGACTAAGATCGATAGGGGCACATGTGCACCTGTCCTTCCACGTCACTAGTGGCCAGCCGGCTATGGGGTAAGAAGTGGTCGTACATGTGGGAGATAGAGACTTGCTTGTAAATGTAATATTACTATGTATTTACTCGAAACTTTGGCGCACAAGTGATGTGGGACTAAACCCGCATCACACCTTCCCCAGAAAGGCTTTGATAATTTTAATACCTACAATACCCCTTATTTATAATAGAGATATACCATGATGACGTCATTTGATAAAGACATTCGAGTACTTATGTCAATCTCTCTCATATCGGTAAGCAACTGGTGTAGGTTCGAATCCTCTCAGAGCCAAAACTCATGTTTTTTATTTGATTATCGCGACTTTCCTACAGATCGTCGGTGAAAGATTAAGCTGTCAAAATCGCTAGATCATCGACTAAAATCTCGCCAACGTAATTGGCGGAGCATTGTTATTAAAATTGTTAAACGATTCACGATAAAAGAATCGCGAATCCGTCAAGTAAAGTATCTCCGATTGATCGATGAACAAGCCGTCGTCAGGAAGAGGATGATCCGTCGGGAGACGAGTCGCCACCTCTTGAGAGCATATCGGATGCGATGAAGAGCTTCCTCTTGCTGCGCGGACCTGAGGATGAAGCTCTTTGACATGCACCCCACCTCCATCCAGCTCCTCTCCGTCGAGTGACAGCCGTTAGAGAGCCGCAAAGTCGTCGTTTTTCTGCTCCACTGGGTGACAGCCGCCGAAGACGATTCAACGACCCATTTCATTGATCTCTAGACTTCGCAAGGAGATCTAGAGATTGCCCACGTCGTCCTTGTCCAATGAGAGCCTTCGAGATTGTGGACACTGCACGACGATCTTCCCGAACGCTTAGGATTCTAGTGCATCGCCGACGCATCGCCGCTACGACACCAGAACTCTGTTTTCTTACTTTCAACTTAATTTCTACTTCATTTAGCGATAATTTGTGTGATTTAAATTTATTGAGATATACTTCATTCAATTATGATTCTTCCGGCTTTTACAGATCTTAATTTAATTAATTAAATCATCTGTAATCACTTACGTAAGAATCGTCGTGCAGAACTCTGTTTTCGCCCAATTCACATTCATCGAGCACTAATGTCATCTTGACGTTCGCACCCTTATTTCCTTTTTTTGTGAATTTTAAATATATTTTATTTTCATTTCCTAGTGTAAAATCTATAGAAAATAGTATTCTTTGGAGAAAATTCTAAATAATTACTTGATATTACATTACATCTCTATGATTGACCTGGAAAATTACCACTATTTTTGGAAGTTTTATTGAATTATAATTGATATATTTGTTTAGAAATACTTCTAAATATTTAAAAATTCATATTTTCTAGTTTTATAAATTTTAAATTTGTGTGATTCAATATACAACGAGTAAGTCACGTCAATCTTCAACGGCCACAATTATACATCATGGGCATCTAGCTTCGAGCTCTTCCTTAGATCTCACAGTCTCCTCCATCACCTCTCGGAAGACCCACCCAACCTTCGAGACCCCTCGTATGCGACATGGACACAGTTCGACTTGGCCCTTATCACATGGATACTTTAGAGTATTGAGCTCAATATTATTGAACTATTGGCACGCATCATCTCGGCCCATCTCTTAAGACTCACTATGAAGACCATGTATGTTAACCGGACAAACATCAGTCATGTTGTGAAGATCTTCGAGTCTCTTCTCTCCTGCAAACAAGGCGATCTCTCTCTTCAGACCCACTACGGTCACCTCTAGGCCCTCATCCAAGAAGTTAATATCTATCAGCCCTCTACTACCAATCGCTTGACCCTCTAGTGCTATCGTCAAGAGCTTTATGTTGGGGTTTATCTTAGTGGACTACATCTGTCCATCACATCCCAAATCCGAGGAGATGTTCTCTCTAGGGATCGCGTGCCTGATCTCACCTCCATCTTCTCAGCAGCCCTTCGGGTTACCATTGGTATGCCCATCTACTCTTCTTCCTCTCTAGGCGCCACCTCTACTCCTTCGACTCTTGTCATTGCTGCTTCACAGGCTCGAGATGATATCCTTTCTTCTCGCCTTGATGGTGGTTGTACTCTTTGCAAATATGGGTGCAACACTGATGGCGAGTGGGACCCATCTCCATCAGCTCAAGAGACACAGGCAGTCCGAGTTCAGCCCGATCGACGTGCGAAGATGAAGGAGCTTGGCTTTCGCTACATGGCCTAGCCCTTCGGGACAACGACATTCCACCTCCGCGACGACGATGAGCTTGAGCTCACCCTTATCTTTCTTTGTATTTTCACGTTGACTTGTTGGGCCTCGCGTTTGTGTGTTAGCAGGCCCAATTCTATGTGTGTGTGTTGTTGTTTGTGTCTCCCTTTCTTTAGAGTTTTATTGGGTCTCTCTCTTGAGGCCCAATTAAAATCCTAAAGGGAGGGACCTATGTTTCTTTCCTTTTGGGCCTCTTTTGGGGCTTATTTGGGTCGTCATTTGAGGCCCACTTAAGCACCGTACGAGGGCCCTCCTCTCTCTCCTTTTAGGGGAGCTTATTGGGTCTCTCTTTTAGAGGCCCAATAAGCCCCTTTTGTAGCCTTTTTGTGGCTTATGGGCTTGAGGGCCTCAAGTGGGCCCACCTCCCCTTAGCCCAATTGTGGGCCCTATATAAGGGGAGGTAGGACCCCCCCCTCAACCCAAAGTGCTGAATTTTGTGAGAGATTATCGTTTGTGAGTTACCTTCTTCGTGACCTAGGGTAGGGAAGGAAGGAGGGAGAGGAAGGCTGTCGATACCCTTTGAGGACTTCATTCATCGTGACGTTGCTACTTGAGAAGTTCCGCCGCCACCTGAGACCAACTACCGCTGCCGGACATCTTCATTGCTGCCCGTGAGATCGCCGCCGTCACCGGACGAAACGGTCGCGGTTGCCGCTGCAACTGCTGCCGCCTCTGCTGGAACCCTGTCATGCCGTCATGACGAAAGGAGCTTGCTTCGCCTCCCTACGAGCCGTCACCAAGCACTCCGCCGGAGTCTCTTGACTCCTAGTTCGACTACCACCTCTTCCTTCGGAACTCCACCATAAACTCGCTGGAGCCGCCATCCGCCGCTCTGCCCAATCACTGGCCGTTTGCCGACGAACACCTACTTGCCGCCAACGTCGGGAGAGACCCTACAGCCGTGCCGACGAGCCAGATCCAGTCCAAGCTCCTCGCAGGCCCCCGCCAGAGTTTCCCAACTGCCGACGCTCGGCATTCCCACCGAAGCGCTGCCGCCATGCGCACCCCGCGCTCCGGCTCTTGTGGCCCGCGTGCCCACCTGGCGCCGCCGCCCACATGCCCCAAGGCATGCCGCACGCACCCGCTAGCATGCCCTTTGGCCCACCAACGGGCCCACACCCGCGCCGACCACACCACGCCTTACGACGACGACTACTACGACTCTCGACCAGAACCGACCGTCGACGCTAAGCATCGCTCTTCACTGGATGTCTCTACTTACGTCGAGTCTCCGCTCCATCATGACCCGCCGAGCTACGCAGCCCTGAAGGTTAGCTCCATACCCCTTCTTACTTAAGTTTAATTATCTTTCGAAGGGTTTTCTCGGCTCATTTCCACCGCCATCAGGAGAATGTAGATAGGATAGGACGGGTTATAGGATCGTGACTTCTGACACTGTGCCAGACTCATCACCATTCGTGAGCTGCAGCCCTAGGCTACTTCACGACGACCGTTCCGCCGTCTATCTGGACGTGGACCGAGAGGGTCTCACACTTACCATCGTTGAGTGTTTTCCCCGGTTGTCTTGAGTTGATAGTGCATATTGGTACACCTGCCTGTACTTAGGTTAGGTGGTCAGACCTAGAGTCTAGGGTCCATACATTCTTATCGGATTGGTCCGACTGCCCCATCCCCGATCTTGAGTTTCATTGATCAGGTACAAGGGTTCTCGCCCCGTCCTGCATCAAACACTTTTCCTCTATGTCCCTATTGTGAGAAGCAGAATCATCCGGCTAGTAAGTGTTTGATAACTGATAAGTCTTCATTATCATGAGTTAATAATTAGTAAATAATATAGTTTTAGCCTTAACTCGTGATAAATAGACTTATATTTGTGTTAAAGTGTGAAAAGCGCTTAGTCGTTGTATATTAAATCACGCAAATATAAAATTTATAAAACTAGAAAATACGAATTTTTGGATATTTAGAAATATTTTTAAATAAATATATCAATTATAATTCAATAAAACTTCCAAAAAATAGCGGTAATTTCCCAAGTCGATCACAGGGATGTAATATAATATTTTTTAATTATTCAGATTTTTTTCTCAATGAATACGATTTTCTATGAATTTTATACTAGGAAATGAAAAGGAAATATATTTAAAATTCACGAAAAAAAAGGAAATAAAGGTGCGGACGTCAGGATGACGTCAGCGCCCGGCGAACGCGAATCGGGCGGAAACAGAGTTCCGTCCGACGATTCTTACGTAAGTGATTACAGACGATTTAATTAATCAAATTAAGATCTGTAAAAGCCGGAAGAATCGTAATTGAACGAAGTATAGTTTGGTAAATTAAAATCACACAAAGTATCACTAAATGAAGCGTAAATTAAATTGAAAGCAGAAAATCAGAGTTCCGGCGTCGCGACGGCGATGCGTCGGCGATGCACCGGAATCCTGAGCGTTCGGGAGGATCATCGTGTAGTGTCCACGGCCTTGAAGGCTCTCTTTGGACAAAGACGACATGGGCAATCTCTAGATCTTCTCGCGAAGTCTAGAGATTAATGAAATGGGTCGTCGAGTCGTCTCCAGCAGCTGTCACCCGACGGAGCGGAAAAACGGCGACTTTGCAGCTCTTCGGCGGCTGTCACCTGACGGAGAGGAGTTGGATGGAGGTGGGGCGCGTGTCAGGGAGCTTCATCCTCAGGTCCGTGCAGCAAGAGGAGGCTTTTCATCGCATCTGGTATGCTCTCAGGAGGTGACGACTCGTCTCTCGGCGGATCATTCTCTTCCCGACGACGGCTTGTTCATCGATCAATCGGAGATGATTTACTCGATGGATTCGCGATCCTTTTATCGCGAATCGTTTAGCAATTTTAGTAGCAATGCTCCGCGAATCGCGTTGACGAGATTTTCGCCGATGATTCAGCAATTCTGATTGCTTAATCCTTCACCGGCGATCTGCAGGAAAGTCGCGATAATCAGATAAAAATATATGAATTTTGACTCTAGGAGGATTCGAACCCGCGCCGGCTGTCCGCCCCTTCTGAGGAAGGTGTGACGCGGGTTTAGTCCCACATCGGTTGTGCGCCGATTTTTCAGGCGAATATATAGTAATGTTAGCTTTTTAAGCAAAGTCCCTTCTCTCGCGTGTACGACCACTCCTTGCCCCACAGCCGGCTGGCCACCGGTGACGTGGAAGGGGAGTGGCGCACACGTGCCCCTATCGGTCCAAGTCGCTCGAGCCCCTGCTCGCGGCTACTCCCCGACTGAGCTTCCGACCCGCTTGTGGGCCGGGCTGGCCGGCGGGTCCCCCCCCCCCCATTTTGCAATATTTTATTTCTTTTTTTTCATTTATCTCAAAAGTAAGACTGTAAAAATCATATAAATTCGTATAAAATCACATAATTACCCAAAAAATCACATTAATCAATTGAAAACCACTTTTCACACTTTAACACAAATATAAGTCTATTTATCACGAGTTAAGGCTAAAACTATATTATTTACTAATTATTAACTCATGATAATGAAGACTTATCACTCCACTTGATGACCTTCATCTCCTTATTGCTTTCCGCAAAGGTACACACGCTTACACCCACTATCTCATCTCTCAATTTGTCTCTTATGACCATTTTTCTCCCTCTTTTCATGCCTTTGCCTTCTCTGTGGCCTTCGAGTCACTTCCACGGTCGTATGTTGAGGCTGCACATGTACCTACATGGAAGGTGGCTATGGAGTCAAAAGTAGCTGCATTGGTCGTTCAGGAGACTTGGCATTTAATTTTTCACCTGACCGATGCCAACATTGTGACGTGCAAGTGAGTGTTTATGCTCAAGTATCACCCATATAGCTCCATCGCTCATCACAACGTTTGTATGGTCGCTCGAGGCTTCACGCAAACATATGAGATCAACTACACTAAGATATTTTCTTCTATTGTCTACCTTAACTCCATCTATGTGTTCCTCTCTTTCGTCGTCAATCAGGTATGATCTCTCCACCAATTAGATATTTCTAACATATTTCTCTACAGTGATCTCATAGAGTAGGTCTTTATAGAGCAACTTCCTAGGTATGTTGCTTAGGGAGAGTCATCAAAGGTGTGTCTTTTATGACGTGTCATTTATGGGCTCAAGCATAGTCCACGTGCTTGGTTCGTTAAGTTTAGTAGTTTACTCACCACCTTCGGCTTCGTCTCTTGTATTGTAGACCCCACCGTGCTCACGAAAAAAATAGAGGGCGGCCTTATCATCCTTATCATCCTATGTCGACAACATTCTTGTGACTGAAAATGATGAGGTCGACATCTCTACTACTAAAACTTACTTGTAGTAGCACCTCAACATTTGTAACTTAGGGACTCCATTGTATTTCCTTGAGATTGAGTTTGTATATCAAGACGGAAAGGTCGCCCTCACTCAATAGAAGTATGCCCCGACATATTTCAGGAGATAGGCCTCCTTAGGTGCAAGTTAGAGACTTTGTTCATAAAAGTTCACCTACAGTTCTATGACACTTCATCTCCCCTACTTGAAGATGTTAATGGGTATCGATGATTGTCGGTCAAGTTGATATATCTCATCGCCACTCACCCTGACATTATGTACATAGTTAATGTATTGAGTCAATTCATTTAAGAGTCTCAATGAGTTTATTAGGAGGGAGTTGTACGAAGCCTCACCTACATCAAGTGAGCTCTATAGAAAAGACTCATTTATCAGTAACACAGTTACCTTTTTTATATTACAGTCTACTCTGACACTGGGTATGTAAGTGACAAAGGTGACTGAAAGTCTATTGTGGGTTATTGCACATATGTCGACAGTAACTTAGTCACTTGACGGTCTCAAAAATAGAAGGTGATGTCCTATTCTAGTGCGGAATCCGAGTATCGAGCCATAGTTGAGATAGTGTGAGAAATGATATGACTTCAATCACTTTTCAATGATCTTGACATTACTTCTCCCTCTCCAATGCCCATGCATTACGACAATCAAATTGTCATCTTCATTACTGATAATCTCACCTTTCATTAGCATACAAAGCACATTGAGATTGATTGTCACTATATTTAAGATAAGATTATCTAGACTTATCTCTATTCTTTATATGACATTATCTCATCAATTTACGGACGTCTTCATGAAGAGTCTAGCCAACATCTCTTATGACATCATGTATACTAAGTAAGACATATTCGACTTATATGCTCTAACTTAAGAGATAGTGTTTAATAGTGGTATCAGATTCTTGGCCCACTATAATTTATTATCTATCTCTCTCTCTTTCATCTCTCCTCTCTCTTATACAAGAGTCACGTATTCTATTTTGCGACTACATGAATTTTAAAATTTTTATCTCTCGTGTCAATAAAGGTTATACACAGTGAAGAATAAATTTTATTTTTAACTGAAAAATTAATTATTCATGGCATCTTTCTCAATACATTTGACATTTGAGTTGGTGTTGTATTTTCAAATAAAATTATTATATTTACGAATGTATTCAATTTAAGTATTATTCATTTTATATAATTAATCTATATATATATATTTATTATATCGTGACCGGAGATTCCTACCGGGGAGATTCCGATAGCAATTACGGATCCATATTGGGTACAGGTAGACTACGCTGCAGTCTCGGGAACCCTTCATCTCTCCCTCCCTCTCCTTTCCCGCAGGTTATTCTACATCAGAGCCGAGGAGCCGGGGAAGAAGGAAGAAGGGAACCGGAGCACGCTAGGTAGGCCTACTTTCTTCTCTTCGATTCTGTGCATATCCCAATCGGCATGTTTCGTTGCTTCTGTCCGACTATGGAGGGCTCTAGAGAAGTTTTCTCGTCTGATTGTTCTGGTTTTCCTCCTTTCTTATTCGTATCTGGCATTTAATCTTTCTCTCGACGTCCACAAGGGTTTTCCGTCACTGGGCTCCTCTGGGGTTCGCATTTTTTGCAGGTGGTCGTCCTTCTGCGTAAGATGTATGCTATTTTAATGGAAATCTGATTGAGGGGAGGTTGTCAGCGGACGTTAGTTCTCATCTTTAGGGTTTGGATTTCAAGAAAAGACATTCGTTGTTGTTTTTAATGTTTATTCACCGATGCATTTCTCCTTCAGCACCACTTGTTAGAAAAGCCCTGACTTAGATCACTGCATATATGTCTGCTTCAACTTCACGTGAAGAAGACTTGGACGTTTACTTGAATCCGCAGGCATATAGCCAGGAAGAAGCCTCGAATTTATTGACGCTTATCTCTTGAGGAGCACTTCCCTTTGCCAAATTGGCTTTTCCTGAGAAGAAGCGAGGATGCTGGGTGGATTGTACGGGGACCTCCCTCCCCCCTCTTCTTCATCCAATGCAACTGATGAGAAGAGTGGAAATAACTCAGCTGTGTGGTCGAGCAGCACCAAGATGGCACCGCCCACTTTGAGGAAACCTTCGTCAATGTTTACAACGCCACCATCTGTGTTGAAAAACCAGCAGTCACAAAGCAAGGCAAAACCTGCTCCCGCACCAGCTATAAAAGCTGCAAGTTCGTCTGTTTTGACTCCCGCATCTTCTGAAAACGGGGGTACAAAAAGCCCATTGTTCCAGCCAGCACTTGTCGGGGTGACATCTACCATAATCGAAGAGTATGATCCCGCAAGGCCGAATGATTATGAAGACTACAGGAGGGAAAGAGCCAGGAAGGCAAAGGAAGCTGCTATACGTAGGGAGCTTGACAATCGGCGTCGGGAAGAAGAGGAGAGAGAGCGAGAACGTGAGCAGAGGGAAAGGGAAGCAGCTGAAAGGGATGCAAAAGATCAAGAGACGAGATCTTCTTCACTGAATATCTCAGGTGAAGAAGCCTGGAGAAGACGAGCTGCATTGAGTGGTGGTGCACCACCAAGGTCACCTTCTCCACCAGCCAATGGAGAAGGTTTCACCATTGGGAAGTCAGGATCTGATGGTCTAGGGCTTGGTGCTGGTGGGCAGATGACAGCTGCTCAGAGGATGATGGCAAAGATGGGCTGGAAGGAAGGCCAGGGGCTTGGAAAGCAGGAACAGGGAATTACAACGCCATTAATGGCTAAAAAGACAGATAGAAGAGCTGGAGTTATTGTCAATGCCAGTGAAACGAAACCAGAGAAGAAACCAAAGAGTGTCAACTTCAATGGCCCACCTACACGTGTTCTGCTTCTTAGAAACATGGTACGCATCTTGAGTTTTTGTTCTTAGTGAGTGCATAATTCATTTCTTAGTCTTTTATGCACCTAATCTTTTAGCAGCTCCTCCTTATATAGGTCTGAATGAGATTGTTTTTTGGTGCACTCATAACCCATCTGTATTTTTAGGCTATATGTAAAATTTGAATCGTGAATGTGATAATTGCCTGCTACACACATAAAATGCACCACGCCAAACAGAAAAAAATTTCATTCACTTATTTGTATCGACTACGTTTACATTGTAATCCGTTCTGTGAAAAAGGTTAGTTTTGTACAATCACTTTTTCCTACATCAATGTGCTTGGCATGGAAACTAGCATACTGTATGCAAACCATCTGTAATCTAAGGCTAGTTTTGGTTACGAAGTTATTTCTATTTGCATCCTTTTTATGCTAAGCTTCTGAAAACAACCTACTTGTGCGATCTTTAGCTGTCCTAGTTTGTTGCCTTGAGAAGATGGTATTTGAGTATGTATTTTTCTCTTCAAATAATGTATTGATATAAGGTGACGTTTAACAATTTAAATCAATTCTCTAGGTTTGCATGAGTTGGAATTCTGTTCTACCTTTAGAGTTTTGAAATTATCTTATATGAAATTGAAATTTTAGTAAATTTTTCGGATTTGTGTTTTTATGCCCATCATGAAAAACATGTATCTAAATATTTATCAAATAATATATGATCGGCTTTGATACTGAGTCTTTAGAAACATTGTTGGTGCATGGTTCTGTGCAGAATACAACCAAAAAGGAACTAAACTTGTCATTTTAGGCACATGAAAACATCAACCTAGGTCTGCAAGGGACATTCAACTTTCGAAGGCTGGGCCGCTGATACAAGAATTTAATTTTGGAGGATCTCTCCTAAGCAGCATTTTTAGGGTTACCTAACTGACCCTAATCTAGATCCCAGTATATCTTAGTCTGACTTTTATGCTTCCTTATATCTTAGTCTGACTTTTATGCTTGATCCCAGTTGAGAATGCTTTTGGTCTGGCTACTCTTATTGCATAAGGAGCGGTCAATGAATGGAAGTCTGGAAGTTTGAAACTTATCTTGACCATATTTTGTACGTGTCTTGTTTAAACGTGTGTGCGATCGTCATTTTGAATGCATGCATGCTTTTGAAGGTGGTAGAAAACTACAATTGTGTATCCAAACTAGACAGTAGAAAGGGTGGATAAATTACGGTGTATAGGTAAATACTGGTTCCCAGGGTGGGCAGCAGAAATCGATTGCAGTGGTAGTACCCTATCTTCAATTGAGTGTTAAACCATCCTCCAATTTAGACTGAGTCGACTTGAAATCGGTTTATTGTGGAGAGTTTGACAATTTTATGGAACGATCTAATATTACATGGATCAGCCACTATCCAACGACAGTGTTGCTGTTGATGAAGAATATTGAAGTGTGGCTCTCTTCGATAAATAAGAGTAGAGGAAAAATAAGCTCACTGGGCGCCGTTGCCAGTTTCCTTTTTCTGCGACCTGACACCCCTGAACACTGCTAATGACCAATATGCCATCCCTTGTAGCTCTGAGCGGTGCTGCACTGCATGTTCTGGGCTGTTCATACATAAGAAACGTTATAAGGACGGGGTTTTGGCATCCAAAATTGGTGACGCTGTTGTTTTGGTTGACTTTCCTTTCCCGAGTATAAATTTACGTGGTCTCATTTTCATTCAAATATCATCTTTTACTGTCTGGATAGGTTTTTGGTACCTACTGCATGCATACAAAATTTTCTCAGATCTTAAGCTATGACACTTCCCAGAACTATTTCAGATCATATTCTATTACCATCGTTCAACAATATCAGGGGTAAATTTTTCTGGTTGTTGAGACATGGTTGATAGTCGATTGTTTTCCCGGTCCCTCAGCTTTGGTTGACAGTTTCTAGTGTGCATTCAAGTGTAGGGTTTATCAAGTTTAGGGGATTAATGACAAATAATTTGGACTGATTTCGGAACTTAACTGTTTCTCAGTAATGAAGAACAATGCAGAATTAGGGCTTCAGGCCTTAAAAATGTCGCCCAGATAGTTTATGGGTAATCCCCACACCTCTTGTCTGATTTGGGCTTCCTTGGTGTCGAGTCCATTGGTGTGGCATCCAAGAGGCAACTTGATATTCCTATCAAGGCAAAGGGGAGCTTGCACCATGTTCGTTTTTGGGAAAAAGAAAAGGAGGGATTATTATGTCAGCACCTCTAATTATTTACTTGGAAAAAAGTAGGCAGAGGCGCATCTTAATATCTGTCCTTCTATTTAGACTCAAGGTAACGTGGGATTCCCCAGTCTGGACTCCAAGATAAAAAACTGGCCTTTTTCCCTTTAGTTGGGTTCTGATGCCAAGGATCTTGCAGTTGGAACGGCCAACAAATTTTCCCTCTGTTGATTATTATTGATCCTTTTCTGAACTTGTATTGATACCTGTCATACCTTCCCGACGTTTCAGTTTTCCTCTTATCTTTTCAGTGCCCCGATTAAAAAAAGTATGACTTTGTTGCTTAGGTGGGATATCTTGATCCTTCTGGACACGTGCCAGTTTTGTTGGGGTGCTTACTAGCTCGTTTTCAGAGTCATTAATCATTTGATATCTTCTTGTTTTCTATGCATCTATCCTAGCATTCTCATTTCTGAGATTTATGATGTTGTGACCTTTGGTTTTGTTTTTAATGTGCTCATCTGCATATTTTCTTGGATTTTGAGACCAATCAATCAACAGCCAGACCGAGCAATTCGGAGATCTGAACGATTCGTATGTCCTTGTTCATGAGATCTGGTCATCAGGAAATATGAAAAAATCTATTTGCCCCTTGTGCATAGCCCTGTCCTCCCTCTTCTTGTTTTCTGTGCATCTATCCTGACATTCTCATTTCTGATATTTATAATGTTGTGCCCTTCGGCGTTGTTCTTAACGTGCTGCTCGTCTGCATATTTTCTTGGATTTTGAGACCAATCAATCAACCGCCAGACCAAGCAATTCGGCATCCGATCATCAGGAAATATGAAGAAATCGATATGCCCCTTGTGCATAACCCTGCCCTCCCTCTTCTCCAGGTTGGGCCGGGGGAGGTTGATGATGAACTGGAAGACGAGGTCGCCTCGGAGTGCTCCAAGTACGGCGTGGTTACCCGCGTGCTGATCTTCGAGATCACAGAGGCGAACTTCCCCCACGACGAGGCGGTGAGGATCTTCGTGCAGTTTGAGAGATCGGAGGAGACGACCAAGGCCTTTGTCGACCTTGACGGGCGGTTCTTCGGCGGACGGGTGGTGAAAGCTTCCTTCTACGATGAGGAGAGGTTCGGGAGGACCGAGTTGGCGCCGATGCCCGGAGAAATCACTGGTTACTGACGCCTGTATCAAGATTGATCAAAATTATTCGTAACCATTTGCTGATGATGCCTTCCCCTTCTCTCATGGAGGCGGGTAAGGGGAGGGGAGGAGACTCTCCATGCATGCCTCACAGGTTGATGGTGTAGAGAGAGGTCTTGATGAGGAGTAGCTCTGTTTCTTGAGGACTCTCCGCATGTTATACGTATGAGCACTCTTTTTCTGTAAGCTAGAAGACGCCATTCCTTGGCTACAAGTTGCGTAATGTATAACTGAGGACAGAAGCGGGAGGCCGAGCAGTCGACCGCCGATGTGAAGAGAAGAATAGAGAGAGAAAACTGGTTCTTCTGAGAGGGAGAGAGAGGGGGGGGGATTATAACAATAATAATAAGAATAAGAAGCTAATATTTTTACTAATAGAGGGGGGGGGTTTGTTTCGTCTGAGGTCCTGGACTCTATACCCCTCGAAATTCACAGCCGGCACGAGGTTTTTGCCTTCCGAAGGCGGAAGGCGGGGGCCGTCTCCGGGAAGACGGAGCGGGGGGCTCGGAGAGGATCGAGAGGCGGCGGCGGACGGGCGCCAATGCTCCGGCTGTTGTCAAGGGCTGCAACTTTCCCGCGATGGGAAATGGCGTTTCCTCTTTCGAATACCCAGGTAATCCCTCGCATTCGGCACTCACTTCCCTTTGAATCTTTCGATGTGTTGCTCCGACGGGGGGGCCGTAACAAGCAAGGATCATCCCTGGTTTTTACATCCAACCTGTGGGACGCTTGGTCTGTTCTCGCAGAGAGGGATACATAGCCGGAACAAGAAGGCCATGGAGTTCATCGCCAGGGGCTGGAGTGCTCTTCGCGAAGTGGACAGGGTCATCGACTACACCGAACTCAGGGATCCTCGGCTCATACCTCTTCTAAGAGTAAGCTGATTATCCAAAACAGGACTTTTTCCCATGAGAAAAAAACAATAAAAAAAAGCACCGTTCCTTGTTTTATTTCACGCTGTCGTGTGATCTAGACGGCAAAGGAGAACTTCGAATTAGCTCTGGAGGTCGACAACATGAACACCCACGCAAGATACTGGTTGTCCAAGCTCCACTTCAAGTATCATGTCCCGGGGGCCTGCAAAGCTGTGTGAGCGACCGAGTCCCCAGTGTTAATTTTTCTTTGAGCATGACGACAAGTTTTCAGTATTTGATCCGTCCGTTCCTAGATTTGACTGTTTCTTGGGGAAGATGAGTGAATACCCAATGCTCCCGTGTAGGAGATAGCTTCAGATCATGTCATCATATCAAATGGAATCCTGCTCATTTGAGGGATTTCCCCAGGTTTCCTGCATTATGTCGGCAATACCATTCCTACCCGTGCTAAAATCAAGTGCAGAGATTTGCAGGAAGAAAATTGCAGCTATTAGGGTAGATAATGCAAGGAACAGTGACTTGAACTCTGAGATGATAATTCCAAAGACGGTCTTTATGGGGAGAACAAGCTCTTCTTGTTTCTCTGGAGCCGACGAGGGCATCTGAATGGTCTCTGTCCTCGTCTTCTTTTCCTCTCGTTGATCGTTTGTTTTACGCACCTTGCTATTCCTACAGCACTCAACTTGACTTGTGTTTATTGGATGCTGCATCACAGAGACAGAGAGAGAGAGAGAGAGAGAGAGAGAGAGAGAGAGAGAGAGAGAGAGAGTTACCGAATCAGGGAAATTATTCGATCATACGTGGAGGATTTTCCCCTCGATCGTTGCATTTTTCGTCGGCGTTTTTTTTTTGCGAATTACACATTATGGACAAACATGGGCGTGGTTTGATCCTTGATCTTGCAGAGGAGCTGCTTTGCTCGTGGAAGCTGCAAACATGGGCGATCCGGATGCACAGTATGAGCTTGGCTGCCACCTGCGTGTTCAGGTCAGGCTCTCGCAGTTCTCCCCATTCGTCTTTTTTATTCATTTCGTGGGCTTTTGAAGTCTTCAATGTAGGTACCATCCGTGTTGGTGGTGACTGCGAACTTGTAGAATGAGAACGTCCAGTCGGATCAGCAGGCCTTCTACTACATAGAGAAAGCGGTGGACCAGGTACGCCTCTATCTCGCCGGCCGGCCAGCTGCCGTTGATGTTCCTCTGCCGCTCTGACGGCGCCGCCTGTCTGGCCCTCCTCTCCAGTTGCATCCGGCGGCGCTGTATCTGCTCGGGTCGGTGTTCCTGGCCGGGGACTGCGTCCAGAAAGACGTCGCCTCGGCCATGTGGTGCTTCTACAGGGCCTCCACCAAGGTCCGCTTACCATTGATACTAATTAATCCCTCCCTCCGCTCCGCCACTGGGCAGTATCCCCCACTCCTCCGCCTGACTGCCTGTCGCTGGAGTCCATGCTGCAGGGGCACGCCGGCGCGGCGATTGCGTACGGGGCGCTGCTGCTGAGAGGTAAGCCGCTGCTCGCCGGCGGTGGTGGCCTCCGGCCAATCTGCTTGGTTGGTTAGTGGGTGGGTCGCTGATTTTATTTTATGAACCGGGCGGCAGGTGCCGAGGTTCCCGAGGCGGTGAGGAAGTTCAATGCGAAGCTGGGGAGGGGAGGCGCCGAGGTGCCGCCGGTGGAGATGGCGAGGGAGCAGTTCAAAAGGGCCGCCGACGCCGGCTGCGATCTGGGCCTGCACTGGCTCAGGCGGCTCGAGGCGGCCGACGAAGGCGAGCTCCTCCACCCCCGTAGCACCGTCATTCCCTGATCTTCTTGAGTTCGACCTGGTCTCTGTGCATGCATGTATCTTGATGACTGATCGGCTTGAGATGTTCAAGATGAGGCATGACTGAGATGCCGAACAAACACCCTCCTTGGAACATACGTTTTCAGGGTTTCCCAGTGATTGCTCATCTTCGCGGCACTGTGACAAAAATCTAGAGTACGCAGAAATGGCAGAACATTAATGCCATCGGTTTCGTTTCTCCAATGATCTCTTTACAACCAATTTTAATTTTAATATTAAGAGTCTATGACCATGTATTTTATGGTATTTAATAAAATGCACCAGTGGGAGAGATTATGGTCACACACAGATGGAAAACCTCCGGAAAAACTGAGAAACGGACATCCCCCCTAACGAGAATCCAGGTACGTCTTGCGACGGTTTCGAGAATGAACTGAAAATTAGAAATAAGAAATCCAAGGTGGTCGGGGTCTCGACTGCGCGAATGGATTGCTCAGTGGTGGCGAAGTTTTAATGGTTCGATTCTGCCAGCGGTGTCCTCAGCTGGTGGTCAGAAGAGGGAGCTTGTTATCCTCATTGCAATCCATTCGGCGCCCCATAAAATTGCAGATGTTAAAACATTCGGAATATCATGGAAGGCACAGTCAAAAGTCTCTGGGAGAAACCGAAAACTGGAGAATTATTGTTTAAAGGAGATTAATGCTCAGCTCAGCGGGAATGTCGCCATGCAAACCCCGACTAAATCGGGGCCTGCAATACGGTCTGTTGAGCTTGAATTTTCCGGAGTCCTCACCGCATGATCCCCTATCAATAATTGGCCTCACAAAATCGTACCAAATGGGAAACAAGAACACGCAAAAAGGATCAAATCGTAGTACGCCTCAACTTGTGTGCAATCTCAGCCGAAAGATGGTGATTAATGTAGAAATAATCATCGAATTTCAGCAGTATCTGATACATCATCACGGATTGCAATGTGATGAAGTTCTTTAATCAGCAATTGAATGAAACGACCGAAACAGATCCGTACGCACTTGACGATAAAAGGGGTTGGATCGCAAGAAATTGACTTCGGCCGGTCGTGGTCTGCACGGATGGAAAGGCATATTGTAGATAATAGTTAACGATAATCGAAATGAAATGGAGGTCGCGGAGAACAACATGGAAGTTTAGGGTTTTGATATAAGTGCGCTGGTTCTGCAGTTGCAAGATCTAGACCTCCCGAAAGATAGTGATTCAGCAGCAAAGTTCGAACAGGAAAACCGCAAAAAGAAAAGGAATACATACGAAGGGACGTCAATAGAAACAGGCAAGAAAACACGTTCGGAGAAATCGCTTCATATTGCCTATCACCACCGCTCCGTCGATCTCGTCGACGGGGCCGTAAGACAGGCGGCATTCTCAACATTCCCGAGGAGGTCAGGCCAGGTAATCTGACCCCCGGGGCTGGAGTAGATAAAGAGATAATGGTATGAGCGAGAAGGAGAGGACATCGAAGGGACCTCTTCAGAGGCGCACGTAGAAGGAAGAGAACAACCGATCTGCAGGCGGCGGCGGGAGAATTTATAGACGCTGCTGCGTAAGGGCTGGTGATGGGGATATAGGGTTTCCCAATCTCTGTTAGGGTTACTTGTTGGGCCTCAGTTCGGAGAGCGGCCTCTTCCCGCTTCAGAAGTAGGCCCATTTCCCGTGGACGTGTGTGTGTTAACAGAGAGAGATCGAGAGAGCAAGAGACACAGAGAGAGAGAGTGAGCGAGAGGGAGAGAGAGATATCATGCAAACTCATGCATTGTCTATACGGCGTCATACTATGCTATTCGAACTTAATGTAGTGCCACGTGAACTCTTACCACTTCTTTTTAAGTTGTTAGTGGAGAGTCCACATTCCACATTCTAGTTTCTACCTGTGACATAATATATCAATATATGTCAGTTAGGTTTCTGGCACGCCCTTCAACCTTGTGCTTCCACAAATGTGCCAATTGAAGGTTCATCACATACTTTAGAAAATTTAAAATGCAAAAAAATCTAACAACTAAGTTTGTAATATTTCAAAGTAGAAATATTAATAGATAAATCAGTTCAAAAGGTATTCAGATCCTAGAGTTGACTTCTCGTGTAGAATGAGAAGACACATTATCCATTGACTCCTTAGTTCATAAAGGTATTCATTGTGTACATGTGGTAGTGTGGGAATTTTACTTTCTCTTTTATGTTTTTGACATATTAGGGTACGTAACCATTATTACAGATCTTTTAGAGATTTTTTTTCTATTATCGAGATTGAGTTTAACTTTTCTACATATTTATATTTTCTCTCTCTTCATCTCAAGCGGGTTGACAATTTTCTCTCTCCTCAGTTTTCTGTTATTTTATTATTCTTTCATCTTTCTTAGGAAGTATTACTTGATGATGGTTATTATAATGCTTTAGAAACACATTTAAACAACATAAATGAGTATACCTAGTGATTTAGATCTCGATCAATGAATTAATGTAGTGACAACGTATTTATGAATATTTTTGGATTCAGTAAAGAATGAATCAAAAGTCAGATATTTCAATTTTTTATGCTTTTTACTAGATTAATGAAACATATATGGAGTTTGAATTTCAACCCATGACTCAACCCAAAATGGAAAATTATCCAGCAATTAAGAAACAAACTGAATTAATCATCGTCCAAAAGATACTTTTCCATCATTTAACATCTGATTAGAAAAATGATGCTTTCAAAATGAAGCTGCAACAAATTACAACCAATATGTTATTGAAAATTATTATTTTCATAAATATATGTTTGATTGGTTCTATTGGGTTAAAGATTTTGACATTGAGGGATATGAATATGGACCATTTGCCCTTGAACGAATTTAATCTAGTTTATTTATCTGATTTATTTATAGGGATTTGTACTATGAAGGTAATATAAATGTATCATCCATATGTTACTATATTACCTTTCTTTATGCCAAAAACCATATCATCCATTTATTACGTTATATTACTGTATTACTATAAAAAAATAAGGCTCTCAATGCCAAAAACTTCTTCCAGATTCACAACTTTATGTTGCAAATATGATTACTGTTGACCAATCAATACATTTAGGGCTTTACGTGTGCTTAAATACCAGAACTAATAAAATAGAGGAGAATACATATGTGCTCATACAAATTTAATGTATAGGTTTCGTGTTGTCAATTCTTTAGCTATGGGGTGCATGCGTCTATTGGTGAGGAGGGGAAACACCTGAACCTTTGCAACATAGTATGCACATATGAGCTTATAGAGGAATTTTTCTAATTATGGGATGTTTGAGAGTTTGATATTTATACAGGGATTTTTTTTATTTGACTGTTATGCTTTTACTGGTCAAGAAATGGTTAAAAAATAGTCACCCCAACAGTTAATCACGTGCTCCAATGAGTTGCTTGTCTTATTCCTTTTTCTTTCTTTTTCGTTTAGTGCCATGCCTCCAACTACCTTTTTTACAATAAGTCTACCCATGAATCAACTCACTTCTTGTAAGAGTAAAATTGAAAAACACAAGTTACCACCATCTAAATTTCCAGGTAATTTTCCATAATAGCCTACAAATGCACGCAAGCCCAGACTTTTGGAATTGTGCGGTTGTTATTCGAAAGTGGGAATAAGCCACAAAGCGAGTGTGATCTGGGTCAACTGGTAGCATCATCCATAAAATGCATCATTAGACAATCAGAAAAATAATCGATTGGATGAATTTTCACGAGAAACTCTATCATTATTCATTTCACGTAGTTTTTTATTTGAGCAGGGGGAGACATTCGAGAACATATTTTTCTAGTGGAAGTCGTCGTGTCAACTTTTTGAGGGCAATTCCGCGAGGTCCTGGATGGAGGATTATTCCCGTTGGCTCCGCCGGTTCCCCTCGAAACATGCGCGTCCCCCCGCTCTCAGTTCCCGCGTGATCCGGCAGTCGACCCGACCATTCCTCCGTCATCTTCTTCCGAGGTCGGAATCTCTCACGTCCTTCCGTAGCTCTCATAAGAAACAGTGAGTATCAGGCCTAGTTTGGACTGTCGATGGTTGACAGCCGCACTTCTCAGCGACTGGGATCGCTAAGGGATTGGAGAACCTGACGCTGACGAAGATGACAGAGGAGAGATGATTCCCACGCGTTTGGCTGGGGCCGATCTTGTCCAGATTCTCACCACTGAAAGGTCAAAGTCCAAGGGCGTTCCCCCGGTCAAAATGGCTATGTAGTGGGAGACCCATCGGCGACTCTTGTTTTGTTTCATCCTCCGTCTACTGGTAGTGGCGGCATTTCACGGATGCCGTCCGAGTTTGCCTTCGCATTGTGTTGTCCATCGTCGCCTTCATACATGGTTTGGATGGCACCCAGATTCCTGTCGCCGTCTCCAATACCTTTAAAATATTCACCATTTTGGCCGAGCATTTTAGCAAGAAGCGATGGCGTTGTGGCCGAGCTTCATCTTCTCCCTGGTCCTTGCTCTTCTTCCCCATCCTTCCTGGGCCTGTTCGGACTGCAGCAGATGCCCTATCGGAAGCTCTAATCGCCTTTAGGGACTCCATTGTTGAAGACCCCTTGGGGGCACTGGTGAGCTGGGCTCCTTCAACTCACCATTGCAGCTGGCATGGCATCTCCTGCGATCCCTCGAACACCTCCGTCCTCTCGAAATCTCTCTTCGAGTCTCAGCTCGGCGGCACGATCTCCCCTTATCTCGGAAACATCTCCACACTCCAGTACCTCGACCTCTCTTCCAATGCGCTCTTCGGTCCTCTCCCTGTTGAGCTTGGGCTCTGTTCGGAACTAGTTGTGCTGTTGGTTCCCCAGAATCGTCTCTCAGGCCCGGTTAGCCCCCAGCTGGGGAATCTGATGAAGGTCAGAGCCTTGGACTTGGGCGACAATTCTTCAATTGCGCCTTTCCTGACAGCATCTGCAACTGCTCTTCCTTGTTTGCCCTGGGCCTCAACTCCAATGACCTCACCGGGGACATCCCGTCGAGCATAGGCAATCTCGTTAACCTAGAGATACTTGTTGCTTACAGACATCAGTTGTCCGGATCCATACCCACCTCGTTCTGGAGCCTGCGGCTCGTGAAAACACTGGACCTGAGCGAGAACCAGTTGTTTGGGATGATTCCTTCTGAGATGGGAAACTTCTCAAGACTGTCCATTCTGCAACTTCATCTGAACCAGTTTTTCGGGCAAATCCCTCCGGAGCTTGGACAGTGCAGAAATCTCACTCTTCTGATGCTCTACAGCAACAGATTTACGGGTCGTCTTCCCACCAGCTTGGGCAACTGGTATACCTGGAAGTGCTGCGGGTGTCTGACAACAGGCTGTCGTCAACGATCCCTCCGTTATCCCAGTTCAGGTCGTTGACCCATCTAGGCCTCTCGGGGACTAATCTGATCGGAAGCATACCACCGGAGCTCGGCTTCCTGGGCGCGCTTCGAAGTCTCACTCTTCATTCGAACCAGCTGACGGGAAGCATCCCTTCATCGTTGATGAAGCTCTCCAACTTGACCTACTTGTCGCTGAGCTCTAACAATCTGATGGGCCTTATTCCCACGAGCTTGGGATCGCATTCCAAATTAGAGCAGCTCATCGTCCACGACAACGCCCTCGAAGGCCCGCTGCCACCCAGCATCATCAACTGCTCCCGTCTCGCTATTGTAAGCTTCCTTGGAAACATATTTACAGGGAAGATTCCAGTGGGCCTGGGCGGCCTGCGGAATCTCATATTCTTTTCCGTCGGAAGAAACTTCATGTCTGGCGATATACCAGACGACCTATTCAATTGCTCAAATCTCGCAACCTTGGATTTGGCACGGAATGGTTTCAGTGGGTATCTGAAATCTGGTGTTGGCAGACTGCCCAATTTACGGTGGCTGCGATTGCATGTGAATTCATTCTCTGGGAGGATTCCGCCCGATATTGGGAATCTAACAACGCTGCTGAGCTTGGAACTTGGGGGAAACAGCTTTGTCGGTCAGATGCCCTTGGAGATATCAAAGCTGTCGAACCTGCGAGGGCTCTCTGTTCAGAAGAATTCTCTGGATGGGGTGCTCCATGAGGGAGTTTTCGAGCTGAAGCAGCTCAACACCCTCCAGTTGCAGCTGAACAAGTTTACCGGATCGATCCCCGAAGCCATTTCGAACCTCCAGATGCTCTCCGACCTGGATCTTCATGGGAACATGTTCAGTGGTCCTATTCCAAGAAGCTTGGGCACTCTCAAGCAGCTCCTGTCGGCGGATCTTTCTCATAACGAGTTCACTGGATCTATTCTTGGGTCAACGGTGGCCGGGATGAGAAGCATCAGACGTTTCTTAATCTGTCCTATAATTTTCTTGAAGGTTCTATTCGGGGCGAGCTAGGAGGATTGGACATGGTGCAGGCCATCGATCTGTCGCACAACAATCTCTCTGGGCATATTCCACCGCTATTCAGGGAATGTAGGAACCTCTTTTCTCTGGATCTCTCTGCAAATATGCTCTCAGGTCAGTTTCCTCCTGACATCTTCCCTCAGCTCGTTTTGCTGTCTAGCCTGAACCTTTCAAGGAACAAACTAGGGGGGACCTCCCCGCAGATGTTGTAGAACTCAAGCATCTCTCGATCTTTCCCATAATGACTTCAGTGGGAGAATCCCCCAGGGGCTAGCCAAAATTTCTGGTCTGAGATATCTTAACGTCTCGTGGAATCAGCTCCAGGGACCCGTCCGATATGGGGGAATATTCGGGTACTTGCAGCCATCGAGCTTGGAAGGAAACTACGCTCTCTGTGGAGCCGGCTTTCTGGCGCCGTGCAGCAACAGCAAACGTCGTAATCGTTTCTCGAAGAAGGCCTTCTTGGTGGTCGCCTTGTTTCTCTCTCTAGCTGCCCTTCTGCTCTTGGCTCTCGCGACACTTTGCATAACAAGGCGTCGGAGGCGGAGACTGGAAGAAGAACCCATCAAGGATGTCAGGCCAGAGTTACCTTCGGCGGCATGAGGATTGAAGAGATTCACTCGGAGAGATATGGAACTCGCAACTGATTTCTTCAACGAAGAGAACGTGATCGGGAGCAGCCATCTGAGCACCGTCTACAAGGGAAGGCTCGAGGAGGGCGGCGGAAGGGCCGTCGCCGTGAAGAAGCTCAACCAGCAGCAGTTCCCCTCCGAGACCGACAAGTGTTTCCTGACGGAGCTGAAGAATCTGTGCCATCTGAGGCACCGTAATCTGGTCAAGATGGTGGGCTATGCCTGGGAAGCCGGGAGGCTGAAAGCCCTATCCCTGGAGTTGATGGAGAACGGGAGCTTGGAGAGGATCATCCACGACCCTCTCCTGGATCGGTCTCAGTGGACGTTGCCGGAGAGGTTGAGGGTTTGCACCAGCGTGGCGCATGGCCTCGCCTACCTCCACTCGAGCTACGACTTCCCCGTCGTCCACTGCGACCTCAAGCCCTCCAACATCCTCCTCGACCGAGACTGGGAAGCTCGCGTTGGCGATTTCGGCACTGCCCGCATGCTCGGCGTTCATCTTCCCCAAGACGACCGCGACGCCATTTCCTCCTCCGCATTCCGAGGCACCATTGGCTACATAGCTCCGGGTAACTCCATGTCCGCTGGGTTCTGTCTGTCTGACATGCGTCTAACTCATCTGCGATTTCTGATCTCTCCTTGTCTGTCTCAGAGTTCGCGTACCAGAGGAAGGTTACCCCGAAAGTGGACGTCTACAGCTTCGGCGTCGTCGTCATGGAGCTCGTCACCAGGAGAAGGCCGACGGGAGGGATGGAGGAGGGCGGTCATCCCCTCACCTTGCCGGAGTTTGTGGCGAAGGCGGTTGGCGGCCGAGCGGGGGCAGTTCCCGGCGTCCTCGACCCGGAGCTGGAGCTCCTGGACGGCGAGGAGGCGGAGGTGGCAGTGGAACTCCTGGAGCTAGCCCTGTACTGCACACGCCACGAAGCCGAAGCCAGGCCGGACATGGAGGAGGCGCTGTCTTTCCTGTTGAAGCTCAGACGGGAGCTGGACGGCTGTTGAGGAGCTCACCGCCATTCGTGATCGGGATCCCACGTATGGCTGATGTTGATGAACCCAATGGTGAGATCTCCTGGGCGGATCACCCCGCAACCGATCTCGATAGTTGAGGCGATCGTATGAAAATCTCTCCAATCAATGCGGACTCTTCTTGAATTTAAATATTTCTTATTGATGACGAGAGAGAGAGGGAGGAAGACTAATGTAGTATTGATTTTACTTTAGGAGAAATATGACGCATGAATCTAGCTAATAAGGCACGCCTTCTAATCGGTTCTTAAGTTCAATTACGATGAATTCAGATTAGCGACAAAATAATAATGTAACAAAACTGCAATTCATAATGTTCCTATAATGGAGACAAGCACTGTGTAGCATCCGTATGGGACATTCTCTTCTCTATGGAATGCCTCTTAGTCATAGTGAGAATCTACAGGGGGTATCTTCAACCTGATAATCTCAATTGAAGTTTTATCTTCCCTTGGTCAACAACTCATTGAGAAATTAACACTTCCAAAGTCTTGTTGAAGCTGTATTTTTCAGATCAAATGACTCAATAATGGCGTGCCCCTAGTTTAGACTAGTACAACAACACGTGTTTTTCAAAACTTTCACACACGTTGTACATATAAAGATTATTATTTTTCTATTATTTCATTATTTAAAATAATTTAACAATATTAAAAGGAATAGATCACCCAACATCTTTTATTGTTGCTTAGGCACTAAGCCAATTGTAATTCACATTCCATATCATAGCTTTCTTAAACTTTTTGAATAATGAGTCGGTATTTTATCGAAATTTCTCTAAAATTGAATGCCTAAACATCAAATGCAGTTTTATTATAAAATTAATGTATGTCAAAATATTATCAAGACAATTCTTAATAAGGCCAATTCTTCATATCTCCTACAAAATTATGTCATACTTTGGCAAAGAGACTATTCTACAAATGTTAACCTCCATATTGGCAAAATTGTTTTGAACTCCACCATTATCATAGATCCAAAACTTTCATTTCCTTCACATTTAATGTATCATTTAATATCTCATCTACTCTTCTATTGAGGTGAAGTATTTGACTGCCTAAATGAGAATATAATATTCTTGCTTTAAAATATTCTTTGTTAATTTGAAACTAACCACATTCCATTATGCTGAAACAATGAAGAATACCCAAGCCCTCATTATTTGCATATTCTCCTATGCACTTCAGGGTAGATCTCAATTAAGAGTAACATGTCCATTTTTTTATTACAACACAATAATTAAATACGAATTCTAATTCTAGTCTTTTTCTAAAACTTCAATGTTGAGTTAAGATTGAAGTTTTGAGTCAATTGAAGAGTATAGTATGCCTATTTATTTCTGGTTCTAGGACCTGTAGCTCTAGGGATCGACTCGGTTCTCTCAAATTGTTTCTCATTATTAAGAAAAGGTAACGAAGATAAAATACGAGCTTGTTTTATAGCAATAGTAATTAATCGTTGTTGTTTCAAGGTTAATCTATTCACTCGTCTAGATAATATTTTTCCTTGTTCACTAATAAATCGACTAATTAAACTCATGTTTCTATAATCAATTCGATCCCCCGATCCGATTGGGGGCAAACGCCTACGAAAAGATCGCTTGGGTTTATGAAAGGGTTGCTTGGATTTATCCATAGTTTAGTCCTTATCTCTAAAATCCTATTTCTTCATACATTTTAGATACGACCGAAATAGGGTTTTATTTATATATTTATATATGTTATATTCTATATTTATATATATTATATAATATATCTTATTAACCTCTTCCTACTCCTTGGATTGAAAGAATCGCCGACAGGTTCTGTTCGATCTATTTCTTTACTTCTACATGACTTGTATGCTTGTTACAATAGCGACAAAATTTTTTCAATTCTAATCGACTGGGTGTATTGTGTCGATTCTTTTGAGTAACATATCTAGAAACACCCGGAACTTCCTTAGTGACACCATTTTCATTTCGGCCACAACTGGTACATTCTAAAATAACTCTGACTCTGACATCTTTACCTTTGGCCATGGACCTCCTTTGCTCGACATACTATCATTAAGATGAACTAAATTCTTGATAATGATAGATAGCTAATACATCATTTTAATTCCTCAAAGTACACCTTTTAAGCATCCTACTTTCTTCAGGCCCATTCCCCATTTATGGCCCAATTCTTCCTTCTTCTCATCCAAGATGCCTTTACCTCCTCTACAAAGCTCTTTGACTTCCTTGATTGAATAGAGAATTGAAGACAAAGTGACCAGAAGAAAATTTTGATTGAGTGAACATGCATCCATCTTCTTATTTCCTTTCATCTTGTGCCCTTTTTGAAGTTGAAAAAAATGAGGGAGAAGAAAGTATAGAAAAATGTGTGCCTATGCAAGAGGGACATGTAAGGGGAGAAATTATTAAGAGGGAGAAAATGATATATCAAAATAATTTCATTATTTGTGTATGAATGCTTTTTAGAATGTTAAGTTTTCATATTACATCTTTGTGCACCTTGGAAAGTAGACCTAGGCTAGGGATGACTGAACACTTAAATCTTTGTGTATGGCACAAACTAAATCATATCAACTCAACTAATGTATTCATGTAGTCAAGTCAAATAATATGTCGAATCATCTAGTTATTAGTATGCTAATCCATTATGACAACTCATCAAGTCACCAATATGTCTACCCACTATGTCAACTTATACAATAATTATTGCACAATTTATAGAATTATGTGTTGACCACTAAAGTGTGTGTTATCCAACTAAAGTTGAAATTTATAGAAATTGTTTAAAATCATGAAAAAAATGTTAAAACACACTAGGAAACCAATCCAGTCCCTTTCTTGGTTTACATTTGAGTCTACCAAGTAGCCAACTTGGCCTTCGTGAAGAGAGTATTTTTGGACCATTAAATGACTTTAAAAAATCAAATAAATAAAATTTATGATAAGTAATACTTATCAACAATAAATACAAGGAAAAATGAAGAAAATAAAGATCAAGGACAAATACTTAAAGAGCAATAAGAGAAAAAAACACACTCTTGACAAGTATATTTTGAAGTGAGAAATCAAATGAATTAATCCTCCAACAAATTAGGAGATAAAACAAGAAGAATTATAACTCATTATATCCTATATTTTAATGTATCATTGAAACTTGTCATATCTTTTCTGTTTGGCCCCGTAGATTTGTGAATTTAGGAGACATAAATAAGTTATCCTCCAAGTTAATCCCCAATAGTTGTGAATCTAGACAAAGATCTGTGATTGAAATCTTAACTTGGTTGACATAGTAAAATCATATTAAGGTGACATAGTTCTTAAATAAGTGAATATTTCACTAAATAATTAGTGGAACCTAAGGATATAGTCCCTAGAGAGTGGAGAAGGTCATGTAGAACCTTTTGCAAGTGAAATTCTTAACCAACCTTCTAAGTCTGAATAGCCAACAAATTTATACTCAAAACCAATTTTCTTCCTCTCCTCTTAGTATCATGTGATGCTATAAAAATTCCAACCATCTATAGTACCTCAAGAAAGAATTGTAGAAACTAGTGATTAGAACCTTTGGTAATTAGACCTAGTTTGAGGAAAGGTCAATTCACAATAAATCCTTGTTTTAATACATTCCAAGACAGTGCGACATTTTAGTCTATCTCAATTGTGTTTCTTAACTCAAGAAAGTCTACTTGATATAAGCTAGATTCTGTAGACCATGTTGAATAAAATATGGTAGCACAAAGTGTGGGAAGAGGGAGTTGAATTAGACATTGCCTTATTCATTTAATGTTTGTATCTAGTAAGAAAATTCATAATTTTACTCACACAATTTATGGTGGTCAGTTTACTGTTCTACTCCACTCTTTGAAGATTAGATCGTTGGTTTCTACTAAATCCTTAGTGAAAACACTCTCATAGGCTTTAGATACCTTCACCTGATTTAACAACTCTAGCCAACTCACAACTCAAATAAGAAATTTTCTTCAAAACGAACAACACTATGGGAGAAAAATTAAAGAGACATAATCTTCTTGTCTACATAAGTAGAATTATGGAGTCAACAAGAATTGCACTTACTAATCTCCACTTGATTTAGGTTATAAATTGATGCAAGTGTTAAACATATTTCAAATTACAAATAAAGGATTTACTGCACTAAATTCTCATGCCAAATACTTTTTAGAGGCCTGATTCCTCTAACTTCTCATTTGAGAGTTGAGGCCACGCCTTTTTATCCTTTTTTTGCAGTTGAATTTATGCTCATGATCTTGACTTCTTTGTTGTTCTTCATTATCTATGTTGAGGAGAGTATTCTCTATAAATACCTTATTTTTATAATTTTGCATGATTTCTCAATAGTAATTTAACAATCCTCAACATTTATTTCTATTTTTTTTCATTTTGCATCATTTAAGTGGTCATCTTCTCTCTCCTCATTCATCAACGTGTCAACATTAGAATTAAGGATAATCATAATGTGTGATAATTTTCTTTTAACATGCTCAAGAAATAGTATAAATCATATTGTAATATGTACAATCATATTATAAATCATAATGGAAGGGTTAACAAAAAAATATATTTTATATAATGTAAAATGATGATCATATGCTGAGTTCATTTTTCTCAATTTTATGGTTTTCTACAATATCAATAATTAAGACCATATAAATAGTTAATTCAACTATTGTAAGTTTTATCAAATTATTTTTCAATAGATTTTGTCGTCAAAATAATTTAGGCTCTAAAAATCCAACACACCCATACTAGTCTATGCTAGCCCTAGCCAAACTATGTCAACCCACTAAGTACAAAACAAAGAGGCAAAAAAAAGAAATTAAAATATGCAAATAATTAAAACAATCAATTACTCCTAGTATTCTATCTAGTACATCCTAGGACCAATAATTAGTATTTGACCTCACCTTAGTTAAAATATTTACCCATCTTAAGGATTAGATATATGGCTAACTCTCTAGGAATCACTTTTGCTTATGGAATCACTTTTGCTTCACTCAAAGACTTCCACTATTTAGTTAATCAAACCGCACATACTGGAAAAGTAGAAGGAAAATCTTCATTCAAGAAATTGACTTTATTGCATGAAAATTAATTGAAAATGGCCCTTATCTTTGAGGAGTATATTGAGACAAATCTTGAAAAAGAAGTGATATTATTATCATTAAATGCCAAGACCCAAAATTCATTAATATCAAGTGGTTGTAATATTTTAGAATCCGCGGGTGTCGAGTTCCCGGAGGAAGAGCCGGAAGGCGCACGTCATGGCCCCGTCGTCGGTGCGGCGGGTGCTGCTGAGCGCGCCGCTGTCGTCGGACCTGCGCACCAAGTACAACGTGAGATCCATGCCCGTGCGCAAGGACAACGAGGTGCAGGTTGTGCGAGGGACCTACAAGGGCCGGGAGGGCAAGGTCGTGCAGGTTTATCGCCGTCGGTGAGTTATCCACGTAGAGCGCATCACTCGCGAGAAGGTCAACGGCTCCACGGTGAACGTCGGGATCAATCCCTCCAAGGTCGTCGTCACCAAACTCAAGCTCGACAAAGACAGGAAAGCCTTGCTTGATCGCAAGGCTAGAGGCCGCGCGAGTGCCACCGACAAGGCCAAGGGTAAATTCTCCGCCGAGGACGTCGTCGCCGCGTCCGCTGGGCGAGGCAGTGGATTGATCAATCTCCGGGTTTCCGCTCAGAATTAGGAATACATTGTCTGGTTTCCGTTTTAAACGTTTTACATGTTAAGAAGCAGGAGGCTTCACTTATATCTAGTAAACCACTTAATACCTGGTATGGTAGTTTATCAAATCATGAATGATTGCTTTTTCTACATATAAATTTTTGGAATGATTCAGCATGTAACTAACCCACTATCTTACAGGCCATCAAAATATTTTTCTTTTACTAGATATATGTAATAAGTGATTTATCATTTTGATTACAGCTATCTCATAATAAATTGGATGTCTCTCTATTAATTCATATAATTGAGTCTATTGACTAACTCCCTCCCCCACACACGTTTAGCCATCCTCAAATCTCTTACATTAGAGAGAAAATGTTACCTTAAATAAATAGATAGTTATTCTCAAGCAATAAACTCATGCATTAATATCAATTATATATTTTATTAATCTTTTACTTAGTTCTTGTTGGCTAATAATTGCTGTGCAAAAACATGCAGAAGGTAGAGCAGAAAAGTTATGCTATGGAAGTGAACAAGGAGAGGAATAGAGGGAGATGGAGAATCACAAATAAGCATAGAAATGAGAAAAGTGAGTGGCAACGGGAGGGAGGGTGGGAGAGAGAAAGAGGTTCAACGACCATTTTAACCAAAGGATGTTTTAATGAGAATGCCATGACGTCAGTTACTTTTTTGCTAAATGGAACTACGGTCATAGTGGTAATTGAAAATACTAATTTAATGAGAATGCCATGATTTAAACGTAGTTTAAAATCATGTCCCTGGGAACAAAAGTTTCCCTTTTTCTCGCTTTTTAAAAAGAGATAAAAAAATGTCCAAGAGATCGCCCAAGTGCTGTAGGTGGTTGCCAATCCTTCACTGATTTTTACTCAAGGAACGCTAGAGTGTAGGGGGGATGGAAAGGGGAGTACCCAGAAGCCAAATATATCTGAGCTGAAAATAACATTCCATGCGATTTTCTTTTTCACGTTAATTTTGCAGCTCTCACTTGCGCCATGCAACTGTCATCTCTATCGTAATGTTCACATATATTTACACGCTTTCCTGCACAATGCCGTATCCTTTAAGTCAATAATGGTCTCCACATGTGCGACCTTTTCACCCGTCGAGTTTCTGCCATGTCCTTTTCTCTGATTGATGGAGTCATAATTTACTGCATTGTACTTTAAAGGCTAATTAACTCTATCTAATATCTAGATGAGAAAGTCTAACGAAAATTAACTATGACTTGGAGAAGACATGAACTGTCATACTCAGATAATTTCATGGTAACAATAATGTTTCTGACCATTTAATACCCATATGAAGGGCCAAGAAAACTAAACAAGTGCATTGACATGTGCTTCTGAAACAAAAAATCCTCAGTAATGAAAACATTTGTTACCGGATGTCAGGAAAGAAAGGGCCTGACCATTGAGTTTCGCAAAAAAGAATACCACTTTATATTGCAAATGACTTCGCAGGAGAAAGGGGAAACCTGTCATGTGAATTAGGCCGAACTGACTCGTTGAAGAGTTGGACTGGATGGTTCATTGGGCACAGGCTCATGGCCCCAATGGAAAAGAAAATAGCTCCGAATTACAAATGTCAAAGGGATTGGATCATTCTGGCTGTATGTTATATAATTCAACATTTGTACATCCACATGGAAAAGCCATATTATAGATCATAAAAAGAGCCAAGACAGCAGCTACGTTGCAAAAGGCTAACTTTCTAGTAGTCTAGGATCAGATGTTGCTTTCCCTGCGAAAAAGCCATTAACGGAAGATATATCCTCAGAGCACTTGATGAGGTATGGAAATTTATAAAGCTGTCAAGTCTCAAAGGAGGTCAACTATACATCATGTTTAACAAAAAAATGTAAAGCGCCCCCTTTACATTGGCTGACTTCGCTTAAATGCAAGGAGCATGTATTCACAAATAGGCATATTCCTTATGGTTTAATCATTCCATTAGCTTAGTGAAAACCGAACAATTCTTTATAACCTGGCCAGCTAAGTGACCAATGTGGACCAGTACATAAATCAGCACATTGGCCCCTCTGAGTCCAAAGTGGAGCTAGTGCGTACAGAACCAAAGTTAGTGACCCACGTTTCAAAGGGAGATGATTAAACCAGGAAACCTAAAATCTGTCAACCTGCGTCTCGTCATGTGGGTTCAATCTGGCACAGAAAACAGAGGGAGCTGAGGGGCACAGACACGTCCAAACTCTCTTCTTATCAAGGAAGAAAGTCAGAAACCATCGGCAAGTTGGTTTCCCTATTCCATTAATGACCTTGTTCCCAAAAACTAGGTTTTACGGTCTCATGATTAAAGAAACCCATCCTATCGCCCTCTTCACTGTCTTCCTCTACATTGCTCCGTCAACCGTCCTCTTCAACTCTTAAGCTGAATCCTGACATTACTTTTAGCAGAATATGATCACATTAAATACTGTGAGTTGATGGGTATGCTCTCCACGCCCTAATTTAAGAAGAAAATGTACTGACTCCCCCAGATTCTGTACACCGGCACATTGGAAAGTTTGCCAAAGAATAAACCATTACTCATTATAGAATAAACCAAGAGTTCACTTTTCTCTTTCTGATTCTCAGGCACAGTTGCAGGTAAGATCTCATCTTAAGCAGAAGTACAAGAAGAGGAAAGAGTCTCTAGGATCAATCCCTCGACAAATGAGAAAAATAATAAAACTGATGAGATAGGATGACAGCTGCCCCACAGTGATGATGTATATTCTTCATTTCAATGTTAGACAACCGATAAATACAAATCCATTGGTGAAATCAATGGCGTTTCAATTACATGAAATTGGCAGGACAAACACTCTGATTAAAAAATAAATCGGGGAAATCAGAAGGCTCATTCATCACTTCCCAGAAAAAGATCACCCACTACAATCATCTAGAAGTCATTATCTGGAAATATTACCATGAGGAGAAGCAGCAGAGAGTATTATATCCATGTTATCAATACGCTTCTGTACTGTCTTCAGTATGGAATTCAGCGCAAAAATTCTCTTTCGGATCCCTGAAATTTTCGCAGCGTGTTGCATAATAAAAGGCAAGGGTGCCTCCTCTAGAAGCTTGTCTAATTCTGCAATATCATGCCACGCAATAGAACTTATGACTTAATTTCATTGTAAACATTCAAAATCATATACAAAAATTCAATTGTGATATTCATAAATGTGTCACATGATACTCAACCGTAACTCATTACATAGAAGTGCCCGTAAGCAGAAAGTAGGTTTTATTAATAAAGCACATGTTGTTGAAGATAGTTGTTTAGGATAAGTATTAAAACTGATTCACTAATTTTCTGTAAAGACATATTAAACGAAAACTCAGAAGAAAAACATATGGGAGAAAATTGTAAAATTTGATCGGAGGATCCCGGAAACGTACCTCCATTTAGGCGGTCGAGGGAGAGTCCAAGCACGTCTTGACTCCTGGCGACAGCCTCCGTCTTGGCATCATAATCTTCTAGCACTCCCGCAAGCACCGAAGCTATTACCCTTGCGAGGTCCCCCGACACGTCGCTCTCGCCGAGATCAGATCTTGGGGCTGCACACGGCAGCTCTTCGTCATCTGGCACGCTGTCACAACCAGGAGACTCCACAGGCCCTGGTCTCCTGGAATGTTGGCCGTTACCGCCGTCCATAGAGCGGAATCAGATCCCAAGTGCTGCTCTCCTTTTCCCTTTTCTTCCTCTGCCTCGTCCACTTCGATCACTCGCTGCCGCTTCGTTCGAACGCCGCCTCAAGTTGTCTCCTAAGGAGCGGAGACTCTCTGTTGGAGGGTGCCTTGAACCGTCAGATGTGATTGCAGTATATACCGTTCCGAACCGGACACTTCACCAGATTCAATGAAATATTACATCACTAACGAGAATTTTAGTTATCATTAAAGAACATTTTTTCCTTGAAAAAAGTATGCTTTGATTTCGCCGCTCATATTTTATTACATGGTATTTCTAAAAACAATTTAACTTCCAAATCTTAGAGAGAACCCACTTGGACCTTCACGAAGACACTCAGTTACTTGATGGGTGTTAAGAGTATTCTTCAGCATCTTTGGCATTCGCCTCAGGTAGTTCCCTTCATTTGATCAGATTTCTATTCCTTAAAGATGGTTATAACTGATGCATTCTCCAATATTAAATGCTGAAGAATCACATGCAGTGAAAGTAGTTGTTAACTGTAATTATCAATCCTCAAAACTCAGAGGTTAGCAGTATCGTATAACTATAATCTTCTTCTCTATGTCATTATAATTTAGAATCTAAAATAATTTCAGAGGAGTGTGAGTTAGTCTTTTTCAAAACTCTTCTTAAATCGTAATTTACAATTAGTCTCTAAAATTAAGAATTATAGTGGTTCAACCTACTTGGCTTACCTTTTTTTCATTTTGTTTACTTTGCCTACTTTACTCTCTAAGACTCACATCCTTATGTTCTTCTAACTTGTGTTGTTAATGCATGATCTGAGCACAAATGTTTTGTTAAGTTTTTTACCCGTCTACATACTTTCTTTCAAAATTTAAGACGTTCTTCCAAGACAAGTAAACTCACTTCTTTCAGTGATTAATTGATTTGAGTCTTTTCCTATTACATAAGTCAACTAATTTCTTAGGTGATTGAAGAGAGGAGTCTTCTTCATGAATCAAGTCACTCTTATATTTACATGGTCATTTCCCATGAGAGGAAGCATGGAAAGTTTTCAAACCCAAATATGTAAATGATTTTGACAGGTGTTTAGAATGTGATCTTCTAAATTTGAAATTATTCTCACTATGAGTGTAAATTATTCTCATAGTATCTTTCTCACAAAGAGTGTAAAACTCCCTTCACTAAATGAGTCTACTCCCTTGAAAACAGAAATAAGTATTAGTTATACAATCAATCTCAAAATCACATGGAACCTATAGACTATAAAAGTACATTCTACGTTATGATTTTACCCTTCTATGTATTTTATCAACACGAAATTTATAAAGACTCCAAAACCCAACAAATTCCCTTTTTCATGATGACCAAACTAATAAGTTAATATAAAATGGAGTTGAAAGTATTACCTATAACAGTGATGTTGTCTGATAAATTAATTAATACTTTTAAATTTAAATACATTAATTCTATTAAAGATGTTGAAAAGCCTTTTGTGGTAATTAAAATTTAATGATGTTATCGAAAGGCTCGTAATAATTTTGAAAAAACTGTAAACTTATATAGCCTTTAGAGGTTGTGTATCATCTATTTTAAAGAGAGATTTTATAGTTTGAAAAGTTAAAATCATTTCTTGAAAAGTGAAAAAACTTTTAGTTGGTACAAAAATGCTTCTAGAAAATGGTGATTTTCAGTAGGTATAAAAAGACTAGTTTTTTTATAGTCCTAGAGGAACATTGGGACAGTCAAGGAAATCAGCTTCAGAAAATTGCGAAATTAGTTTTACAGAAATTGTGAAAAATTAGACACTATAAAACTTATCTCAAGAAATCGTGAAAAATTCAAAAATCTAGGAACGTTGATTTTTCTTTCATAAAATAATAATAAATCATAAATATTCAAATCTTTTTTTACAATACTTTTCGAAAAAAATAAAATCTGATGCAATTTTTCAGCGGACTTTAATGAATTAAAAGATCAGAAAATTTTACAGTAGGGTGTGACGATTTAATAAATATCAAAAATTGATTAGTGTTTTTCAGTACACATGACTAATTTTCAAGTTTTTCAGTAAAAGATATTAATATTCTTTTCATAAACAGTGAGAAATTTAGAAGTTTTGAAAAATTAATTTCTGCAGTCTATGACAAATTCAGAAATCTAAAAACTGATTTCTCAGCAAGTATTAATGAACTCAGAATTCTGGAAATGTTCTTTTTATCAAATCGTAATGAAATCAAAAGTCTGAAAACTGGTTCCTCAGCGCAATGTAATAAAGAAAGTCTATAAAACGAAGTTTTAGTAAATTTTTAAAACTCAAGTTTGAAAATATATGCTTTGATATTTTTTTATCAATTCAGCGGTATTACAACAGGCTTTTTGAAAACTGATAAATTTATAAATATGAAAATTTGGTTTTACATTGAGGCTTGAGAAATTAGAAACCTGAAAAACTGTTTTTTAGATAACTTTAGTAAATTGAGAAATCTGTAAAACTTGTTTTTCAGAAATTATGATAACTGCAGAAATCTGAGAATAATGGTTCCTATCAAATTGTTAGATAGAATTATTTACCATGCTATAATGAATTCAGATATTCATAACCGGTTTTTTTATTAAGACAGATAATTTCAGTAATATATTTCTGAAAAACACAATTGCTGAAGTATTCTGATGTATTGAGCAATAGTTTAAAGCACAATTTCTGCAACCTTCAGCATATTTGCTTAATTGTATCGACCAATAGTTTGTCATAAATAACCATCACCTATTTAGATTATTTTTATGTTTTTAATAAAACTAATCAGAGAAAATTATTGATGATATTAAGGAAAAATGATTAGAGCTTTTAAATAATACCTTAATGATCATTCAGATACATCTATACAGTCTAAATCTCCCTTCAAAACTTTTCTGCAAGTGCAGCCACGTCAAAGGCTTCTCAACCGATCAATTGCTTATCACATTAAAGAAACTCATCTTTTCAACATCTAGATTCGGTTATAAGTTCTTTGAACTAATTTGTTTACGTAAGAAACTCTCAGGAGTGTTAGTAACAGGAAGTAGAAGGGTAAGATAATGCCTTAGTATCTAAGGTGAGAAGATGAACTCGTGAATTATATTGTGTAAAACATTTATTAATCTCATAAATTTCACATACGATTATCTCAATGAAAATAGAGAAAACAAAGAGTAAGAACCCACGTAGGGTATAGAAAGGCCGAACCACTGTACATCTTAGTGTCCTTCACGTTCTAACGTGTAGTGTGTTGATTTTAAAATTTTGTCAATATCTTTTGAATAAAGTGATCTGGTAAATGGTACTGATTTAATATCTTCTAGTCGTATAGACCCTAGATGGATATGTTGCTAATTCATTGAATTTTTAATCTCTACAGAAGAAAATATAAATAGATGCGGATGCCATATCCTGATTCCTCTTGTCAACTTTGTTTTTTTAGTGCCATACGTTGTAGCATTTTGTGTTGTTTTATTCCAACTTATTGAGAAACTATGGAGAGATTAACTGAAAAAGTTGAGGTGCCATCATCGGTATGCATTTCTCGTTTTTCTATTCAATGTTAGACTAACTGAAAACGTTGAGGTGCCATCATTTGAATGCTTTTCTATTCAATCTTAGATTAAGTTTGTGACACAAGCAATATCTACCACATTGTTGAAATCTATTGCACGCGGAAAATGATGAATATTCTTTAAACTTATGGTTTAATGAGACAAAGATCGATAAACAGTTATTTTAAGGATACGCATGTAAGATAGCAACAAAATTGGAATTCTTATCTGTCTAGAAGATTGGATAGGCTCATTGGTTTACATATCAGTGCTGAAGAGTTGAGGAAAAATGTAAAGACGTAGCATCTTATAAACCTTTTTATGGTCACGTTATATTTAAAAATGCAGAACCTACGAATTCGTATTTCTTATTTACTTCCTGAATAAGAATTATATACACTGAATTAGATAGGAAATAAGAGTGATCAGTCCTTAAAATTCTGATTTTTGCATTCTCGCTTACTCGCCCTATTGCGTAAGCCCTCTTACGTTGCAGATAAAATAGCCCTGCGTATTAAATGGCCCTGATGGTCTATTTAATAGGTTGCAATAATGTGAATTAAAACCGTCTTATTGTTCGAAATCTGCCCACTAAGAAGTTCTCATGCTGGTTACGTAATAAAAAAAACCCAAGATATTGTCCTTCACGATTTAACAAACCGGAGTGAGGATCAGGAACTTAATCAGGACACTTGACCTATGGTTAGAATCCCATTATAAATATAAATATGGTTGGACATGGTTATAAATTAAAAGGGGGACTAAAGTAAAGGAAACTTTTTTCGCAGGAGGGCAACAGAAGAAAACAGGAGCCCGGTTGATAGTAGACTTCACCGTTCTGCCGAGGAACCCCAGACCTCCCCCTAAGATTAGCAGCTGTTTGAGAGATCTGCAGTGCCGCTTGCCTCATAAAAATCTCGAGAAGGCGCATGCCATATATGCCAGACAATTGACGACCGAAAAGCTCACGGCAACAGCACAATCAACGGCACAATATTGAGAAGGCGCAGGGAACGCGCCAAAAAGTCTGTCATCAGCCCGGGGGACGGGGTAGGGGGGTAGCACGCAGCAGGAAGAAGGGAGGACCGATTTAGGCATGGTGAGCCTCCTCTTCCTCTTCCTCTTCCTCGTATTCCTGGTCGGCGGTGGCGTCCTGGTACTGCTGGTACTCGGCGACGAGGTCGTTCATGTTGCTCTCGGCCTCGGTGAACTCCATCTCGTCCATGCCCTCGCCGGTGTACCAGTGGAGGAAGGCCTTGCGGCGGAACATGGCGGTGAACTGCTCGCTGACCCGGTGGAACATCTCCTGGATGGAGGTGGAGTTGCCAATGAATGTCGCAGCCATCTTGAGGCCCTTGGGCGGGATGTCGCACACGCTGGACTTTACGTTGTTTGGGATCCACTCCACAAAGTAGGACGAGTTCTTGTTCTGCACGTTGATCAGCTGCTCGTCGACCTCCTTGGTGCTCATCCTCCCCCTGAACATGGCCGAGGCGGTGAGGTAGCGCCCGTGGCGCGGGTCCGCCGCGCACATCATGTTCTTGGCGTCCCACATCTGCTGGGTGAGCTCCGGCACCGTGAGCGAGCGGTACTGCTGCGAGCCCCGCGAGGTCAGCGGGGCGAAACCCACCATGAAGAAGTGCAGCCGGGGGAAGGGGATCAGGTTCACCGCCAGCTTCCTCAGGTCGGAGTTCAGCTGCCCAGGGAACCGCAGGCAGCAGGTGATCCCGCTCATAGTGGCCGAGATCAGGTGGTTGAGATCCCCAACTGGAGCGAACACAGAGGGCAAGGGACAGGAGAGAGGGGGGATCAGACACTCGAGCCGAGAAGGAAAGGGAGGAGAGAGAGACGACTTACAGGTGGGGGTAGCGAGCTTAAGTGTGCGGAAGCAGATGTCGTAGAGGGCTTCGTTATCCAGGACCATGCACTCATCGGCGTTCTCCACGAGCTGATGGACTGAGAGGGTGGCATTGTACGGCTCCACAACGGTGTCGGAGACCTTTGGCGACGGGAAGACCGAGAAGGTAAGCATCATGCGGTCCGGGTACTCCTCCCTGATCTTGGAGATGAGGAGAGTCCCCATGCCGGACCCTGTGCCACCCCCCAACGAATGGCAAACTTGGAATCCTGTGTCGTCACGAAAAGGGAGAGAAAAGGACCAATGGAGATCAGCATGTGTGCTATCATAGATAATCCACGTCTGTCCTCCAGCAAATTCACCAGGCCTCACAACGAAATTATCCAGTTAGAACAATTAATCAAGTAACGTATCCAATGAGATTCACAGTAAAAGGATGTAGGCAGGGTTTTGGCAGTGAAAGGAACTAGAATAAATACCCGACCCGATCACGGTCAACAATAGATGCACATGTAACCCATGTGTCTCAAAATACTGCGATTACCAGGCCTCAGGACGTGATTAATTCTCATGTGGAAATCCATCAAATAATGTAGGCAATACTCTCTACGTCATCACAGGCCAGTCCACTTTATCCTCGTCCTCCTAGAGAACGAGGCAATAATATCTACGTCATTTAAGGCCTCTCCTCGTCCTCTCACTGGAGGAACTTCTGTACCTTACCAACTAGCGCATAGAAAACTACTGTAAATCCCGAAAGAACAATAAAAAACTGACGCAAGCTATGATCTATAGAGGGATTAGCATCATATTAGTAAAGAAGTAGAAATGAAATGAGAAAGAAAACAAAGAGGTAGACAGAGAGTAACAGGAAAACGCTTGATAACTGATGAAAAATGGAGAACAGGCACTATCATTTTTCTTTTGCAATCTAGCATCAGAATTACCCACAAATCAACAGAACCAGCTTAGTAAAAAGATCAACAACTTCAACTTCTTCCATCGTTGGGGAACGATGAGATCTATGGACGATTGGAATGGCTTGAATATTCCAGACAGCAATCTAAATAACAACACACTAAAACGACGATTAGACAGAAATGACACGATCCCAACGAAAAAATACTTCAGATTCATCAATGTATGACAATTTTACCCGTGTCTTCATGCTATTAAGCTAAATGTTAAGGTTTAACAAGAAAAAAAAAGGGTAAAGCCGTATTCCTATATTTTTAAAATTGAAAAAGGGAAAAACATCGCGATAGCCGACCCGATCAAGCGCAAAAAGCAATAACCATTCAGCGCATCCAGATGTTATTTATATACCTTGAAGACAGTCACAATTCTCGGCCTCCTTGCGGACAACGTCGAGGACTGAATCAATCAGCTCAGCGCCCTCCGTGTAGTGACCCTTGGCCCAGTTATTCCCGGCACCGGACTGCCCGAACACGAAGTTATCCGGACGGAAGACCTGGCCAAAAGGTCCGGAGCGGACGGAGTCCATAGTGCCAGGCTCTAGGTCCATAAGCACCGCCCGGGGAACGTACCTCCCCCCACTCGCTTCATTGTAGTACACGTTGATGCGCTCTAGTTGCAGATCTGAATCGCCGGAATACTTTCCCGTCGGATCGATCCCGTGCTCATCGCAGATCACCTCCCAGAACTTGGCCCCGATCTGGTTCCCGCATTGCCCTCCCTGGATGTGCAGGATCTCCCTCATCCTTGATGTTTCTTTCCGGATGCTAGGAGGGCTCGAGGCGACGGCCGGAGAGGACGGTGGTGGAGTGATCGCGGTAGGAGAGAGGGTACGCCGAATGAAAAACTGGAACTACAACTGGCGAGGGACCCATTTAAATAAAAGGTTTGATATGTACACACACCTTACGGTAGAGTTACCGCCTGCAATGTCTGTAGCAAGGTGGCAGACAGCGAGGAGAACGCAGAATGTCCTTTTTACACTTACTTGTTCCTGGATTTACAGACTCGGGCTTCATTCAACACTCGATTAGCCCGCTTTTTGTCATCATCTAATCTCTGACTTCTCTTAATTAAAGGTCTTCAAGTTCAAGAAATACATGATATGAAAACATTTTTGGCGAAACCATGTAGAATTTCAGTAGTTTAGCATTCATCCTTGTGAAGGGCTTTTTCGTAATTTAGTGCTCTTGTCGGGGAGTTTTATGGATGGGTAAAATTGTCATTGAACAAACTTTATACATTTTCATCCACTTGAGCCAGCTGGAACTTTTCAGTGGTCCATGCCGCCGTTGGGCCGTCGAGTTCCGAGCTCTGTGATTGGGAAAGAAAATCCGAAACCCCAATCCTTGGAGACCGTCTGATGGATGAGACAACTGATTGGCCCACCAAAACGACGAAGGATAGGGGGGGTGAGGCTGATGGGGCCTGAATGGGAGACGCCAACTACCTACAGCGGCGGGTTCCCCGGCCTTGTCTCTTCATGATCAGATCTTTTTTCGGTTTTTTCGCGTAAGCTCCTCGTAGAAATTCGCATTTTGCTGTAAAGGCCCCACTTTTTGAGTCCAAGTCATCGTATATGACACCGAAAATGAGGTGTCAACACTTCTTGCCGGCGATATTCCAGATGTTCTTTGTATATTTTATCATACCAAATTTAAGATATAAACACCAACCCTGTTCTACTGGATTTGATGCACGTGGGCATGATGATGTATGGTTCATGAGGGGAGGAGGGTTGGAGGACAATTCCAATACTACAGTTGGTGAGCCATCAATCTCTACAGCCCACTCTCTGAGCTCAACTCCCCAACAACTCTCTCTCTTTCTCTCGCACGGTTAGGTATCATGTCTCTGGCTTAGTTCGGCAGGCGTTCTCTTGAATGCGAAGGCGTGCGGCCCCCGGCCTCTCTCACCCTTCAGACGGACGGTGGACCGGCGATCGCCAACTTCATCTTCGATTCTCGGCGGCTCCAAGTTCTCTCATGGAGGAGGCACACACAGAAAGCAGATAATCGCGAACAGGATGTAGCAGACTACGGAGATCGGCAGAAGAATGTTTGCACTATTTCCTCGTCAAGGCAGTGGATAAGGAAGGCATTGCTTATTGAGCGTAGGATTGCAGGTTCTTCGCGTGCTGGCGGCGATTCCGCCGCCTAGTTGGCACGGTCTCTGAGCACTTCGATGTCCAGCTCGGAGGAATCGGTGGCCTGGATCTCATAGTGGACCCCGTCCAGCTCCCGCCTGAATCGATCCTTGGAGGTCGCATACAGCATCTTCGCTCGGATCCGGGACACAGAAGGCGACCTGCTCCGATCACAGAGTATATGACGTGATGGAACGAATGATCGGATCGGAGATCTCCGAAGCGAAGGGAAACGGCGGGGATTTGACGAAAGGAGGACCAGCAGCTCACCAGGCGACGAAGAATATCTTGCTCTTCTGGCAGTTCTCTTCGGTCACAAAGTCCAAGTCGTAGATCGCGTACCGGCAGTCGTCCTCCGGCAGGGAGGCCAGGAAATCGTCGTAGCTCTCCGCCGCGCCGCCCGTCTTCTCGACGATGACCTCCTTCAGCTTCTCGTCAATCCGGAAGACGACGTAGCGGTGCGCCTTCTTCCTCTGAAGCTCGAGAAAGGTGCGTTTGCAGTCGTCGGCGACGCCCATCCCGGAGGACGCATTCGACTGGAACAGTAAAACGACAGGGGGAAGATGCGGGAAGAAGCGACTTCAGAGGATCGATGGCAAACGTCAACGACCAGGTTTTATACAAAGAAGGCAGCATTCTTCGAGCTCTGTAGTGAGGTGGTTTTGATTATCGAGTAAAGCATAGATGAACATCATTTACGGGAATATGATAACACCCGCCACAGATCATCAAGTTTTAGAGGAGATCTCAGGAAGGAAGATCCATGATCGGAGTCTAAAATTTACAACAGGGAAGACTATACCTCTGAGAACAAAGAACTGAGCAGAATCATCAATAACCCCCTAGGGGTAAAATCTGAATCGACCGAGAAACCAGCCACGCAAGCAGATGAGGAGGAAGAGGAGATTGGCATTCACCAGAAAACCACCAGTCGACCACCACTGTGCTTTTGTGGAACTCGTGGAAGAAAAACTCACCGATCTGAAAGACATCTTCCGATCTTCGTCAGGGAAGATGAGCTGGGGGGAAAGGGCTTCAGCTCAGTGCTCTAGAAGGGTCGAGGAGCGCGGAAGGGCTCGAGCTCGTGAAATGGAAGGAGATGGGAGACCGGGAGAGATCAATGAGCTGGGACGGGGGGGGGCTGGAATCACATTCCCCGCCCTGCTTTTTCCGTGTGGGCCGCTGGGAGAGAAAAAGGAGGAGAAAGTAGGCCGCCGAATGCTTCCGCCCCCCGCCCCCCCCCCCCGCCTCCTCCTTTTTCATTATTCCTCCGATAAAACGAGAGGAGACCAGAAGACGACCCCCACCGCCCAACCCCCCATCTTCATGGTGGAGGAAAGCGGTGGCTGGACGGGTGCGCCCCGCCGTCGTCCTGCGAGTGGGCTGCTGGACGTCACCTCCCAGCAGGAGCAGAGAAGATCGCATCCGGGGATATGAGTTGCCTACGTCCGCCACAGCGCGGAAAAGAAGAAATTCAAGTAGTTTCAAGTATTTCTCTTTCGACATTTTTGTCTGTCCCTCATTTTTATTTTTTTATTTCGTTCTTTGATGTTGTCTCAATGTTCTCTTGTTATTTTTTCTACTGTTTCAAATCCAATGGACGCTATTTATCCAGACCAGCCTGGGCTTCTGTCTAGTATTTAGATTAAATGGGCACAATTAGAGTAATAACGATAAAAAATTGTAATATCTGAAATATATATATCATAAATAAATAGAATCCTTCAACCTTAGTCGGATATAACTTTGTTTGAAAATAAGGGTAATGAAATCGGAAATATGAGCAACTTGAGATAGTTATGAGGATAGTCAAAGATTACGTAAAATAACTATCCGTTCACATGAACACAAGTTTCGGTGTTCATTACAGAAATACTACTAATAATAATAAATACAGATGAAACATAATGAACAAAAGTTTATAGAAGTAAGGTAACAATAAAAATAAAGGTTTTATATACTGAAGTCATTCAACACTCTCGCCTAGCAAGCCCTCTATATCTTATCAGGGCATCGTTTCATAATCAACGCTGCCTCTGATTGATAGGGAGGATCCAAGCATCAACAAACCCGAGAAACTCCAATGGGCCTGGAACAAAAAGTTATCTCAAGTCTTTTACCAAGATAAGGGGCAGTCAGCTTCAATAAATGAAGCCTTCACACAGATACGAACCATACAAAAACACCTTTCGATGACTACTTAAGTGATAGATCATGCAAAATTCTCCTCCCAGAAAATGTTTTCTGTGCCAACACAATGAAGATCAGAACAATTCATCCTTTTTTATGGATCCTGCTGATTAGTAGACTGGTTTTCAGCGAAAGTGTCCTTGTGAGCAATTGGAATACACATGATAACCAGTAATAGTGACAAGCCCGGATATGACAAATAGAAACACCATTGACGACATAGTCGGGAACTGCATTCCCGACAATGCTTGGACCAAACGTGAAAAAGACATTATAAGAAGTCTGTCTGTTACCTTGGTTGAATCATATATTTATTGGAGAGAGAAATTCTACAAAGATAATGAAGCAAAACTTCATTTTTGGTCCGTATCTCAAGCAAAACTTCGATGAAAAGGTGCCGGCTTACACCGTATCCCTCAGCTTGAACAGCATCAGCGCTTCTTCCAATGGTGCCTCATCACTCTGATGTAGAATGAGCTCCATCTGGAAAACTCAATTCATAGAAGAGAAAAGTCCAGCAGTTGAGTTATCTGCTGTTTTCTAGACGTTGAATCTAAAAAGCATGACATCCCCTTCTTGGACGATGTAATCTTTCCCTTCAGATCTCAGCTGAAAATTCGTGGAGGAATACAGAATTTAAACCCAAAAAATAGTCCAATCTTCTTATGATCTTCATCACAGAATGTGGAAACTGAGAAAACCCGTATGAGATCAACTTTGTCACAGATCTGGACACGAATAAAAGCAGTAATTTGAGTTGGAATTTGTCAAACTTACAAGTCCCTTTTCCCTTGCAGTAGCCAACGAGCCAGCTTTAACAAAATCGTCATAAGACACCTGATTATGATGCATCAAAAGGTCACGAACGTGACTGTACAAGTACCATCTACAACATAACTATTTTACAAAAACTCTGGCGCGATGAAGCATTTTTGTGGGTTAAGTGGGAGAAAAGAACAGCCTGTAGTGCGAATGTTGGAGGCAGATGTTTAAATCATCAAGGTATGAAGGAGCAATGTCATGATTGATCGCTAAATATCAACAAACTAATCAAGGTGGCCAATGACAAACATCACAGTGAGACAGAGAAAGCACAGAACGGTATGTTTTAAACATGATTGTCTGAAGCGGGAGGCGGGAATCTCCCAATGAAACCAATGCAATGGCGGGGAACAACATTGTTAACGATCTGTAAAGAAAGATTTCATGGCCAGCGAAAAACCAGAATAACAGCTATGAACATCTTTAAAGTGGAGGATTCAACATCTTTCACAGGCAATTGCAGACTCATAAAGCTGCATCCGGCAATTGATTGTTAAGAAGATCAACAGGTTGCCATAGATTGGCTTAAACAGCATATAATTTTAATGTTATTCTGAGTTGTAATAAAATTCATATTCATTCCATTAATCCAAGGAATATCTACAACTCTGTCAACCATATAATAGTTTTCCGGCCTTTGCCACATTCTCTGTAGAGCCAAGCGCATACAAATAGTAAAGATATTTATGTAAAATTATACAAGTACGACAGGAGTAGTTCTGGAAACATTGTTTTCGCAAAATTTGAATTGGTCTTTTAGTTTGTGAATGAAAAAGAAAAAAACTGAAAGTAACAGTCAAAGATGTAAGCTCAATACTTTTTTGACATTTACGAAAGATATAATCCACCAGATGACCAATAATTTCCTAATGGCTAAACAAAATTACATGCGCTCCACCATAATCTTTATGGAAATAAATTGCTTCAAATGGTGAGGGGTTCTCGCTATCATCGGGATCTCTTCACCTTAGAGGAGATGTTTTTATAATCCAAGGTTGTATTATTTTAATACGCTGCACTAAATTATTATCTACCTCCAAGAAAAATAAAGGGTGGTTTACTTTGCAGAAAGGGAAAAAAGGGGCATTTGACCCCAACCAAAAACATAGACTATCAAGTCAAAGAAAAGCAACGGTAATATATCAGTTAGATAAAGGCTCTTACAGTCTCTGCTCTAATGAAGCCTTTTTCAAAGTCTGAGTGAATAACTCCAGCAGCTTGTGGTGCTGTCATGCCTGTACGTCGAAAAGTAAATAATCAGATATGGTTTTCAGCAGAGTGGAAAAAATAAAGCCAAAAAAGAGAGAACAGGAACACAGAAGAAGATGATGAAATTAATGCAAAAAAATAACAAGCAAATAAACCTGCAAGTATCGTCCATGCTTTTGATTCCTGTACGTAAAGAAACACAAAATGAAAATCTGCAACTGTGAAAGAAAAATGGAAAGTATTCCAAATTCAATCTTGAAGCTGACAAAACACAAAACCACCTTCTCTCCAGATGTGAAGTATGTACGCAAACCCAAAAGGCTGTAAGTTGTTCTTATAAGATTTCCCAGTCCACTCTCATTGACACCAAGAGAAGTAAGGTACTCCTCTCTCTCTTCAGATGGAAGCTCAGTGAGCTCAGCTTCAACCTGACAGTTATAATGTTCAGCTGATCAGAGTGTTTAGAAGATGTCAAAATGGATAAGTTACACAAGGGTAATGCTGAATAATTTGTTTTAATAATCACACAAGTTGCATAGATACACATACAGAACCATATCCACTATAGGATTGTGCGGTGATTGAACTTTCCAGAAGACTTGTACTTTAAGCATCACATCATACGACATCCAATATATGATGGGTTTAGGACGCACATATTTCGTGCAAAGGAACCCAATCAACAAGCATTTCCGTCTCAACTACGCAGCTCATTCCATGTCATGCACAAACTTTTTGATCAGGAGCATTTCCTGCATCATCCTTGAACAAAATAATCTCAATTTTTCACCAGGATTTATTGAATCAGACTCAGGATCCAATGCATCCTGCAGAGTCTCCCCCCCGCTAAAGACCTAGCTGACTGACCCAGCTGATCGTCAAGCGTATCACAGCTCACTGAGTCCATGAAGTGAGTCGGATCTTACGAGACAAACTGAGATGGAAGGAGCTGGAAAACCATGTTTATCACTGATTATTAAATAAACTACAAAACTGCTAAGCTATAATGCATAATTCTGTTACAAGATATCCTACTAATCATTAATCATCAAGGTCAGATTGTCAACAGCAATAGAGACATACATTACCGAATGCTTAAATGGAATATAAGCGCTTTTCTTCCCTATCAAATTAGTATGAAACTATTAGCGTCATGTTCCTTTCTCAACCTTTCTTAAAACAATATTTCTGCTTCTCAACGGATTTTTTCAAACAAGTTGAAGTTTATAAGCTGCAAATGGAAGGAATATTACCCTAGATTAATATGGAAGAGTTCGGCATGGTAACACTACCATTTGCAAATAAACTTAAGGACGCTGTATTTCTCATGGGAGAACAATACATAGCTTTTCAATAGATTTACTGTAAAATATTGTGAAAACATTAAGAGGAATCACTGAATGAGATCAAAGAATTTGAAGGACTCCAAGTTATCAATCATTAATTCCCTTCACGTGTTTAACACTAAAATGATGTCAAGTGTTAAAACACGGATAACAATTTCGATAAAAAGTAATCATCACCTTTTGGAGGACATTCATCTTAAAGAGAGTTATGACAACATATGAGACATTCACTCCAAACAGAAAAGTTAGTAGCTTTTAAACTAGTCTTTAACGAACTAATATGACTTGAGATGATCATAACCATAATAACTGGCGGGGTAACAAACTACATATTTGCATCCAGGTTTTCTATCATTGTAAACATCTGTCATGCCATTTATCAGATCAAGGGGGCTGAGATAAAATCGATCTCTAGCAATCTATTACCATTTATCTCTGACTTTTTTGGCACACTTTTTTTTTGATGATGGAAATCGCTACAGCAAGTACATTTAATTTAAGGCACTAACATTTATAGTAACAGAAAACGCACTGGCCTTTAATATGTTGATGAAATTATTTTATATGAATGTATGCACATAAAGTTCTTGATAGGCAGTGGCTTCTCATGATGTTAGAGATTGTTACAGGACTGAAAAACTGCAAATTTTCCTCTGAGGATATGGGCTCTTCCATTTTTGGATGGGAAGACTGATTCAAGGATTGAGATTGCATCCTTAGGCAGTTTACTAAAAGGTTGGAAGGAGAGAAAGCAATAGAGTAACTTTTTGTTAATGGCATTAGCAGATATCTATACCAAGTATTGCGTAATAGAACTTTGGAATTATAGCACCATCTTAATTCTAAAACAGCCTACCTGTGCTGAGACTGTCACCATACCAGATTGCAACTCCAATGCAAGATCCATCACTTCTCTGACATGAGGATTACTCTCAGGAACCGCCAGATCTGATTCAGCAACATTAGCTACATATATGATAGGTTTCATGGTGAGTAAACAGAGCTGCCGCACAGATTCCTTCTCAGCATCTGTTAGAGGGACAGATCTTGCAGGTTTTCCGTCCATAAGAGACTTCTGAATTCTTTCCAATGAAGATCTTTCTGCTTCCTCCTACGTGGAATATAAGAAAAAAAACAATCATCAGCAGATCGTTTAACTTTGAACCATTGGTTACAGTTCCAGCTTGAAGCATGAGATGCGTTCTATCTATTATTTTACCTTCAGCTTGGATTGTGAATCCTTTGCTTTCCCTTTCTTGAGCCTTTCTAGTCTTTTTTCAGTCTGAATAATCAATGCACATGGTTAGATTGACTGGAATGTTCAACTCATAACCATTTTTTATTTATAACCATAGATTTATTTATACAGTTACCAATATAGGACTATTGTCAGCACATGTAACATACTGACCATAGCGTATTATTGTCTGTGGACAAAAATGAGGCAATATGACGGAATCAATGATGCATAAAAAGACTGACTATACCTGATCGAGATCTGCAAATATCAGTTCTAAGTTAATGACATCAATGTCGGACTTGGGATCAACTCTGCCATTAACATGAACTATGTCATTATCTTCGAAACAACGAACCACCTGAGAAACTAAAACAATTAACAACGAACCTTGGATCTCCAGCAGTTATACAAATAATTAAAACGATCAATGCTATTATTAACCTCCAGAAATTGATCTGCAAAAATCTATTAAATTTCTATTACATAACTTTCTGAATTTCACAAATATATAAAACCCATTATCGTTCAGCTTTTTGTAGGACAGAAAACACTAATATGGGAAGGGCAGAAAAATTAGCAAAAAAAAATTTTTGCAGGTAGTAGATCCATGCAAAGCTATTAAAAATCTACAGGAATAATCCTGGATTGGCTCAAAATTGCACAAGGGACTTGGGCTAAATCGGTTAATGTTTTTCATGTAGACATTTATCAGAAAACAAGCTCCAGTGTAGAAGCTTGGTTGCGTTCGAATTTTAGTCATTTAGTAGCCTGCATTAAAAATAAACCTCTTTGGGAACTACTCTGCCAGAAAAACTGAAATTATATATTTCCTATTCTCATCCTTGACCCACAGATTGTGTGCTCTCTTCTCTCTGCCCACCAGGTATGCTGGAAACCACTCTGAATTTTTTACAGTCACTAAATCTCTCTCTCTCTCCTCCCCCTCCCCCTCCTTCCGTAATTCATGTTGGCATAGCTTCCTCTGTTCAGACTCCTCTCCTACTGATCCAGTAATTTTGAATCCCAGGGGCCAATCATGTCAAAAAGCATTGTTCTACAGGTTCCAATCTTCATTCAACTCACAAGTATCCTATGATATGAATGAGGCACACAAGGTTCCAACTAGGGAAATCCCCAGCAACAAGATTTCAACTTTATCCAAATTTTATAGAGGCAATACACATGTAAAGTCTTGCACAAGCCATACTTCTTTTGTATGGTATCATACAAGTTACATAAGAGAGTAGAGTCAGACAAGCCCAATATGGTTTGGCTTCTGGCTGATCCATCCAACCTGAACCAGGCTCCCGAAAGAGTCTCCTACCGTGATAGCCAGTCATATAAAAACAGACACGTAACTCAAATTAGTCCATGAGAAGCTTAATGCACCATCTGGAACACACTCGCAATAAAATGAAACTTTCGTCAATTTTCAAGGTGAGAATATTCATTGAGAAAAAGTCAATGGATACCACTTCAATTATCTGTTGTGTACCATTCAGAGTTACTCACCTATGGATTGTCCACTGCTCGAACATCACTTGTGACCACCAACAGAGACATGCTATGACTCCATCCGCAATACCATTGTCTGTGTACCTCTGGTGCTAGCATTTGCGTTTGCACCAAAATGCCACTGTTATTGACTACACCAACGGAACCATTTGGGATGTCCAACTTCAAATGTTGATGATAACTTCAACTGCATGTACTACACTGTCCGAAGTTGCAGGCATTGTCATACCAAGGTTTTGGAGATATTTATCTTCATCGTTTCTCTCTATTGAAAAAGAAACGAAACACTCATTCAAATGGATTCCAGACATGAGACATTTGCTGCAAACTGCTTGTATCCCTGGGAAACCAGTCACCCACTACTACTTCACACGTTTTAGAACTCAAATCATCCATAACAAACATTTCAGGCATTGGACCCTTTCTTTTCAAGGCGATTGCAACAAATTCAGTATGGAAAGAACATACAAGGATATACATGTGCAGACAGCTCTCACGAAAAGCCAGAACCTCAGCCCTATATACAATCAAATAGGAACTCCAACCCAAATCTTGTTCCTATGCACTTGAATCGAGTCATCTCCTCATTCATTACAAAGCATCTTGCCTGTTTTTTTATTCTTTATCAAGAGAAAGTTTTTTACACACAGATTAGATTATCCATGCATTATGTTGATTGGGTCCCGGTTCAATTGGGAAATAAAATGTTCAGGTCACTAAATTAAGTGAACCTCGATTGCTTCGATATGCAAACACATGAAACAAATTGAACTTATTGAACCTTGCTCTCTTTGAAATATAGATTCAAGAAAAAAACCTTTTTAAAGTAGGAATTCTTGTGACATAACAGATTTCATGAAGAATAACACCAACTTCAATGTGAGATAACGAATATACAGTATTTTCACCTCCCAAATGGCAAACATGAGACCACGAGATACATTTTTTCAAACTAAAAACCTATTACGGTGGCATGGGAGAGCAGTTATTTGCTTTACAACCCAGCAATTAATCGAGAATCTTAACATGAAAATTATCAAAAGTTGAATGATATGTGCATAATAAAAATATTTAAAAATTGAAACTTTAAGAAAAAGTGTTTGAAAGAAACATATATGAAATATAGGAGATTATTCACATTTTGATGACTAAGAAATAAGAGGCGGCAAAAATGTTCCAACTTCTATATCCGAACCTGGAGTATAGAATCAACTTCGCGAATGTGTGAAAGAAATTTATTTCCCAATCCCTGAAAATTCCAAAGAAAGAATGATTTTGAGGGACTAGAATGTCAAGAACACAAGTTCCGTGATATTATCAAACAGACACCAGCTTTATCTAGAGCTTTTAATCATTTAACATGCTCAAGAATAATAGATAATGGAAAGAATAGCCCAGTTTTCTTCGACAATTTGCATCAATGATGGTTCACTGTTCCTCAAAAACAGAAATATCATATAAGTGGAAGCACATGGTGTGTGTTCTCATTAAAGCCTTGCACAGCTCGCTTTCCTTGCAGATTCTTATTTTAAATTTAATTTTCTTGATAGGATAGTACTGATAAAAATGTAGTGAAGCATGATAAGCCTCCACTCATTGCAACTAGAATGAGAAAAAAACTGTGAAAAAATCCTGATATTATTCATGGTGAACAAGAAGCCCAATTTAAAGGAGGTTCCCCAGGGGAATAAGAAGACAACGAATGAAGAAATATCTAAAATATATAAACACCATGAATAATGGCATAAGATACCTCCCCTTGACTCGCTCCCTTTACAAGCCCAGCAATATCGACGAACTCAATAGATGCTGGCACTGCTCGTCGGGACTTGCTTAGATTGGAAAGCACATTCAATCGTGGGTCCGGCACTGCCACAATTCCAACATTTGGTTCTATTGTGCAGAAAGGAAAATTGGCAGCCTGAGCTTTTCCATTCTCAACCTGGAAAAAATGATTTGTACGTCCAATTGAACAATCTCGCTAGTATAAATGAAAGAGAATAATTCAAAATCATGACGGGAAAAAGGGTTATAAAATGAGAACGATAACTGCACAGGGCAGCCCAACGCACTGGTAAGGAAGAAAAATATGGAAAAAATATACGAGAAAATTCAAATTTAAAACAACAAGTACAAGACGTCAACGACGATAAAATGGGCGGAAGACCCAGGCTTTCGATGGGATTACAATAATTTTGCGACAAATACTGATAATTAGCATAGCCCAGATACCACTGAGACAAAAACAGGATATAAATTATGTTCTTGAGGGGGACAGTGGCGGTTCACCAATATTTTTCCTTCAAATAATAATTCACATTTGAGGAAGGAATTTCTCCCTGTCAAAGAGATTCATTTTGGTGAATCCAGAACGGCTGATAAGCAAGAGGTTCGAAGTGAGCGAGAGAGAGAAGAAAGAGAACTGACGACGGCGTTGAAGAGGGTCGATTTTCCAACATTTGGTAGCCCGACGATCCCGGCCCTCAGGCTCATACTTATCCTCGAGGAGTAGGGCCTTCCCCACTGCCATTGCGGAAGCCGAAAACAAGAAGAGAGCAGAGGATGGCTCCTGCCTAGCCCTATGAGCTCGGGGACTGGAAGAAGTAGCCGATTCTTGCAAACAAGAACCCTCACCATTGGCCTTCCCTGGCCTCTCGCCGCTGGAGCTGGTGCTGAAGGCGGGGTTTGTGGGGATGGAGGGAAACGGAAACGTGTGTGTGGTCAGCTCCACTGATTCGCGAGCGGCTCACCGTAGTAGGATCGACAGCGTATCTCTTAAATCTGTGAAGTAATCAAAATCATGTTTTTTCTGTTGCATAATTTCTTATAACAGTTCTATTAATTATTAAAAAAACCTTTAACTTAGTTTTTAACTAAGTTGTTGCTAGATTGTCAACGATCCCAAGCCTGCGTCCTACGATAAGTGTACGGCACTGATAAATCTCAGTCCACTATTTGGCAGTTGTTCGGATTTATTTCTAGTTATCAACAAAGGTTGGTCAAGAAAATTTTCGAAGAAGGTATTCCTTATTATTCCGAAAGTAATCTAAAAGCAATCAAAATTTCATCACAATCTATTATTTGTAGACCTCTATGTCTCTCTCTCTCTCTCTCTATATATATATATATATATTTATATTTATTTATTTATAATTTTTTACTTACACACACCGCCTTCAAGAGTTAGTCCTTTTTCTTGTTATCTATTCTTACACTGTTGCCCACATTTTAAGAATTTTCAAATCTTATGATTTATTGAGTCGTTTCTCACTTCAATTAATTTTCTCAAAAAGTTATTACAAATATGGCTCCACAACATGCATAGCTATCTTGCAGTGCTTCCATTGACCAAATGCAAGATTCTGGCATTTCCATAGTTTTGTCTTTGATTATATGCCTAATTAATAATATCCCAGGAATTATTAGGATAATTACAGCTTCTATTATTATTATTATTATTATTATTATGACTATTATTAACAGTAGATTTCCAACAATCATGTCCGTGATGAGCAAAACTTGTTGCAAAAAAAAGTTGACGAAGGGGTACGCATAGATGCTTACCTAAAAGTACGTTGGCATTGGCCCCGATGCGTATAAGGTCAATGAGGACAGGCCGACCCTCCCAATAAACAGAGGAGGAGATTTTCCTCGGTTGAAAAGTTAGATTAATCGAGCAAAAGTTAAATGGGCTGTAAGGCTTTCTGCTGGAGCCAAGTATACTAAGAAGAAGACTCGACGACAGACGACGACATGTGGTCGGTCCCACGGGGTTTAGAGAACCCCCTGCGACGCCCAGAAAGAGAGGCGAGAGAACTATGGCGTGACTCTCCCTCCTCCGACTCTACCAGGGGGTTCCCTTTCGTCTGCTAGACCTCGTCCTCTCCATGGCGTCTGCAGCTCTGCGGAGGAGGGCATTCGGGGGCCTTCACGGCGTCGGATCCTCTCTCTTTCACTCGGTTGCATCTCCGACCTATGGCGCCATCGCGAAGGTTGTCTTGTGCTTCTGTTTTCCTCTTTTGCTGGGATCATCCACCCTTTCAAGTGCGTTCGGGTATCGCTTTTCGGCTTGGTGGGTGACACGACATTAGTAGGATTGTTGCTGGGCAATCAAGTTTTCATGCCGCTCGTTTGTGTGTTCGTGTGTTCACGTTATTATCGTTCTCAAGACCTCGCCGATTCTTATCTTTCCTGCCCGATTGTATTTGATTCAAAATGTATTTGTTTATAGGAACCGTATGGCTGTGGTTCCAGTTTTTCCCTCTTGTCCCTGTTGCGACGTGGATTATTTCGCCATTTATCAACTACTACGTCAAGTGGAACAGAAGCAGCATCTGTAGTACTACCAGCTACGACCAGTGAGCCGGTTGTTTCTGTCGATTGGCTCCATGGTTCTCTCAGGGAACCTGATCTCAAGGTGAGATCCCTTTCCGTACCGGTAATGCCTTGTATTGTCGGGTGTTGCCCCCAAAACCCTCCGCCCCCGTACCAGTCAGTCTGGAAAATAGTTGCCAGTAAAATGATTAAACACGTACTTTACTGTCAAATATATTCTCCTTTTTTGTCAATCTCCCTATATTTGCACGCCATGGGAGAAATAAACCAATGTATCAAAAATGACCTTCATCGCAAATGAGTTACCTGATGCATCCACTAAACTTTGCCACCTCAACGTGTGGTTTAACATTTTCTATTTTTCGAAACATCTATATCCAGTCGAGTCTAACCCGATCCCATTTTTTTAATATTTTTCTCTAGTCCTTAAGTGTCTTCACAATTGCACATTATTTGTTGCTGCTACTGTAGCTCGCCCGTCTGCCTCATTATCATCATCTTGATCCACTTTCTCTGTCGACTTTAGCTGCTTCCACTGTCTTTTTCAGTATTTTTTTTTTAGACCCATACAGTTTTTCAAGTCTTCAGTGGGATATTTTAGTCGTAGTTTTCTCTTAGCTAGTGCATCTCTTCACTGGTCACTGTGTCAATGAATTTTATCTCGACATGCATAGATTATCTTTAGCTATTCATGATACATAACCTTTTGAGAAAAAAATTCATTTGAAAGTAGAATGTGGCGAATCCAGTGATTGAGTATTTATTTATCATTATAGGTCAACGACATTGTCTGTTTGAACCTGTAATTTGTTGGTGTACCTAGTCTCCCCGTTGGTTAAATAGTTTTTGGTGGTTTTTCTTATTCCTCAATATTCGAATAAGTTCTCCAAGTTAGATTTGATCCTTTCCTCGCTAATATGCATATCTTTTGTTTTATTCTCTATTCAGGTATTGGATGCATCTTGGTACTTGCCGAATGAGCAACGAAATCCGCTCCAAGAGTACCAAGTATGCAATCTTACTATATTCTTCATTTTTAAATTTTCAGTTGTGTTGACGTTATGCCCTGTCTGTTTTGAAAAAAATAATTGATATATTTTTTTCATGTCATGCGTTGTTAATGTTCAACGTATCCTTCCTACATTCTGCAAACAGATCATTTTCTTGTTTCAGTCTGCTCAAGATCCTTACGTTTACTGAGTAGTTTTTTAATCCTGCCCTTTTGTGTTCCCTATCTTCTCCTTTATTGTTTCAATAAGTACTAAAATCCCTTTTTGCATATTGTTGTTTAGGATCCTTGTATCCCAAAAAGGTATCGTGAAGTTACTTTTCAGTAAAATAAATGTGGAGCTTTATCTCTTTTTTATTTATAAAAATAATGAGTTAATTCTATCCATAAAATTTGAATGTTTATATTGTACGTTTCCATTAAAAACTAAAAACTGTATCCAAATTTTTGCTTCTAGTTAAAACTATCTCCCAAATAGGATGGGATGATAAATGTTTAATGCTTCTAATTTACCATTGTATTTTGCTCCCCAACTATGTTTCTTTCCGGTGTCACTTTGGTATGGCGATGGTATATTTCTAAAGCTTGTGTAACATGGCTGAACCAACAATTGTGTTCCTCAGAAAAACGATAGCATGATTTTCTTTTTTCCTGAGATGGTGGAAAACATTTTTCTTGTCCTGGGAATGTACACTTTTTTTTCATTCGGCTGTTTCAGGTGAACTTCTCTTTCTGCAAAATGTTGGACCACATTACTCGTTGATGATATTATCCGTGCGATCTTTAAAATTTATCTGTTTAATAATATAATGTTCGTTTAATATGCGAAGTAAAATCGAATAACGAAATTTTATGGGGTGCATTGTTGTATATATGTTCTATTACTTGCTAATAAAATATCTGAGGCCACTGTGCTGATAGAGTTTGAACTGGAACATTTTTAATAAAGATGGTCGATTTAGATGTCTAGCTGTTGTGGATTGAATATTTCTGTAAATACACTTGAATTATTATGAACTCAATTTCCCTTTACTATGGAACTCCCTGCAGGTGGCTCATATTCCTGGCGCGCTTTTCTTTGATATCGACGGGATATCAGACAAGAATAGTAATGTGAGCTAGAATTTTATGGAGACCTTCAGTCATGCTCTTTACATCAATACTGGTGCTATGTCTCCTTACTGTATTCGTATCTAGGCTTTCAGGGGGTGCGGTGACTTCAATGTCTCAAATAGCTCTAAATAGGTGTATTATTTGCTCATATATTTACACATATTGATGCTACCTCTTTACTTGACAAAATCAGACTGAATCTGAACTCAGCTAGATGATGGTCATTACAGTTGTCAACTATATCCTTTACACGCCAGTGTTAGGAACATGGGTAGTTAAGGACATGAGATAATCCATCCACCAGATTCCAGGTAATGGTCAATCGAAAGACTTATGGTACTAGTTTGGTGATTGTAAACCATTTTCTCGGTAGAGCAGTTTAGGTTCACGTGTTGGTTGAGAAACTGTTAAAAATTCTTTTAGATTTTAGGAAATCCTTCTCTTCTCTGGAAGGAATTGGGCCAAAACTTTTTAGGAAGTCCTTTAGTCTGATGTGATTTTAGCCTATCAACGTTTGCATTCATTTCTTATTTTCTTGAAGCAACCCCCTTTATTTATTTGTGATCTGAGGTTTATTCTCCTGACAATGGTTTTTCATGACTAATTTTGGATTGAAAACTTCCTGGTGAATGAACGTCGTTGATTCTGTGATTTTAGTTTACGATCTATCAAAATTGTGAGTGTTGCCGTCATGATCCTTTCTGTTAGTCTGACCCCTGCAGAGGCATAGTGGGATAATGTGCCAACTTTTTTATCTAGGTTAGATTGTTCCATATTTTACTTTTATTCCATTTATATTTTTCTTAATTACTGGTTCTCTTACAGCTTAGTTCTAGTACATTAAATACATGATATTTGAAACCATACGAGTAAAGGTCCTCAGCATTTGGTTCCTTAAAAGATGGCATAATCATGCCTATAGAACGGGGAGATAGAGGTGGATGAGTCTTCCTTCTTACTAATATAGCTCTACATGCAGAAAAGTTTAAGTGGAAGATCTCCACACAGAGCCATCGTATTTGATTGAATGAGACCAAGAGCTTTATGCTTTTCAACGGTTCCTTGTTAGTGACCTTTTGCTGTCATAAAAAAGTCATTATGATTTTATTTAGGTTGGGAATCAAACAGAATCGAAGAAGCTGCCTGAATGAAATTCTTTTCCAGTAGGCTAGTTGAAAAGTGACAGATATTCTTCTGTTTTATTTACAGACATTTATTGCTTTTTGACTACTGGAGATTACAATAAAAAGTCCCCCCCCCCCAAAGCTAATATAGACAATAGTTTTTTTAATGATCATTGTATTAAAGGTTGTGCCAAACTTCTTTGTAGTTTTTCCAGGGGTTCATATCCTGTGGTTGGATAATTATATTATCGTCAACATCTTGTCAAAATTGTGGTTAAATTAAACTTTTTTGGTGCTCCCTTCTTAATGTAGCTGCTCCAATAATCACTCTTGTTTACATGATCTGGTTGAACAACAAACTAGGGGACGGAACTTTAAGACAAAATAAAAGTGTATTCGAAAATCGATTCTATAACATTTCATGCAGAGGTCGCTGGAGCATGTGTAAGAAAAGCTGAAAATAGCTATTCTTAGAAATGGGGTAAAAGTTGCCTACGTTGTAGGGAACTTCTACAATAGTTAAGATGACATGGAACAGTTAAGATGCATATAAATGGAATTAATCTTAGCTTAGGCACCTAAGTAATTACACCGTAGTCTATTTCCTTGCTTACCTATGTCACATTCACAAGGATTACATTAACTTTTTAGTTGTTGGATAGTGTCCACGTATTGAAACCAAAGTTCAAATCTTTTCTGTGGTATATGCTTTTAGAGTTCTTCTAACCTTTGAGAGATTATGGTGTCCATATCACATAGCCATCCATAGGAGGGACTACGATGATTCCTATTCCTCAAAGGTCACAAGGATTTTAAAAATATGGAGCAGGATTTGGAACGAGTTTTAAATATTTGGAGACTGATAAAAAAAATCAATGCCAGTTCAGAGGAGGGGATCCCATGACCTTTGCCTATTCTATTCTTCCACAGCTCTGGTAGGTTGTTAGAAGTAAAATTTATTGGTGGTCCCTTAAACTCTAGACCAGCCCCCCCCAACTATAGATAGCATATGAATAAGTTTGTGACGAGTCATATACCAGAGATTTACTTTGCAAGTTACCGAACCATTATCATCATTGTAATGGTCTCCCTTGGGTTATGACCCTGACCTCCTTCCGTGGGCAGAACTAACCTTGAATCATTTTTCTCTAACTGGGATTGATCACTGAACGACAATAATTCCACAGGTCATCGCTGAACGGGAAGTGGGACCATTCATGTACCTTTGTTTAGTTTGTATGTTTGCCTGACAATGGACCATTGTTTCCATGTTATTTGATCACTGATGCACGCCTGCGTATAGTCGATCACAAATTATCCATTTTGAGTAGCGACTTCTTTATTTGTCTCAAGTAACGTAGCCTTCAATTTGACTTTATTGTTTGAAGCAACATGCATACTGTCTTTAACGTTCACCTGGATTTTTTTGTTTGATCTGTAAGATTTTATTAGATATTTTTCTAGCTTTTCCTGTGAAAATGACTGTATTGTGTAAAAAAATATGAATCAGTTGCCACACATGTTACCATCAGAGGAAGCCTTTGCTGCGGCTGTATCTGCTCTTGGAATCTGTAACAAAGATGGGGTGGTAGTTTATGATGGAAAGGGTATCTTTAGCGCAGCTCGTGTATGGTGGTAAGATAATCTATACATGTAAATTATTCTTCAGATATGATTGTGGAGTTATACTCACCAGGTTTTATAGTGTCTGTTCATTCACTATCAGTACCTCATTTTTTCCCGTGTGATACGCTGACTTTTCGAGATTTTCTTTCTAAATCTATCAGTTTTCTGTAATCTGGAAACTTTAAGGAGATACGTCATTCTCCTGTTGAAACTTGACTCGATAACTGACGTCTCTATGTGGCATTATCAATTTGTCTACCGCAGAGAAGTGATGCCCATTGTGCAGCAAAGGAGTGTAATAATGCATTTTTTTCTTAATTAAATTTCCTTCCTGCCGGCTTTAACCCTCCAGCTTAAAGAAGAATGTTTGATTGATGGTGTGTGAAATTAAATTACGGGTAAATGACAACTGATTGCCCAATGATTATTGACATATTTTCTCTTCTGAGTCAAGCTTTAAGTGGGAGATTGACTTGCCATATTGTTTGTTTTCCATGCCTTTATTAGTTTACGAATATATTATTAAATCCCATGAAACTGCCTGTATTTTCTTCTGTAGGGCGGAAAGATTATGATTTGAAAATTGGGGATGCCACTTCATGATTACTTCTATGGATAATTAGTTCGTGCGGAATGTAAATCGGAATGCAATGCTTCGAATACTTCTTTTTCAAAGTCAGTCAACGTCCTTTGCAGTTGTCAGTTTTTATACTACGGATTTATTTTCTTTCACTTTACGCTCTGATTCTAGTCAAATAAAGTCTCTAGCTTTGCTTACATTATTGGGCACTAAACGTTCCTCTTTCTTGTCTGTGAACTACACTCCTTTGCTCTAGATCAGTAAAAGTCCTCTGCTTTCAGATCCATGAAGTAAAACATGATATCATGCTGTGCACCGGGATCTACTTAATGGCCTTTGCTTATCCTAACGTTATTTCATTGGAAGGATGTTCCGAGCATTTGGACATGACAAAGTGTGGGTGTTGGATGGAGGATTACCCCGTTGGCGTGCTGTAGGTTATGATGTCGAATCTAGTGCCTCTGGAGATGCAATTTTGAAAGCTAGCGCTGCTAGTGAAGCGATAGAGAAAGTATATCAGGGACGACCAGTATGTTCTCAAATTCGAAGTTGTTTCCTTACATATTCTGTTTATTTGGTTGTAAATGTGTTGCTGACTGGTATAGCATACTATGACAACGTTAGATTACCAAAGAAGAAATAAAAGATACCCACATTGGATGGAAGTCCTTGAAAGTGAAGCAGCTACCCCCAAACCTAAGTACCTTTGCAGATGGAAATGTTTTAAGAAAAAAAGAAATAAAAGAGGACAGTAAGACAAATAAAAAATAAGTAAATTCAGCGGCTGTCTTCGAAAAAGAAATTGTGAGTTGCACGACTACACATGGTGATGAGGAAAGGGGATGCCAATCAGATGAGGAAACTCAATTGGAAGGGGATGAAGCTGGGAGTTCTGGTAGCAGTAACATCACTGGATGAAGATGGAAAACTGCTGATGGTTCCCTTCTTTTAACCTTCTCCACAATCAATTGGGGATTTTTTTTTGACCAAGTTAGATGATTCCCCTTCTATGCACAATAAATTGCAGGGGGCTTTATTATCTTTTGGTAAATCCAGCTGTTTCCTCAGGTTTATATCAGCAGGAGAGAGATGATGTAAGATGACAACGCTGTGACATAATCATTATGTCTAGGGGTGCTTCAGTCTTTCAAATCTCATAGGACCTCTATAAAAATGGGGTCTTAGTTCTCCCTCAAGGACACACTTGGACCAAAAAGGGAAGAAAGTGACTAAGAAAAAATAGAGAGAGGGCATGGGTACCATTTTCGAGAAAAAAGTAATCTCTAGCCTACTCTAAAAATCTTTGGCTTGACCCACTCAAAAACCCTAGTCTTGGACCATCTTAAAGAAATTCTAGCTCATTTAAGCCTCATAAAATGATTAAAAACTTGAGTTTATGTGAGCCTTGTGTCTAACGACCAAGTCATTTGGCCTTATGATTTGTGTATTTCTGACAGTATGTAGGCCATGTGCCTAATTTTCCAAACCACTATTAATGGTCTTGTTAATCTTATGGGAGATATGCTGAGTAATTCGACCTAATAACAGTGAACCCACATGATCTTATAAATCTTGTTTTAATAAATGATAATAATAAATACTAGCACGTGCCCTATGGCAACCTTATGGAAAAGAATTTAGAGCCCAATGGTCTTAGTGAAACCATGCCTAGTAGGATATAAATGGGTTTAATATCATTAACTCTTTCAATGATAGTTATTAATATTCGTCACACAAGCTTTATTCCATGATTTCTCCTTGACCTTTATCCGTTAGAAAAATTTGTCAAGGGTTTTGTCTTGGAAAAATTTGTTAATTGGGCTTCAGTTCTTTAAAGTTTTCTCAAATGGGCATTATCTCATAAATTCTGAAATGATCTTCATCTCTGAAAATTGTCGTATGACCTCTTGTTCCACAGACTCCAAAATGGGCTTCATCCTAAAAGCTAAACAAATGGGTTTCATCCCATGGTGCTATCCTCTTAGCCTACATTAAGTTTTTTCTATGATTATATGAAATGGCGCCTTTTTTTTGACGTCATCTTTTATGACAGTTAACCAAGAGTCTTTATTTATCAAAACGATATAATTTACACTAAATTTTGTTGGTGAGGATCAACTTAAACAACACAGAAGATTTAATCCATAAATGAGCATACATATATAATCATCATAATAATAAATTTATCTGAACTTATTAAAGAGATAAAAGACAACAAGTTTATTTTGAAAATGTGTTGAAAAACAATGTTCCATCATTGCCTTATATAGACGATTCCCCTTACTTGTTTATTTCTGCAGGTTGGTCTAGCAACATTCCAAGCAAAGTTGCAGCTTCATCTAGTTTGGACTCTTGAACAGGTTAGGTTCACTATTCTGTTGGTTCGCTTAGGACTTAGTTATACTCTTGTTTCGTTTTATTTGTCATTCTGCATAGCAACATGCAACTCGAAAGAACTGAAAGAATAGATCACCCTCGATTAGAGGCTTCTCAGATATTATTTTAAAGTGAGAGCTTTAAAACGACTTAATTATGTGAAAATACCTTGTATAACATTGCTTACTTATTTTTTTAATTTGCTTCTTCTTACATATCAGGTTTGGAATAGGGATATCAATCCTTAGGGACTGCCATTGCTTCTTCTTACCTTGGCGGGTAGTCAACTAGTTATTATAGTTCGCTTAGCAGCATGGTGGTTCCATTGTCAGTTGATGCCTTAACTGTTGTCTGCCCTGGTTGGGATAAGGTTGGAACGGAGATAAGACAGCAGACACGTTGTCTGAGATAATGGATATAACGAAGCACAAGGGACCAAGTAGTGCTCCCTTTCTCTTGGAGAGAAAAATCCTTAGTTCTTCATATTTTTTCATGGTTATAATCTTTTGTTCTCGCTGATAATGCAGTAGATTTAAGCCAAATAATATCTTGAATCATCGATCAACTTTTTGACTATTATTGGTTACATAAGAGAACGTTTAGGAGGTTCAACTCTTAAATGCTTATAGATTTAGGATGTCCTGATTGTTGGATGCATAAGTTGAGGAAACTCACTTTGGCTGAAGTTTTTTTTTGTAGTTTTGACAAAATCTGTTTTACAGTTCATCTAAAGTAATTGAATCTCACATAATTTTATGGACAAATCTTGATGAGTAAGGACTTGGTGTTTTTATATCCACGTATACATGATTTGAATGGCTCTTTGCTTTGAAGCTCCAGAAAGTTAAACAAACTCGTAGGAGTTGATAATTTTTTATTTACTTATTTTTCAGAGTGAGAATAATTGTGCACATAATTATTTTACTTCCTCCACCTGCAGAATCCCGCACTGCTTTTTGTCACTTCATTTTGTATGATGCATCATTCTGCACTGAGTTTTAATTTGCATATAAATCTTCTATTCTTGGGTGTTGTAGATGGGATTTAATTCCATTTTTTATATTTTTCAATGCTCAATTCTTTGTTCTAAGTTCTTATGTAAAAGGTGACAACTTATGCTTGAGTATGCGTTTTGACGTATTCTAAGTCCTTACTTAATTCTTAAGTTTTTTTTTCTTTTATACATGTTCAAGGTTCAGAAGAATATTCATGAGCAAACATATCAGCATATAGATGCCCGGTCAAAGTCAAGGTTCGTAGATAATAAACACTGCAAGTCTTGGAAAAATTTCCTTAGCCTCGCGTACATCTCTGATATCCAATCTCAGCGTTTATATTACACCTGCTTCTCGCATGGCTGGATTGTTGTCGTGGATTTCTGTGGCCACCTTTCTTTGTTTCTACTGAAATCATCTAAAATTGACTTACTACTGTATTTCAGATTAGACCAGAGCTTTCTCATAGGAACATATTATGTTTCCTTTCAGATTTGACGGTGTGGCTCCCGAACCTCGCAAAGGAATAAGGGCTGGCCATGTTCCCGGAAGCAGATGCATTCCATTTGGACAGGTAGTAATCATTAATGTCAAATCAGCGAAAGAATCCCACAGGACGCAGTCAGAGTCAGCCAATCGTTCGAAATCATCCTAGGGATCGCATAAATAAGTGCCTGTTTGCACCTAACGTATATTGGATTGGTCTGGTTTAATTCGACAGGTTTTGGATAGCTCTCAGGTTCTCCTGCCTAGGAGCGAATTGCAGAAGAAATTCGAGGATGAAGGTAAGAACAGCTTGTGGGCTTAATAAATCCTTACCGGCGAAGCATTCCCCCCCTCTCTCTCTAGTTCTCTCTCTCTCTCTCTATCTCTCTCTCTCTCTCTCTCTCTCTCTCTCTCTCTCTCTCTCTCTCTCTCTCTCCTCTCTCAGGATATCTATCTAGCCGCCAGGATATTCCCTTCTGAAAAAGTGCACCAGTTTTGCAGTCTGGGCTGTTCTGAGGTGGGCAACTCACTGACGTTGCAGGAATCTCGCTCGACCGCCCCATCGTCGCCTCCTGCGGGACCGGGGTGACCGCCTGCGTACTCGCCTTGGTAAAGAAAGAAGATCTCCGCCCCCACCCACGACGGGCCCAAGTTTTTTATTTAACTTTGTCCTGGCGGAAGCGGAATCGGTGACGAACTCGTTCGCCCTCCCCTCCTTACTTTCAGGGCCTCCATCGGCTTGGTAAGGCCGACGTCCCGGTCTACGACGGGTCGTGGACCGAGTGGGCATCGAAGCCCGACACGCCCGTCACCACATCCTGAGCTCGTCCGTCGCCGTATGCTCGGATGAAGGATGCTGCTCGTCGCCTATCGAGAGGGAGAGGGTGGAAGAATATAATAAACAGAAGGAGAGGGGACGACGCTTTCGCTTCTACCACCAGCGGAGTCGGATCTCTGAACTCTCTTGTGACGACCATTCGATGCCACTTTGCCCCCCATGTATGTACTTGCCGTTCGAGAAGAAGATGATGATGATGATGATGACAACTTTTTGATGTTTCTTCATCGCCATGCTTGAAAAAGGAAATAATTTTATTATTCCTATAGTATCGGACCTCGTCGCAAACCGGTGGGGGCGACATTTCAAATTTTGAATCCTTCCCGCCACTCATCCCGCCACACTTCATCTCTCCCCCCTCTCTCTCTCAGCTGTCCCAGACACCGGGGCTAATCCCTCCAGTTCGGATATAAAATCACAGCTTCCTCTGCGTAGGACAGGAGACGAGAACGATACGCGGAGAGCTTAGGTTCTCTCGCTCTCTCTCTCTCTCTCTCTCGGAAGCTTCGAGCCGTCATATAGATCTCTAGCTCTTCCCAGTTCCACCAGTCCTATCTCTTCCACCATCTCATTCCTTTCAGATGGGCGTGGGAAACCTTGGGTCAGCCCTTGCTGTTGCTCTTAGTTATGGCTTCTGAAGGGCCAATAATACAACCAACTGATTTCTTCGAGGCTTTTATGTTTTAAAGTGGCGATCTTGTTTTCTCACATTTTATATGGTTCTACAACCTTCGAACCCAGGAAACTTGAAGCCCGGAGAAATAAGTTAAATTCTAGGGCACAATAACCTTCTCTGGTTTTAATGAAAAATACTTCATTGCCTGTTTACATCTCAATCCTTAACTTTATTTCATGATCTACAGATATTTCGGTCCATGATGAGAGAAGATAGTCCATTGGATAACCGAGAAAGACTCTGTTGTTTATCTGACCGAATTCAGGTTTCAAAAGATGAGATCAATGCTAAGGGCAACAGGCCGAGGCCCAAGTCTACTTCCTCTTGGGGGTCACATATCGTAAAAGGTTTGACAAATGATAGGAAGTATAAGCAAGAAGGTACCGTTCTGTTCTGCCACTTCTAATCAGAAGGTTCAGTATGCGTGTTACCATTCGCGGGTCAAGCGTTCTCTCATTGGTGACTTCCCGTGTTCAGCGAATGCTGCTCAAGTTCATCCCCATGTAAATTCTCCTGTCTCTCGTGATTTGTATGCTGAATTAGACCACTTGAGGCACTTGCTTCAGGAGTCTAAGGCAAGGGAACTGGAATTACAGGCGGAACTGGAAGAGTACAAGAGTAACTCCGAAGTTATGTCTCAAAAAAGTGCTGGAATCGAAGAGAAGACAAGTTGAGGACCTCAGTCGCAGAATTAGCTCATTTGAAAATGAACGGTGGAGCCTATTGGAACAACTACATGAGGATTCGACAAGAAGTGGGATACATGAGAATGCAACTTCTCCCCAAGAAAATCTTGAGATGCAGGTTGTTGAGTTGCGTCGTGTAAACATGGAGCTGCAACATCAGAAAAGAAATCTAGCTTTTGAACTTTCTACTGCTGAATCCCAGCTTGCTGGTCTAAAAAGGGCCTCTGAGGTTTGTTTAATCTTTTTAATCTACTCATTTGGTCATACAAGAATACTGTTACTATTTAATGCATCATTCTTCCCTTACTGCTTTATTTATGTGCAGGGTGATATTGTGTCTAAAGTAGAGGCTGAGACGTCAATATTGCACCACACCAATGAAGATCTATGCAAGCAAGTTGGTGTCCCGATGACGAGTCTAAATGAAGTGGAAGAACTTGCATACCTGAGGTGGATTAACTCGTGCTTGCATCGAGAGTTGGACAACTCCAATAATCGAACTAGGATGAGCATTTCTTCAAGTCGAGAAGAAATATTGACTTCCAAAGGCCATGATGCTGCCGAAGATTTCTTTGATAGCAGGTCTGTTCCTAGTGAATTTTCTGAAGAAAGAAATGTGACTATCGTAAAAGATAATCGAATTTATCCTAGAGATAAGGAGTATTGTCAGATTATTCATTTTGAAGATCTTATGTGTAAAGATTTCGGGCAGATCCAGAAGACAAAGAGTGTAATACGTAGAAATTCGAGCAGTGGAGTGAAAAACTGTGTTGAAGATTTAAAGGTAAATCTGAGGAGGCAATCTGATGTCTTCATCTGTGACAATGAAATGGAAAACTTGCCTGGCCGTGGACGTCTCACTTTGAAGCCTAGGCATCAACTAATTGCCCAAAAATATGAATTAGGCTCCGTTCAAAGTCCTTGTGCTCTTGTAAATCAAGTGGAAACCTATAAAGCTGCGGCTATGGATGTTGAGAAGGATACTTTACATATCCTTAATCCTCCTCCAAAGCCTTCAATTTCTGTGACTTCTGTACATAAGAAAGATTATGCAGTTGCTGTTTGCCCAGCAGCAGCAGCACCACCACCACCACCACTACCTCCCCCTAAGTTGTCATTGAGAAGCAGTGAGGGGGTGCAGAGAGCTCCACAATTGGTTGAACTGTACCACTCATTCATGAGGAAGGAGCCAAGAAATGATCCAGGAATTGGAGGTATCTGTGATGGCCCCAGCATTGCACATGTTCGGAGCAATATAATTGGTGAAATTGAGAATCGTTCGTCTCATTTGCATGCAGTGAGTAAATTCCTGCGCTGATTAGTCTTTGTAATTTAGAACTTATACTAATTGTGCGGTTTTGGAATTCAGATCAAGGCAGATGTTGAAAGAAAAGGTAATTTTGTGAAGTCCTTGATAAAAGAAGTAAATGGTGCTATTTATCATGATATTGAAGATGTCATTAAATTTGTGAAATGGCTCGATGATGAACTTACTGTTCTGGCAAGTATATATCCTTTACACTTGTTCATCCACAACAGTTAATGTCTGTTAGGCTTTCTATTTGTTGATTCTCTATTTGTGTTTATTATGATGATGTTGTAGGTAGATGAACGGGGCAGTGTTGAAGTATTTTGATTGGCCAGAAAAGAAAGCAGACACTTTAAGGGAAGCAGCATTTGAGTATCACGATTTGAAAAAGTTGGAATCTGAAATTAGACAATATGAGGATGATCCTCATCTCCCCTCTGCTGTGGCATTAAAGAAAATGGTTGTATTATCTGAGAAGTTCCTGTCCTGCTCATGGTTTTTTGCATTTCTTGCAAATTGTTCGACGTTTCACCCTTATTCTCCACAGAGGTAGCTGTATGTGTGTATACATCTCAGTGTGTATAATGTATATATGTTCATCTATCATACATTTACCTTGCCAATATTCCTCTTGTCACTAGGATGGAGCGTAAAGTGCATAATCTTGTCCGTGAAAGAGATGGACTCATAAGGCACTATAAGCAGTTTGAGATTCCAACTGATTGGATTCTTGATACAGGGATAATTAGCAAGGTGCATGTCCCTTTTGACATCTGTCTGACATGTTCCACTTTTACTGGGTCACAAGGCATTAAAACTGTCCTAGAGATCATTTAGTCTATCATATGTCTGTCAGACTCCTCATTCACGTTTCTCTTTGTAACTTTGTAGAATACGGGCTTTTATACGTATCTGATGGTTTTCAGATAAATTTCACTATACATCTTGGTACTTGTATAGTTTAGACATGAATCACCCATAAAACGTGATTTTTTCTACTGTGGCTTTTTTCAATGGAGAATTGAACTGCTCCCTGAAACTGTTCTTTCTGTCTTGGAAATATTCCAATTACCTTGAGAATGAGCCTGGTAATCTCATCTTGTCATCCGCTTGAAGGAATGGCAGATATACATCCTTTGCATATTGATAAGGATAGTAAGGTAATACTGTCTATGAGAAAGAAGAAAAACACCTTCCTTACTAGTTTGATTCTAAAGTTTTTTCATGCCTCAAAATGTGTCCCACAATACGAAAAAAACGATTTATTTATCTTTAAGCTACCTTTGGTCAGACTTGATCAGTTGTAAGCCTTCTTGAGGAAACTTGTTTCCCTCATTGGGCTTCTCCTTTGTTTGCTGGATAATTCATGCAACAGCTTGGCAACTTCTTCCCCCTTCACCTGGCAATTGGTCTGCCCTTCTTTTTTCGTGCTATCTATCCTCTTAGCCTCTCCCACAACTCATTTAAGGGTAGAAATTATGTGTGATTGTATCTATGTATTTAGATATGTAAATATATATTTATATATAACATGTAGATATTTGGACTCTAATCTCCTATGTCAATTTCCTTTTCAGATAAAGATATCTTCTGTGAAATTAGCAAATAAATACATGAGAAGAATAGTCATGGAACTCCAGGCAGCAGCTGCATCGTACAAGGACCCAGCAATGGAGTACATGTTGCTTCAGGGTGTGAGGTTTGCTTTAAGAATACACCAGGTAAGCTTTTATATGCAACGTTAAAAGTAATCATTTTATCAGCCAGGCAGCAGCATAGTTCTCCATGAAGACTAATCCATGATTTTAGCACCTTTATTGCTTTGCAGACCAACTCTATGTTGCTGGCTCTACTTTTGAACCAAATCATTTCACGTTCGTGATCCTGATGTTGTTCTCTCTGTTCTCTTTGCAGTTTGCTGGTGGCTTTGAAGGGGAAACTATGCAAGCATTGGATGAGCTGAGGAATCTAGTGCATGTTAGATACAAGACATAGAACTAAGACCCAGAGAACCTGCTTTACAATCACAGTAATGCAGCATACCGTCTGTAGTGTTTTTCGGTTCTGTGGGGAAGTGATGAGGCTATGGATCTTCCAAGGAAAATATTCAGCAAGAAGGAAGCAAATGTTTTGATTGAAGAAGAAAACCAGGAAGAAAGGGAATCAGACCCTGCAGGAACTCTAGATGGGTGATGGCCTTTCTAGAGGGCTGCTGCTCTACTGTCAACACTCCCCAAAAGACTTGATACCCCACTCTCCCCTTAGTCTGCCCTACACAAAATGTCTAAAAACCATTTACAAGATCAAACTACTATTTTTTGGTTCTTGGGTGCCTATCAGAATGTTGTGCTAGATCAACCAATGTAGGGGGCTGTGCCCTGGCTGCTTATGCCTTTAAGTATACCCACTAGTGCCTTGGATGCAGCAGATCAGGTTTGTTACTTAGTCTCTTGGCACCCACCAAACTCATGAGTCTTAGTTTATTTTTCATTCCTTTATGACACAGTACTTGATATTTCTTTTGAAGAGCACCTTTAATATTTCAAGAAAGTTGTACTATTATGATCCTCAAAAACTACTTAATGTAATTTATTTTTCATTTTTAAATCCTGGGAATCACTTGACACCTAGCTCTTAACTATTACTTAATTTTTGGCTATTCTTTATATTTTTTTTAGCCTTTATTTTATCTCTGTAAAGAGTAAGTGGGCCTACAGCTTCTATAGAGTAAATGGGCCTAGGTTTGTTTGTATGGGCCTATGGTCATTTAGAGTAAATGGGCCCTTACCTAGGTCATTGTACTATTATAATCAGTTCTTTATGGCTAATGGTTTTAAACACTAAAGGGGTTGTGACTATTTATTTATTTATTTTTCTGTTATCTTTTTTCATCTTTTCATGATATTAGAACCCTACTTTGACATAATAGTGACATAAGATAGTAAGATTTAAACTTGAATTTACAAAATACTTTTAAAAAAAACTTAGTTTTTAAATGATGTAGCTTATATAAATTGTTAAGGTTAGATTTTTTGTGTCTTAATTAGTTTTATTATTTTATGTTTGTGTGTTAGCTTGTAGAACAAATAGATAAATACATTGTTAATTTTAGAAGTCTGAAGTGAAAATATTTAGTTTAATTTTTAATTATTTAAAAAAAATATAAAAATGTCATCATCCATTGGCAATTCACCACTGTGGTCGAGTGGGTAGATTTAGACACGGGGGAGCTATGAGCTGAGCTCAAGTAGCAAAGGACTCACTTAGGGCATGTGTGTCACTCGTTTGCCATGTCTTGGTGGCCAACTAGTTGTGTACCAAGTAGTGTCATACACACATGTGCATGCATGGTGAACCACCTTTTTACCTTCTCTTAATATGAGTATTATTTTATTTTGGAGAGAAATGATCTCTACTAAGAGAATGTAACTTTAATATTCAGCTCAATCATCGAAATATTTTTAATATGAGACAAAAGTTTCTCACATATTTCAGGGTAGTCATATAGACTGTAATGTGTTCCAACAGTGTTCATTGAGCCACATCGTCAGATAAGCCAGATTTTGCAACTAGCAAACTGTCATGATCCTAAAAGAGTTAAACAGTTCATCAATGGTTCACAAATTTGATACCGCTGAAAATGCATGATTGTAAATGATGATCCGATAGTTAATGAAGTGCCACAATACCAGACACTTACGTTCTCGGTTGGCAGCAGTATGTTCTAATGATCGACGAGCTTGTTCCTTCCTCTCTCAACTACACTCAAGTCCACCATCGAGTGGTTAGTTCTTCCTTTCTCCACCAATACAATGTTGATAGTGTGGTCAACCCCTTTTCTTGTGGATAATACTTCAACAACTCTAAGTGATACTTCAACAACTTCTGATGTGATGTGGTAATCGATTCACCATTGAGAGCATTAACCCCAATTATATTGTTATAACAGGGGCAGATCGGTACGTTCAAACAAAATTAAACGGCCACACCAGTATCTTCAGTTGCTCAAGAGGTAGACTAAATTTCAGCAATAATTTACTTTTTACTTTGGTTTTTATTTACATAATTTCCATATTTATTTATATTTTACAGCCAATTACTTAAGTTTTCTACATGCTCCGATAGAACTGAATAGAACTCCACAAAAAATTAATTAATGATCTTTATTCTTCTTCTAAATTCTCATAGAGTTCTGTGAATAACGAGCATCTTTCTATTTTCAAAAGTAAAATCAGCGACATTAAAGGCTGATTAATGAGCATTGAGCTGTTAAAATAAGGTGAAAACATTCACAGTTAATCATGGTCACCGTGAAAATGACTTGACCATGTTTCTCTTTCTTAATTACTGTCTTAATTCGAAATTCTCTTTCTCTTGTGACATGATTAGACTAAAACCAGAAGCCCATTATTGAAGAAGCATGAAGCCCACTATTGATACACTTTGAAGCTCATTACTGTTAAAGCTTGAAGCCTACTTTAAATCGAAATATATCTATTTTTACTATTTTTACAGTTTCAATTTCAAAATCGAAATTGAAATTTTCGTTTGAAATTTAAATTTCCTTCGACATTCAAACCTTCAAATTTAGATTTCATTTGAAATTCAAATCTTGGTGCCAAATCAAGATTCTTTAGCATATTACTTTCTATTAATATAATTTCGTGTGTTTTTTCTCTTGAAGCTCTGTTCCTTCATTGGTGGTCTCCAACACCCGTGTGGACTCACGGAACCCCGTTTTTGATTCTCTGGATTCAGAATCACCCCCTTGGGACTTTTCCTGAACATGTGGATTCAAAGCGAGGGGACAACTACTGGAGCATATTTTTGAGAAATCAAGATATGACTTCGCCCTCACAACACTAGAGTGGATCACAACTCGTTCAAGCCATTCCCTTCTCTCTCTCTCTCTCTCTTGATGGATCTACTCTCTTTCTTTCCATCAATTGATGTCCTCTCTCTTGATCAATCTCTTCTCTCTCGTTCGTGAGAGTTATTTCTTCTCTCTCTCAGTTCACCCTTTTATTTTCTTATTTCTGTTAAATAGTGATAAAATATTAAAATCACCTTATATATTCACAAAGGATTAATTAATCTCTCAATCTTCAACAGGAGACTTACCACTATACTAATATTTTATTAAGTATTAATTATAAATATTATTAGATAATAGGCATTTCAATACATAATAGTACTATTACCTCTAAATTGCACATCATAAATTATTGTAAAATGTAGGCTGATTTTTTTTTGACCCACACAAAAAAGACTAGTATGCCAGAGGTGCATAGGTGTTAAGATAATTTGACCTAAATTAACCAATGAGAGATTTGGACATGCCAGATGTGTATAAATCTTAGAACCTACGTTATATTTTCTCTCTTATTTATCTTCCATAATCTTCCTATTATGTTTAGGCATTTCTATTTCTTAGGGATGTTTTAATAAAATGCTCTTCTTATATAGGACAGTATTAACTACTTTTTAATTTCTTTTCGGATCATAAAATATTACCTCGTTTCTACTTCCTTCCAGAATGACATAAGAACTTCTTAAATAAAATAAGGAGACTATTTAAAATCAAAAAATGTGACAAATGAAGATAAAGTGAAAATTGAGATTTAGGCACATTTAAAATGTGACAAATGTATTATTTTGTAATTTTGAACTCAATTGAGGTCAAACATAGTCTTTACGCATATTGGACTTTTGGTACACATTAATTATATTGAAATTGGCTTCTATATCAATTTGAGGTAATGTGAGAATAGGCTTGTTTTATAGTTGATCACGAAAGCAACCTTATATGTGTTAAGCAACTTTCGCAAAAACCATCTATCCTTCGAAATCCTCAATATATGTGATCAACTTTTATAATGTGGAAGCTGAAGACACGTCATTCATCCTCGAAAAACGCACTCCACTGGTTCTCCTTTTACTCTGAATCCACAAGGTGCAGAGGATAGGTCCCAGAATCAATAACAGGTTCCCTGAGTCCACAGCGTCAACAGCAGAAGTAGAGAACTTCATGAGCGGAAAAGTCCCCAAAGCTATTATGCCTCTTGGGCTACAGGGGTTGCCTTTAAAGAGGCTAAAGAGTCTTGATTTCAGTGCCAAGATTAGAATTTAAAATGAAAGCTAAATTTGAAATCAAAATTTGGCTAAAATTTGAATTTTGGATGCAATTTGAATTTCAAACGAAAAATTGAGTTTTGGATGAAATTTGAATTCAAACGAAAATTTGAATTTCAGATTAAATTTGAATTTCCAACGAATCTTTGACTTTTCTGTGGCTAATAATATCATTCATTCATCATTTCAGTACTCTTCTGATGGCCTAAACGGCCTCCAAGTCTCCTGCATGTAATTCTCGAATTAACTTGTCATGCAAAGAAGTTCGAGGGATACATACCTGATTTTCTCGGGATAAGTAATCTTCAAGAATGTGAAATTTTTTAGATGGTTTTGCCTTGTTTGATAAGTAATCTATACTTGTCTGCAGTTCTTATATAGGGGCAGAACTTAACTTTTATCTAATTAAAATAAAACTTCTATCTGCTGCATCTCTCTACTGAAAGTTTTTCCTTTTCATGCATTCGGTGATAGGAGCCATAATTGAACTGAGATTTCGAATAAATCTTCTCTAAAAGATGCTAAGTCATGTAACTACCAACATCTAGTATCTTCTTCAGAATTTGCCAGTCGTTAATAGTTTCAAACTTTTTTCATCCACTTTGGTCCCATCTACCGTTACAATATATCTTTAAAAACTAAACTTGAAGTAAGAAATTTACATTCTTTGAAGTTGATAAATAAGTCATTTTATTGTAAAACAGTCAGTATAGATCTTAAAACATGATGATGTTCTTCCTTTGTGCTTGAATCCACAAAACTTTAATCTTTGGAAAGAAATCTACCTCTGAATCATCAGATTCGGAGTTTTCAACCCTTGAATCCACAAGGGGGTCCCTGAATCCGAAACAAGGGGGAAAGGTTCTCACAGTGGAGAGAAATGATTCAACGAAAAAAAGTGAATACCTATGGTTACAATGGGGGCCTTTATATACGCCTAGAAACAAGGTTGAGCCCTCCTTAGAAGGAGGATCCTGACAGATCTGAGGGACAGAGTCTGACTAACTCTGAAATGACTTAAAACACATTCAGACAGATTAAGATCTTAAACAAATCCATTAAAAATACTCTGAGATAACCTACAGCAGACTCTTACATTGAATGTAGGTGAAATACTCATATCTGGTGGAAGCTCAATAGGTATGCATTGACATTGATCTTCTGTAGAACTTGATATGGTCCATATTTCTTTGGCTGCAACTTGTTGTAGCCACCTGCAGAAATTGTGTATGGTCCATATTTCTTTTTTTATTTATCATAAATGATTGTGAAATTGTGTATCACCCCTTCAAGAAGGGTGTTGATATTATATACCACATTTTTTGAAGCAATAAATCTGGTTCTTGGAACTTGTAATAAATCTAATGGAATTTTTGGAGGAAAATAATATATCACTGAAAATAGAGATTTTTTAATCAAACGATTAATTATTGAGTTATATGCACAATCTGCTTGCGTCAAAGCATAATTACATTATTTTGGCTTTTTTCCTAAAATACAACGAATAAAATTACCCAGAGTTTATTCACAGCTTCAGTTTTGGTATCAGTTTGTAGGTGACTAAAATCTCTATCAGAGGTAATTAACTCAGGAATTCCATATAATAATATTAATTCTCTTCAGAATCATATAATCAAATTATCAGAGGTGACTGGCTACTTGACCTGCATCATTTCTCTTCTGACGTAATGAAGTGTTTGTGGCAGACCTATCATAAAATCCATTGAAATATCAGCCCATGGGTATTGTGGAAGAAGCAATGGAGTGTATAGTCCAGTATTTTGACTTTGTGCTTTGTAGGTTTTACAAACCTTATATTACGAACAAAATTTTCTACATTTTTCTCTTTATATTCCTTTTTAACTGACAGTAAGATCTAGTCTCGACGTACAGTAATTTGAGGTTTAGTTTGTAGATTATCTCTCATTAGTTTAGTTAATATTCCTGACGTACAAATCATAACTTTTTGAGAAAAATCATCGTCGTCTGTGTATAATTCCTTCAGATAATCAAATCCTGTCATTTCAGCATGCCAGTTCAGCAAACATTATTTTTTTCCACTATAAGCACCTGCAAGTTGATTACGTTTCCCAAACTTAAGTCTAATAACAAAAGGAAAATATTGAATGAAATAGATAAAAAAATTATTCGCCCACATTCTTGCAACAGTACACCTGCAATGTAAACTACGGGTGCATCACATTCTACTTCAAAAAGTTGATCAAAATTTGGCAAGGCTAAAACAGAAGAAGAACATAATTTCTCCTTAATAATGATAAAATTTTTACTACCTCCTTAAATCCGGTTAAAATGGCCCTTTTTCATACATGCAGTAACAGGAGACATTACTGAGCTAGAATTGCGAATCAATTTTATATAAAATGATGTCAACCCATGAAAACTTTGAACCTAATGAATGGTAACTCTGACCTTTGCTAATTAACTTTGATACTATTTGCACTTAGAACATATCTTAAAAATAACAAACTAAAAGTTATTAAAATGAATTTCTTCAAGTTAATACATAATTCATTCTGTCGTAATACATTGAACACTGATATTAGATTTTTCATGTATCCATCTTCTGTAGTACTGTAAATAGGAATGTCATCAAAATAAACGATAAAAACTTTACCAAAAAAAACTTTTAGATCCTGATTCATCACTCTCATAAAGGTACTGGGGTTTTTGATCAACCGACAGGCATGACTAACCATTCATAAAGCCTGCCATAGTTTTAAAGGCACTCTTCCATTCATGTCCGAACCAAATTCGGATTTGGTGATATCCGCTGTTTAAATCCTTTTTAAAAAAAGTTTAGAATCACAAAGAATATCAAACATGTCATCTAGGCTTTAAATTTAAAATCAATAATTAATTATTATCTTGTTTATAGCTCCACTGTCAACACACATCCGTCAACTTTCATTTTTCTTTAAAACAAGTAAAGCAGGCACAGAGCATGGACTCATATTTTCTCTTATCATTCTATAATGGGGAGGGTTAGGCAGGCTTGCTCCTGGTATAAGGTGTATATGATGTAGAGAAGATGAGTAGATAATTCTTAAATTACAGAAGATAAGTAGAGACTTTAAACAGCTTTAGGTAGCGCATGAGTAATATTGATATCTGAATTAGGTTTTTAAACAATAGCAAATTATTGGTTGATGACCAATAATTTTCTTTTCTCCTTTTCTTATTTGCGAAAATCACTGCCTTGTATTTAAGCTGGACATTTTTTTTTGCCTATTCTATAGAAACTATAAATATTTTCCTTGCCACAGTGTGCAGCATGAACATCACATTTTCTTGGCCTGCCTAATATCATGTGACAAGCATCAATGTCCACAACAACACATTGTACTCCATCAGAATAAGTACTGTCAATTGAAAATTTGATTAGACATGTAAATTTCTGTTTCCTTCTTCATCCAATCAATTCAATATAGATGAGGGTGTGGACTTGTTTACAAACCTTATTTTTCAACACTTATAGAAGAGACAATGTTATCACTACTGCTACTATAATATATTATAAGTAAATGTGACAGTGCATCCCCGATATCAAATTAAATAAAATTTTCTTCGACCTTACCTTAAATTTCTGGTTCTTAAAATTCTCGTTCCTCCTCAATATAATCTGTTTACTGTGTCACGTTTTTAGACATATTTGATTTGTGTCCACTGTCTCCACACCTGCACCATTTAGGAAGCACATTAGGACTTGGGCAGAAGAATATGCTCCGGTCGATCTGACAGAACTTTGATAGGTTTCATGGCATAACATCCTTTTATATAAGGTTTATTCAAAATTTTAGTGCATGAAAGAGAACTTTTATTCTAATTATATTCACCCCTATATAACTTAAATTCACCCCTATATTAGCACTGCCAAATTTTGATAAATTATTTGAAGTAAAATGCGACATCTTAAATTATTTTTATAGTTAATGCCAAATATGTACTATCGCAGAAATGGGGTCGAGTTGCTTTTTATAGTGAGAACATTAACAGGAAGCTGTATTATTCCTCGAACATCAGTTATGTACTCCTCGAACATCTTTGCGTGAGAAGTATATTCCAGAATTAAATGCAGGAGGACCTGGGGGCCTCTTAAGCCATGACAAGACATTGAAAATGATGCAGGAATGATATAATTGGCCACATGTTAAGAAAAAAGTTGAAAGTTTTGTGCGGAGATGTCAAATTTGTCAAATTCATAAAGGCAGTTTGTCTAATTAAACTACCCATTTCAGATAAAGCATTGACTGATTTCTATGGATTTAATTTTAGGAGAAAATGGGACAAGGGAATCTCGTTTTCTTCAAATGGGAGAAAATGAAGACGCTCTTCAAATCTCGTTTTCTTCCCTGAGACAAGGGAATATATCAGTTTCTGATTATGTAGAAGAATTTTATCATTAATCAGTTTCCGAGTCATATATGATTTCAAGATTTAAAGTTGATGTTGGATGGATAATTAAAGATAAAGTAACTTTACAATCATATTTCAAGCTTAATGACATCATAATGGCTGCAGAGGGTGCAAACCCTTGTTAGAGAAAGGAAAAATAAAGAATCGAAATTTTGTGGGTCAGAATTCAACTCTGCACCCAGAAATACGAAGATCTACTGTTGTTTCATTTACACCACATAATCTCCTTCTGCCCAAGCTGTACTAAGAAGAATCCTTATACTCCAATGTAACAAGAATGCCCAAGTTCGCTACCGGTGTGAAGAAAGTGGACACAAATCAAATATCTGTCCTAAACGAGGTGACACGGTAAGCATTGTAGATTCTATTGAAGAGGAAAAGAAACATGAAGAATCAGAAATTGAAGGTGAGGTACCAGAAAATTTTATTGAATTTGATACTGGAGATGCAGTGTCACATTCACTTGTAGTTAGGAGATTGATGTATTCACCAAAAAGAAAAAATGACCCAGAGCGCCATAATATTTTCAGAACAAGGTGCACTGTGAATTCTAAGGTATGAGATATAATCATTGATAGTGGCAGTAGTGAGAACATTGTCTCGTTTGTGATGGTTAAAAAAATTAGGTTTTCAAACAAGCCGACAACCTCATCCATATCATCTTGGTTTGATCAAGAAGGAAATAGAAACTAAAGTTTCAGAATCCTGTCTTATCAAATTTTTCATTGGCAAAACCTATTATGATGAAGTACAATGTGATCTTGTTGACTTGGATGCTTCATAAATGATATTAGGCAGGACATGGCAATTTGATGTTCATGCTACACACTGATGAGGAAAAATATTTATATTTTCTATAGAAATTGAAAAATTATTTTCGCTCAAATGCATGACAGTTTGATATTAACCAGATGGAATTTCTCAAAAAGTTTGATATTAAAACTGATTCAGATATCAAGATAGCCAACATGATACCAAAATCTGTTTAAAGTCTTTTATCAGAATTTTTTGAATTCAAGAATCATCTAGTCATCTTCCACAAACGCGAGATGTACAACATCATATTGACTTTATACAAGGACCTAGTCTGTTTAACTTTCTACATTATAGGATGACTCCACAAGAAAATCAAATTCTTCAAGAACACAAGTATAGGAGTTATTATGTAAACGATTGATAAGAGAAAGTGTGAGCCGATATGTGTTTATACTAGAGCTATCAACAAGATAACAGTTAGGTATAGATGGCAAGATATGCTTTGTGGTTCGAATTTTTTTCGAAAGTTCATTTAGAGAAAAAATATCTGACGCAGAAGTAACGCAGAAGATAAACAAGATATGGGCTTCAATCTTCAAAGCTTAAATTTTGGGAAAGAAGCCGGCCTCTGAATCTATAAATTCGTAGTCTTAAACCCTGATTGAACCACAAAGATATGTCCCTCTAAATCGATTAATTCAAAACTTGAATCTACAAGGTAGTGCCTGAATTCAAAAGCAAGGGAGAGGTCCTCACAGCGGAGAAAACTGATTGAACTAAAAAGATATGTCCATCTGGTTACTATGGAGGCTTTATATAGGCCTAGAAAGAAGGTTCGACACTCCTCAAAAGGAGGATTCTGAGAGATCTTAGGGATAGAATCTGAATAACTCTGAAATGACTTAACACAGACTCTGAAAAACTGTGATCTTAAACCAATCTTCTTAAAATTCTCTGACATGAGCTAAAGCAGACTCTGACAGTGAGAGACCCTGAGTATATCTGAGGTACAGCATCTTTTGGGAATCGTTCTTTACGAAGATACACCATCACTTTGTCACCAACTTTAGATACCTTCTTTCTTCTTTTCTTATTTACTGCCGCTTTATATTTCTCATAATTGGTTGTAAGATTACGTATCACACCTTCATGAAGTGTTTTGATATGATCTACCATATAATTTGCAGCAATACTAGTTCCAACTAGTCTTGGTACTTCTAATAAATCTAATTGAGTTCTCAGAGGAAAATAATATACCACTGAAAATCGAGATTGGTTAGTCGAACAATTAATCATCGAGTTATATCCAAAGTCTGATTTTATAGTAACCTATTTCTAAGGTTTATAGTAAAACATTCTTCAAGTTCAGAAATTCAATCAAGAAATTCTTCTATTTTCAAAACTTTAATAAACTAGGCAAATCAATTTTAATTCGAAAATATCAGGAACCTCAGAACTTTCATTGTCATTGATGTCGATACCTTTACCTCCTGACATCTTGTGATCAACTTTGATGTTGTGGAGTTTGTGCTCCAATGGTTGTCTTTTTGCTCTGAATCCACAGGCTAAACAGGTCAGTACCCTTGAGTCCATAAAAGGTAATTCTAAATCCAAGAAATAAAGAACCGGTTCCCTCAGTCTACAGGGGTGCTGTAGTCTACCATCAGAAGAAAACTCAAAAAATTGTATTAAAAAAAAGGTAATTTGGCTCTCGGGCTCCAAGATTTGAATTTCTAATGAAATCTAAATTTGAACTCAATTTTGTTTGAATCAAGAAGCAAAAAAAAGAGATAAAACTTGTTACATTTACCACTAAAACTTGTTACATTTTCAAAACACGGTTCATATGTTCATTTTCCATAGTACAGTAAATAAGAATATCCTCAGACTTGTGCGTCATTTACCACTAAAAGGTGTTGGAACCTGATTCATCACTCTTATAAATGCAATAAGGGTGTTGGATAAGCCAAAAGCCATGATGAACCATTCATAAAGGCCTGCCCTAGTTTTTAAGGCAGTTTTACATTTCTAGCCGTGAAAAATTGACACTTTATATCAACTTCTATGAAAAATTTAGAACCACAAAATATATCTAACATGTCATCTAGCCGTGAAATTGGGAATATATACTTCACTGTTATCTTGTTGATGGTTTTGTGCAGTCGACAAATATCTCCCAAGTAGAGCATGCGCTCATACTTTCTTGTGGAGTCATCCTATACTGGGAAAAGTGTAGCATTTCTCAACAACATGACATTACAATTCATCACAATAAGTCTTATCAATTCATAACTTGATTAGACACATTTCTGAAACTGTAGTTTCTTTTTCATTCCTGTTCAAACAAATTTGATATAGATGAGGGTGTGGGTTTGTCTAAAAACTTAATGATTATATCAAGGATGAGACTTGGGTTTGTCTAAGCCCACTTATCCTAAATTTTGGCCATAAAGTGAAAACTGCAAGAAAAAGGTGACGAGGTAAATCTGCTTATATTGGTGATAATGATTCACCTGAAAGTTTTTCCTATCTGAAAATTAGATTTTTTGTTCTTTAAGACTAAATAGATGAAAAAATATGATGACATTTGTGATACATTGAAAAACCTTTTGACAAGAATGAGTATATTAGAGGATCATTCACGTCCTCGTAAAGATCTGTACGAGGGGAGCAATCACTGACCACACGTAGGAGATGAGGCAAAGAACCGTACGATCATGGGAGAAAATGAAGACGCTCTTCAAATCTCGTTTTCTTCCCTGAGACAAGGGAATATATCAGTTTCTGATTATGTAGAAGAATTTTATCATTAATCAGTTTCCGAGTCATATATGATTTCAAGATTTAAAGTTGATGTTGGATGGATAATTAAAGATAAAGTAACTTTACAATCATATTTCAAGCTTAATGACATCATAATGGCTGCAGAGGGTGCAAACCCTTGTTAGAGAAAGGAAAAATAAAGAATCGAAATTTTGTGGGTCAGAATTCAACTCTGCACCCAGAAATACGAAGATCTACTGTTGTTTCATTTACACCACATAATCTCCTTCTGCCCAAGCTGTACTAAGAAGAATCCTTATACTCCAATGTAACAAGAATGCCCAAGTTCGCTACCGGTGTGAAGAAAGTGGACACAAATCAAATATCTGTCCTAAACGAGGTGACACGGTAAGCATTGTAGATTCTATTGAAGAGGAAAAGAAACATGAAGAATCAGAAATTGAAGGTGAGGTACCAGAAAATTTTATTGAATTTGATACTGGAGATGCAGTGTCACATTCACTTGTAGTTAGGAGATTGATGTATTCACCAAAAAGAAAAAATGACCCAGAGCGCCATAATATTTTCAGAACAAGGTGCACTGTGAATTCTAAGGTATGAGATATAATCATTGATAGTGGCAGTAGTGAGAACATTGTCTCGTTTGTGATGGTTAAAAAAATTAGGTTTTCAAACAAGCCGACAACCTCATCCATATCATCTTGGTTTGATCAAGAAGGAAATAGAAACTAAAGTTTCAGAATCCTGTCTTATCAAATTTTTCATTGGCAAAACCTATTATGATGAAGTACAATGTGATCTTGTTGACTTGGATGCTTCATAAATGATATTAGGCAGGACATGGCAATTTGATGTTCATGCTACACACTGATGAGGAAAAATATTTATATTTTCTATAGAAATTGAAAAATTATTTTCGCTCAAATGCATGACAGTTTGATATTAACCAGATGGAATTTCTCAAAAAGTTTGATATTAAAACTGATTCAGATATCAAGATAGCCAACATGATACCAAAATCTGTTTAAAGTCTTTTATCAGAATTTTTTGAATTCAAGAATCATCTAGTCATCTTCCACAAACGCGAGATGTACAACATCATATTGACTTTATACAAGGACCTAGTCTGTTTAACTTTCTACATTATAGGATGACTCCACAAGAAAATCAAATTCTTCAAGAACACAAGTATAGGAGTTATTATGTAAACGATTGATAAGAGAAAGTGTGAGCCGATATGTGTTTATACTAGAGCTATCAACAAGATAACAGTTAGGTATAGATGGCAAGATATGCTTTGTGGTTCGAATTTTTTTCGAAAGTTCATTTAGAGAAAAAATATCTGACGCAGAAGTAACGCAGAAGATAAACAAGATATGGGCTTCAATCTTCAAAGCTTAAATTTTGGGAAAGAAGCCGGCCTCTGAATCTATAAATTCGTAGTCTTAAACCCTGATTGAACCACAAAGATATGTCCCTCTAAATCGATTAATTCAAAACTTGAATCTACAAGGTAGTGCCTGAATTCAAAAGCAAGGGAGAGGTCCTCACAGCGGAGAAAACTGATTGAACTAAAAAGATATGTCCATCTGGTTACTATGGAGGCTTTATATAGGCCTAGAAAGAAGGTTCGACACTCCTCAAAAGGAGGATTCTGAGAGATCTTAGGGATAGAATCTGAATAACTCTGAAATGACTTAACACAGACTCTGAAAAACTGTGATCTTAAACCAATCTTCTTAAAATTCTCTGACATGAGCTAAAGCAGACTCTGACAGTGAGAGACCCTGAGTATATCTGAGGTACAGCATCTTTTGGGAATCGTTCTTTACGAAGATACACCATCACTTTGTCACCAACTTTAGATACCTTCTTTCTTCTTTTCTTATTTACTGCCGCTTTATATTTCTCATAATTGGTTGTAAGATTACGTATCACACCTTCATGAAGTGTTTTGATATGATCTACCATATAATTTGCAGCAATACTAGTTCCAACTAGTCTTGGTACTTCTAATAAATCTAATTGAGTTCTCAGAGGAAAATAATATACCACTGAAAATCGAGATTGGTTAGTCGAACAATTAATCATCGAGTTATATCCAAAGTCTGATTTTATAGTAACCTATTTCTAAGGTTTATAGTAAAACATTCTTCAAGTTCAGAAATTCAATCAAGAAATTCTTCTATTTTCAAAACTTTAATAAACTAGGCAAATCAATTTTAATTCGAAAATATCAGGAACCTCAGAACTTTCATTGTCATTGATGTCGATACCTTTACCTCCTGACATCTTGTGATCAACTTTGATGTTGTGGAGTTTGTGCTCCAATGGTTGTCTTTTTGCTCTGAATCCACAGGCTAAACAGGTCAGTACCCTTGAGTCCATAAAAGGTAATTCTAAATCCAAGAAATAAAGAACCGGTTCCCTCAGTCTACAGGGGTGCTGTAGTCTACCATCAGAAGAAAACTCAAAAAATTGTATTAAAAAAAAGGTAATTTGGCTCTCGGGCTCCAAGATTTGAATTTCTAATGAAATCTAAATTTGAACTCAATTTTGTTTGAATCAAGAAGCAAAAAAAAGAGATAAAACTTGTTACATTTACCACTAAAACTTGTTACATTTTCAAAACACGGTTCATATGTTCATTTTCCATAGTACAGTAAATAAGAATATCCTCAGACTTGTGCGTCATTTACCACTAAAAGGTGTTGGAACCTGATTCATCACTCTTATAAATGCAATAAGGGTGTTGGATAAGCCAAAAGCCATGATGAACCATTCATAAAGGCCTGCCCTAGTTTTTAAGGCAGTTTTACATTTCTAGCCGTGAAAAATTGACACTTTATATCAACTTCTATGAAAAATTTAGAACCACAAAATATATCTAACATGTCATCTAGCCGTGAAATTGGGAATATATACTTCACTGTTATCTTGTTGATGGTTTTGTGCAGTCGACAAATATCTCCCAAGTAGAGCATGCGCTCATACTTTCTTGTGGAGTCATCCTATACTGGGAAAAGTGTAGCATTTCTCAACAACATGACATTACAATTCATCACAATAAGTCTTATCAATTCATAACTTGATTAGACACATTTCTGAAACTGTAGTTTCTTTTTCATTCCTGTTCAAACAAATTTGATATAGATGAGGGTGTGGGTTTGTCTAAAAACTTAATGATTATATCAAGGATGAGACTTGGGTTTGTCTAAGCCCACTTATCCTAAATTTTGGCCATAAAGTGAAAACTGCAAGAAAAAGGTGACGAGGTAAATCTGCTTATATTGGTGATAATGATTCACCTGAAAGTTTTTCCTATCTGAAAATTAGATTTTTTGTTCTTTAAGACTAAATAGATGAAAAAATATGATGACATTTGTGATACATTGAAAAACCTTTTGACAAGAATGAGTATATTAGAGGATCATTCACGTCCTCGTAAAGATCTGTACGAGGGGAGCAATCACTGACCACACGTAGGAGATGAGGCAAAGAACCGTACGATCATGGGAGAAAATGAAGACGCTCTTCAAATCTCGTTTTCTTCCCTGAGACAAGGGAATATATCAGTTTCTGATTATGTAGAAGAATTTTATCATTAATCAGTTTCCGAGTCATATATGATTTCAAGATTTAAAGTTGATGTTGGATGGATAATTAAAGATAAAGTAACTTTACAATCATATTTCAAGCTTAATGACATCATAATGGCTGCAGAGGGTGCAAACCCTTGTTAGAGAAAGGAAAAATAAAGAATCGAAATTTTGTGGGTCAGAATTCAACTCTGCACCCAGAAATACGAAGATCTACTGTTGTTTCATTTACACCACATAATCTCCTTCTGCCCAAGCTGTACTAAGAAGAATCCTTATACTCCAATGTAACAAGAATGCCCAAGTTTGCTACCGGTGTGAAGAAAGTGGACACAAATCAAATATCTGTCCTAAACGAGGTGACACGGTAAGCATTGTAGATTCTATTGAAGAGGAAAAGAAACATGAAGAATCAGAAATTGAAGGTGAGGTACCAGAAAATTTTATTGAATTTGATACTGGAGATGCAGTGTCACATTCACTTGTAGTTAGGAGATTGATGTATTCACCAAAAAGAAAAAATGACCCAGAGCGCCATAATATTTTCAGAACAAGGTGCACTGTGAATTCTAAGGTATGAGATATAATCATTGATAGTGGCAGTAGTGAGAACATTGTCTCGTTTGTGATGGTTAAAAAAATTAGGTTTTCAAACAAGCCGACAACCTCATCCATATCATCTTGGTTTGATCAAGAAGGAAATAGAAACTAAAGTTTCAGAATCCTGTCTTATCAAATTTTTCATTGGCAAAACCTATTATGATGAAGTACAATGTGATCTTGTTGACTTGGATGCTTCATAAATGATATTAGGCAGGACATGGCAATTTGATGTTCATGCTACACACTGATGAGGAAAAATATTTATATTTTCTATAGAAATTGAAAAATTATTTTCGCTCAAATGCATGACAGTTTGATATTAACCAGATGGAATTTCTCAAAAAGTTTGATATTAAAACTGATTCAGATATCAAGATAGCCAACATGATACCAAAATCTGTTTAAAGTCTTTTATCAGAATTTTTTGAATTCAAGAATCATCTAGTCATCTTCCACAAACGCGAGATGTACAACATCATATTGACTTTATACAAGGACCTAGTCTGTTTAACTTTCTACATTATAGGATGACTCCACAAGAAAATCAAATTCTTCAAGAACACAAGTATAGGAGTTATTATGTAAACGATTGATAAGAGAAAGTGTGAGCCGATATGTGTTTATACTAGAGCTATCAACAAGATAACAGTTAGGTATAGATGGCAAGATATGCTTTGTGGTTCGAATTTTTTTCGAAAGTTCATTTAGAGAAAAAATATCTGACGCAGAAGTAACGCAGAAGATAAACAAGATATGGGCTTCAATCTTCAAAGCTTAAATTTTGGGAAAGAAGCCGGCCTCTGAATCTATAAATTCGTAGTCTTAAACCCTGATTGAACCACAAAGATATGTCCCTCTAAATCGATTAATTCAAAACTTGAATCTACAAGGTAGTGCCTGAATTCAAAAGCAAGGGAGAGGTCCTCACAGCGGAGAAAACTGATTGAACTAAAAAGATATGTCCATCTGGTTACTATGGAGGCTTTATATAGGCCTAGAAAGAAGGTTCGACACTCCTCAAAAGGAGGATTCTGAGAGATCTTAGGGATAGAATCTGAATAACTCTGAAATGACTTAACACAGACTCTGAAAAACTGTGATCTTAAACCAATCTTCTTAAAATTCTCTGACATGAGCTAAAGCAGACTCTGACAGTGAGAGACCCTGAGTATATCTGAGGTACAGCATCTTTTGGGAATCGTTCTTTACGAAGATACACCATCACTTTGTCACCAACTTTAGATACCTTCTTTCTTCTTTTCTTATTTACTGCCGCTTTATATTTCTCATAATTGGTTGTAAGATTACGTATCACACCTTCATGAAGTGTTTTGATATGATCTACCATATAATTTGCAGCAATACTAGTTCCAACTAGTCTTGGTACTTCTAATAAATCTAATTGAGTTCTCAGAGGAAAATAATATACCACTGAAAATCGAGATTGGTTAGTCGAACAATTAATCATCGAGTTATATCCAAAGTCTGATTTTATAGTAACCTATTTCTAAGGTTTATAGTAAAACATTCTTCAAGTTCAGAAATTCAATCAAGAAATTCTTCTATTTTCAAAACTTTAATAAACTAGGCAAATCAATTTTAATTCGAAAATATCAGGAACCTCAGAACTTTCATTGTCATTGATGTCGATACCTTTACCTCCTGACATCTTGTGATCAACTTTGATGTTGTGGAGTTTGTGCTCCAATGGTTGTCTTTTTGCTCTGAATCCACAGGCTAAACAGGTCAGTACCCTTGAGTCCATAAAAGGTAATTCTAAATCCAAGAAATAAAGAACCGGTTCCCTCAGTCTACAGGGGTGCTGTAGTCTACCATCAGAAGAAAACTCAAAAAATTGTATTAAAAAAAAGGTAATTTGGCTCTCGGGCTCCAAGATTTGAATTTCTAATGAAATCTAAATTTGAACTCAATTTTGTTTGAATCAAGAAGCAAAAAAAAGAGATAAAACTTGTTACATTTACCACTAAAACTTGTTACATTTTCAAAACACGGTTCATATGTTCATTTTCCATAGTACAGTAAATAAGAATATCCTCAGACTTGTGCGTCATTTACCACTAAAAGGTGTTGGAACCTGATTCATCACTCTTATAAATGCAATAAGGGTGTTGGATAAGCCAAAAGCCATGATGAACCATTCATAAAGGCCTGCCCTAGTTTTTAAGGCAGTTTTACATTTCTAGCCGTGAAAAATTGACACTTTATATCAACTTCTATGAAAAATTTAGAACCACAAAATATATCTAACATGTCATCTAGCCGTGAAATTGGGAATATATACTTCACTGTTATCTTGTTGATGGTTTTGTGCAGTCGACAAATATCTCCCAAGTAGAGCATGCGCTCATACTTTCTTGTGGAGTCATCCTATACTGGGAAAAGTGTAGCATTTCTCAACAACATGACATTACAATTCATCACAATAAGTCTTATCAATTCATAACTTGATTAGACACATTTCTGAAACTGTAGTTTCTTTTTCATTCCTGTTCAAACAAATTTGATATAGATGAGGGTGTGGGTTTGTCTAAAAACTTAATGATTATATCAAGGATGAGACTTGGGTTTGTCTAAGCCCACTTATCCTAAATTTTGGCCATAAAGTGAAAACTGCAAGAAAAAGGTGACGAGGTAAATCTGCTTATATTGGTGATAATGATTCACCTGAAAGTTTTTCCTATCTGAAAATTAGATTTTTTGTTCTTTAAGACTAAATAGATGAAAAAATATGATGACATTTGTGATACATTGAAAAACCTTTTGACAAGAATGAGTATATTAGAGGATCATTCACGTCCTCGTAAAGATCTGTACGAGGGGAGCAATCACTGACCACACGTAGGAGATGAGGCAAAGAACCGTACGATCATGGGAGAAAATGAAGACGCTCTTCAAATCTCGTTTTCTTCCCTGAGACAAGGGAATATATCAGTTTCTGATTATGTAGAAGAATTTTATCATTAATCAGTTTCCGAGTCATATATGATTTCAAGATTTAAAGTTGATGTTGGATGGATAATTAAAGATAAAGTAACTTTACAATCATATTTCAAGCTTAATGACATCATAATGGCTGCAGAGGGTGCAAACCCTTGTTAGAGAAAGGAAAAATAAAGAATCGAAATTTTGTGGGTCAGAATTCAACTCTGCACCCAGAAATACGAAGATCTACTGTTGTTTCATTTACACCACATAATCTCCTTCTGCCCAAGCTGTACTAAGAAGAATCCTTATACTCCAATGTAACAAGAATGCCCAAGTTCGCTACCGGTGTGAAGAAAGTGGACACAAATCAAATATCTGTCCTAAACGAGGTGACACGGTAAGCATTGTAGATTCTATTGAAGAGGAAAAGAAACATGAAGAATCAGAAATTGAAGGTGAGGTACCAGAAAATTTTATTGAATTTGATACTGGAGATGCAGTGTCACATTCACTTGTAGTTAGGAGATTGATGTATTCACCAAAAAGAAAAAATGACCCAGAGCGCCATAATATTTTCAGAACAAGGTGCACTGTGAATTCTAAGGTATGAGATATAATCATTGATAGTGGCAGTAGTGAGAACATTGTCTCGTTTGTGATGGTTAAAAAAATTAGGTTTTCAAACAAGCCGACAACCTCATCCATATCATCTTGGTTTGATCAAGAAGGAAATAGAAACTAAAGTTTCAGAATCCTGTCTTATCAAATTTTTCATTGGCAAAACCTATTATGATGAAGTACAATGTGATCTTGTTGACTTGGATGCTTCATAAATGATATTAGGCAGGACATGGCAATTTGATGTTCATGCTACACACTGATGAGGAAAAATATTTATATTTTCTATAGAAATTGAAAAATTATTTTCGCTCAAATGCATGACAGTTTGATATTAACCAGATGGAATTTCTCAAAAAGTTTGATATTAAAACTGATTCAGATATCAAGATAGCCAACATGATACCAAAATCTGTTTAAAGTCTTTTATCAGAATTTTTTGAATTCAAGAATCATCTAGTCATCTTCCACAAACGCGAGATGTACAACATCATATTGACTTTATACAAGGACCTAGTCTGTTTAACTTTCTACATTATAGGATGACTCCACAAGAAAATCAAATTCTTCAAGAACACAAGTATAGGAGTTATTATGTAAACGATTGATAAGAGAAAGTGTGAGCCGATATGTGTTTATACTAGAGCTATCAACAAGATAACAGTTAGGTATAGATGGCAAGATATGCTTTGTGGTTCGAATTTTTTTCGAAAGTTCATTTAGAGAAAAAATATCTGACGCAGAAGTAACGCAGAAGATAAACAAGATATGGGCTTCAATCTTCAAAGCTTAAATTTTGGGAAAGAAGCCGGCCTCTGAATCTATAAATTCGTAGTCTTAAACCCTGATTGAACCACAAAGATATGTCCCTCTAAATCGATTAATTCAAAACTTGAATCTACAAGGTAGTGCCTGAATTCAAAAGCAAGGGAGAGGTCCTCACAGCGGAGAAAACTGATTGAACTAAAAAGATATGTCCATCTGGTTACTATGGAGGCTTTATATAGGCCTAGAAAGAAGGTTCGACACTCCTCAAAAGGAGGATTCTGAGAGATCTTAGGGATAGAATCTGAATAACTCTGAAATGACTTAACACAGACTCTGAAAAACTGTGATCTTAAACCAATCTTCTTAAAATTCTCTGACATGAGCTAAAGCAGACTCTGACAGTGAGAGACCCTGAGTATATCTGAGGTACAGCATCTTTTGGGAATCGTTCTTTACGAAGATACACCATCACTTTGTCACCAACTTTAGATACCTTCTTTCTTCTTTTCTTATTTACTGCCGCTTTATATTTCTCATAATTGGTTGTAAGATTACGTATCACACCTTCATGAAGTGTTTTGATATGATCTACCATATAATTTGCAGCAATACTAGTTCCAACTAGTCTTGGTACTTCTAATAAATCTAATTGAGTTCTCAGAGGAAAATAATATACCACTGAAAATCGAGATTGGTTAGTCGAACAATTAATCATCGAGTTATATCCAAAGTCTGATTTTATAGTAACCTATTTCTAAGGTTTATAGTAAAACATTCTTCAAGTTCAGAAATTCAATCAAGAAATTCTTCTATTTTCAAAACTTTAATAAACTAGGCAAATCAATTTTAATTCGAAAATATCAGGAACCTCAGAACTTTCATTGTCATTGATGTCGATACCTTTACCTCCTGACATCTTGTGATCAACTTTGATGTTGTGGAGTTTGTGCTCCAATGGTTGTCTTTTTGCTCTGAATCCACAGGCTAAACAGGTCAGTACCCTTGAGTCCATAAAAGGTAATTCTAAATCCAAGAAATAAAGAACCGGTTCCCTCAGTCTACAGGGGTGCTGTAGTCTACCATCAGAAGAAAACTCAAAAAATTGTATTAAAAAAAAGGTAATTTGGCTCTCGGGCTCCAAGATTTGAATTTCTAATGAAATCTAAATTTGAACTCAATTTTGTTTGAATCAAGAAGCAAAAAAAAGAGATAAAACTTGTTACATTTACCACTAAAACTTGTTACATTTTCAAAACACGGTTCATATGTTCATTTTCCATAGTACAGTAAATAAGAATATCCTCAGACTTGTGCGTCATTTACCACTAAAAGGTGTTGGAACCTGATTCATCACTCTTATAAATGCAATAAGGGTGTTGGATAAGCCAAAAGCCATGATGAACCATTCATAAAGGCCTGCCCTAGTTTTTAAGGCAGTTTTACATTTCTAGCCGTGAAAAATTGACACTTTATATCAACTTCTATGAAAAATTTAGAACCACAAAATATATCTAACATGTCATCTAGCCGTGAAATTGGGAATATATACTTCACTGTTATCTTGTTGATGGTTTTGTGCAGTCGACAAATATCTCCCAAGTAGAGCATGCGCTCATACTTTCTTGTGGAGTCATCCTATACTGGGAAAAGTGTAGCATTTCTCAACAACATGACATTACAATTCATCACAATAAGTCTTATCAATTCATAACTTGATTAGACACATTTCTGAAACTGTAGTTTCTTTTTCATTCCTGTTCAAACAAATTTGATATAGATGAGGGTGTGGGTTTGTCTAAAAACTTAATGATTATATCAAGGATGAGACTTGGGTTTGTCTAAGCCCACTTATCCTAAATTTTGGCCATAAAGTGAAAACTGCAAGAAAAAGGTGACGAGGTAAATCTGCTTATATTGGTGATAATGATTCACCTGAAAGTTTTTCCTATCTGAAAATTAGATTTTTTGTTCTTTAAGACTAAATAGATGAAAAAATATGATGACATTTGTGATACATTGAAAAACCTTTTGACAAGAATGAGTATATTAGAGGATCATTCACGTCCTCGTAAAGATCTGTACGAGGGGAGCAATCACTGACCACACGTAGGAGATGAGGCAAAGAACCGTACGATCATGGGAGAAAATGAAGACGCTCTTCAAATCTCGTTTTCTTCCCTGAGACAAGGGAATATATCAGTTTCTGATTATGTAGAAGAATTTTATCATTAATCAGTTTCCGAGTCATATATGATTTCAAGATTTAAAGTTGATGTTGGATGGATAATTAAAGATAAAGTAACTTTACAATCATATTTCAAGCTTAATGACATCATAATGGCTGCAGAGGGTGCAAACCCTTGTTAGAGAAAGGAAAAATAAAGAATCGAAATTTTGTGGGTCAGAATTCAACTCTGCACCCAGAAATACGAAGATCTACTGTTGTTTCATTTACACCACATAATCTCCTTCTGCCCAAGCTGTACTAAGAAGAATCCTTATACTCCAATGTAACAAGAATGCCCAAGTTCGCTACCGGTGTGAAGAAAGTGGACACAAATCAAATATCTGTCCTAAACGAGGTGACACGGTAAGCATTGTAGATTCTATTGAAGAGGAAAAGAAACATGAAGAATCAGAAATTGAAGGTGAGGTACCAGAAAATTTTATTGAATTTGATACTGGAGATGCAGTGTCACATTCACTTGTAGTTAGGAGATTGATGTATTCACCAAAAAGAAAAAATGACCCAGAGCGCCATAATATTTTCAGAACAAGGTGCACTGTGAATTCTAAGGTATGAGATATAATCATTGATAGTGGCAGTAGTGAGAACATTGTCTCGTTTGTGATGGTTAAAAAAATTAGGTTTTCAAACAAGCCGACAACCTCATCCATATCATCTTGGTTTGATCAAGAAGGAAATAGAAACTAAAGTTTCAGAATCCTGTCTTATCAAATTTTTCATTGGCAAAACCTATTATGATGAAGTACAATGTGATCTTGTTGACTTGGATGCTTCATAAATGATATTAGGCAGGACATGGCAATTTGATGTTCATGCTACACACTGATGAGGAAAAATATTTATATTTTCTATAGAAATTGAAAAATTATTTTCGCTCAAATGCATGACAGTTTGATATTAACCAGATGGAATTTCTCAAAAAGTTTGATATTAAAACTGATTCAGATATCAAGATAGCCAACATGATACCAAAATCTGTTTAAAGTCTTTTATCAGAATTTTTTGAATTCAAGAATCATCTAGTCATCTTCCACAAACGCGAGATGTACAACATCATATTGACTTTATACAAGGACCTAGTCTGTTTAACTTTCTACATTATAGGATGACTCCACAAGAAAATCAAATTCTTCAAGAACACAAGTATAGGAGTTATTATGTAAACGATTGATAAGAGAAAGTGTGAGCCGATATGTGTTTATACTAGAGCTATCAACAAGATAACAGTTAGGTATAGATGGCAAGATATGCTTTGTGGTTCGAATTTTTTTCGAAAGTTCATTTAGAGAAAAAATATCTGACGCAGAAGTAACGCAGAAGATAAACAAGATATGGGCTTCAATCTTCAAAGCTTAAATTTTGGGAAAGAAGCCGGCCTCTGAATCTATAAATTCGTAGTCTTAAACCCTGATTGAACCACAAAGATATGTCCCTCTAAATCGATTAATTCAAAACTTGAATCTACAAGGTAGTGCCTGAATTCAAAAGCAAGGGAGAGGTCCTCACAGCGGAGAAAACTGATTGAACTAAAAAGATATGTCCATCTGGTTACTATGGAGGCTTTATATAGGCCTAGAAAGAAGGTTCGACACTCCTCAAAAGGAGGATTCTGAGAGATCTTAGGGATAGAATCTGAATAACTCTGAAATGACTTAACACAGACTCTGAAAAACTGTGATCTTAAACCAATCTTCTTAAAATTCTCTGACATGAGCTAAAGCAGACTCTGACAGTGAGAGACCCTGAGTATATCTGAGGTACAGCATCTTTTGGGAATCGTTCTTTACGAAGATACACCATCACTTTGTCACCAACTTTAGATACCTTCTTTCTTCTTTTCTTATTTACTGCCGCTTTATATTTCTCATAATTGGTTGTAAGATTACGTATCACACCTTCATGAAGTGTTTTGATATGATCTACCATATAATTTGCAGCAATACTAGTTCCAACTAGTCTTGGTACTTCTAATAAATCTAATTGAGTTCTCAGAGGAAAATAATATACCACTGAAAATCGAGATTGGTTAGTCGAACAATTAATCATCGAGTTATATCCAAAGTCTTATTTTTACGAAAGCATAATCAAACTCTTTTGGCTTTTCTCCTGAAATACAACGAATAAAGTTACCCAGAGTTCTATTCACAGCTTTAGTTTGACCATCCGTTTGTGGGTGATTAGCTTTTTCTAAAAAAGTGATTAGCTACCTCACTTTTTTTATTTTTCTAAAGAAATTCTATGTAGACGAACAATAAAAGATATCTATGTAGCATGCATTATTTTGATAGAAGTCTGACTATTTACTAACTTAAGAGCCGGAAGATTAGTATATAACATAATTTTTTGTTGAATCAAATAGTGTTCCCTTGTTTGTAAAGCATGGACCACTGCAGAAAGATCTAGTTCATACGTTGTGCATTTTTTTCTTACCTGGAAAAGTTTTTTAGCAAAAAATCCTTTTGGCCGACCTTCTTGCGATAGTACCCCTCCAATCGAAACTATGGATACATCGCATTCTACTTCAAACAGTTTATCAAAATTTGACAAGGCTAAAACAAGAGCAGAACATAATTTCTCTTTAAAAATAATAAAACCTTTACTAGCTTCATCAGTCCATTTAACCTGACTTTTTTTCATACAAGCGGTATGAGGAGACATTATTGAGCGAATGTTTTTAATGAATCTTCGAAAAACTGATGCCAACTCATGAAAACTTCTAACCTTAGGAATTGTAGTTGGTGTTGACCAATCTATGATAGCTCTGACTTTTTCTTCATCTACTTCGGTACCATCTGCACTTACCACATCCTAAAAATAGCAAACTAATCACAATTCTTGAGGTTAATATATATGTACTTAGACCCATTTGCACTTACCTAAGACTTGATGAAGTCTCACTTCTTCATCTTCTGTAGTACTGTAAATAAGAATGTCATCAAAATAAATGACAACAAATTTACTAATAAAAGATTTTAGATATTGATTCATCACTCTCATAAAGGTACTTAGGGAGTTTTATAAGCCGAAAGACATGGCCAACCATTCATAAAGACCTGCCTTAGTTTTAAAGGCACTCTTCTATTCATCTCCTGACCGAATTCGGATTTGAAGATATGCGCTCTTTAAATCGACTTTCGAAAAAAAATTAGAACCACAAATGCATAGCTAACATGTCATTTAGGCGTGGAATTACGAATGTATAGTTAAACTGTTATCTTGTTGATAGCTCTACTTGTGGATTCAAGGGTTTAGGACACCGAATCTTTGGATTCAGAGGCAGATTTCTTCTCCAAGATTGGTGCTTTGAGGATTCAAGCCCATCTCTTGTTTCTCTTCTGAGCTACTGCTGCGTCATGAAAGATTTGTTCGTCTGTTAATATTATTTTCTAACCATCACAAAAGAGAATAATCTCACTACTACTATTATCATTTATTATATCACATTACTTTGAATTCACAGTACACGCTAATGTGAAAATATTATTAGTTGTCTGTCTTCTTCTTTTTTTTGGTATACATGAATCTTCTGACTACAAGCGAATGTGATAGTTTATCTCTAGTATCAAATTTAATAAATTTTCTTCTACCTCACCTTCAATCTGCAAGGTTTACCGTGCCACATTTAGGACAGATATTTGATTTGTGTCTACTTTCTTTACACGTGCAGGATTTAGAAATGACATTAGGAGTGTAAAGATTTTTTTTAGTAGAGACATGGACAGAAGAATTTGCTCCCCTTGTTCTCACTGAACTTTACACCTCCACTATATTTTGCTTAAGAGTTAAATTTTCACTTCCAAAATTTCAAATTCTGGTTTTTCCTTTAACTAATAAGGCTACAGCAGAATGTGCAGCCAGTACAATATCATTAAGCTAGAGAAATAACTGTAGAACTGGTTTTTCTAACCTTCTGATCTCCTGATCTCAATTTTTTAATCTATTCGATCTGAAAATGTAATAAAATTGGATTTTGAGATAGAAAAATAATCAGGTGAATCATCATCACCAATATGAGCAGATTTACGTCCTATTAATTTTTTACCTTCATTGAAATGTTGACTTGCTCTGATACGATCTGAAGAAGCAGTTATGCGGAAGATAAAAAAGATATGACTTGAATGAGCGAAGCTCCAATATTAAGAAAAAAACCTGCCTCCAAATCCACAGATTAAGAGTTTAAAAATTGTAAAACTTTTACAAACTATGATCTTAGATAGATCCTCTATAAATACTTTGACTAACTCTGAAATATCCAAAAACACAGTATGACAGAGAGAGATCTCAAGCAGATTTTAGATATAGATTGTGACAGTTAGAGATCTTGAACAGATCTTAGGTGCATATTGAACCACATTAAAGTCTCTTCTAAATGGAATCAGACAGTTGGATTTACTGTCTCTCTAAAATTACCTTTTAGAAGTGACAAGATCATAAAGTGGGCTAAATTTGGGCCAAATTTGGCTGCTTTTCTTCAACTTTTTACTTCATTGCAGATTTTTACTTTTGTCCTTAACTACATTAGACAGACTCTGAAGGTCAGATATACTTAATAGACTGTAGGTACAAACTCTGGAAGTTAGATACACTGAATAGCCATTAGGTACACACTCTGACAATCAGACATCCTGAAGAGATATTAGGAACACACTGAACTATATTATAGTCACTTATAGAAAGACAGATAGATAAAGTAACTTCTAGAAGCAAAAGGGCATAAAATAAAAAATAAATATTACTTTTTGAACCTTCAGCCCACTTGTGACATGTGGGTAATTTTTTAACAATTTTCACTTTGTGAATGTCAGTGAAATGGTCAAATTTAGTGGGAGCTCAATGATGCATAACTTGTAGTTAATCTTATGAAGAACTTTATATGGTCCATATTTCTTTGGTTTTAACTTGTTATAGTTGCATGTTGTGAAATCAGTTAAAACATCTTTTTTCTTTTTTTATTTGCTGCTGCTTTATATTTTTCATAATTGTGTATCACACATTAATTATATGTTTAACTATATTGTTCAAAGTAATACTTGTTCTCACTGGTCTCGGTATAGGCAAACTCTGTTTTAGCAGAAACATAATCCCATTGTTTTGACTTTTCTACTAACATACAATGAATCAAATTGTCAATAATTTTATTCACAACTTCAATCTAACCATCAGTTTTTGTGTGAGTTTGTCAGAAGTGAGATATAACCCTAGGACCTATGTCAGAGATAATTAACTCAGTAATTTCAAGTAGGTGAACAATTTCTTTAAAGAAGTGAGTTCTTGATGAAAATAAATTCTTGAGAAAAACCATCATTGAGAAAAATCATCGCATCTAGGTACAATTTCTTGAGATAATCAAAGCATGTGATCTCAGCACGCAGGTTCACTAAACATTCTTTTTTTCTGTGTTGTGCTTGATCAAAAAACTGATGCCGTAACAAACATCACTAGATTTATGAAGTGGTAGAGAAGATGAATGGCAATGCATACCTTGAACATCTAAATTCTTACCTAATTTTATTTTTCAATATTTGATCTGAAATTCAAATTTCTTCTCTTGAAGTTCTCTTCTTTTGTTGGTGGACTCCAGGACCCCTGGGGACAGGGAACCTGTTCTTGAATTTTCGGATTGAGAATCACCCCCTTCGGGACTCCAAACCATTGGTGTATGTTTTCGGAAGATCCGAGACGTGTCTTCAACCCCCACAACATCAGGGTTGATCCCAACTCAAGCTTAACTGTGTTAAGTAGTATCAGAGCAAGCTTAGTGTTCCAGATCTAGATTTACAGGATGTCATGAGGTAAAGGGATGCACATCAATAATAATGAAAGTTCTGAAGTATGTACTATCTTGAAACAAGAGTTTATTGATTTTAAGATTTATATGGTACAAAAATTTAAAGATTTAAATAACAAAAACTTTAAAGATTTCAAAAACTTCAAAAAATGTGTCAACAAGTTGGAACTATGTAGAACTATTCCTCGTCGATGAAATTCTTCTCAAAAGAATCTAGATGTACCTATCTCTATTTCAAAATGTTCATGACGTAATGAGGAATGTCACAAATGAAATGCTTGCCCAAAAAACGGTGTTATGAATTTCACAAAGGCCATAGATGAAGATGAAATTAAAGGTGCAGAGGATCAAGAAGAAATTCAGAAGAATCTTATTGAAGCCGAACAAGAAGAAGATTTTCGTCACTCTCTAGTCGTTTGATGGCTGATATATGCTTTAAACAGAATATAAATTTGGGTAGACCATGACAATTTAATTTGAATGCAACTCATCTGACAAAGATAATCATTATGCCTTTTACAAAAATGGTAAGAAGTCTATTTTACACCCAATAAAAGAAAAACAGTTTTTTAGCATAGTTAAAGAAAAGAAGCAAGTTATGCTGATTGACAAAAAAAAACTTTTTAATACATTGAAAGAAAATATTAAAGTATTTATGCTCATAAAAAAAGGAATAGTTCTTTTCATTATTCTGGTGTTATACCTAAGGCAGCACAGAATGTGTTGAATGAGTTTTCAACACTTATCCAACGCTTTTGGTCATACCTAGGCAGATCATTATTTTGGTCATGCCTTTTGGCTTATCCAACGCTTGCAGTACCTTTATGAAAATGATGAAAAATCTGAGACCAGTGTTTAAACTTCTAGAACAAAATGTATTATACATTAATTTGAAGAAATATGACTTCATAACTGCTACTTTGATATCAAAGTGGATGAAAAAAAGGTGATGGCCATCAAAGATTGGTCAACACCAATCATAATTCATCTGGTTCAAAGATTTCATGATAAAAGATAAATTAAATTCTTGTAGTGTTAAATTTTGGTAGTGTTAAATTTTGATGATAAATGAGAAAGTGTTTAAAGTGCATTGTGATGCATCTATAGTTGGCATTGGAGGTGTACTCTCACAAGACGGTCGGCTACTAACATTTTTCAGTAAAAATACTTTCTGAGGCAAGAAAAAAATAGACAACATATGAACTGTAATTTTATGTTGTGGTCCGTACTTTACAAACATGGCAACACTCTTCAGGTTAAGCAAGACACTTTAGTCGAGACAAGACCTTACAGTATATTGAAAAGCGATATTATTAGCCCCAACTAAAGAGAGATATAAAAATTTTTATTCCTAAATGAGAGGTTTGTCAAACCTACAAAGGACAAAGTCAAAATACTAGACTATACACCCTATTACCTATTCCACAATGTTTAGGGGTTAATATTTTAATAGATTTTGTATTAGCTCTACCATGAACACAGAACAGCTGACTCAGTTTTTGTGGTCATTAATTTTTTTTGAAAAATAACACTTCATATCATGTAAAAACACAAATGATGCAAGTCAAGTACTCATTCACTTTTATAAATCATTGTCTTTTATTGCACCAGAATAATTTTTTTCTATTTCTATAGAAAATATAAATTTTTTCTTTGCCACGGTGTGTAACATCCACATTGAACTCTCATATCACTAATATCATCAAATTTTTGATCTATTCAATCTTGAAATACAAAAAAAGTTGATTTTCAAATAGGATAAACATCAAGTGAATCATCATCACCAATATGAGCAGATTTACCTTGTGACATTTTGAACCTGAATTGAAACATTGACTTGTTCTGATATCAACTGATGTAGTAGTAACACAGAAGATAAACAAGATATAGGTTTGAATGCACAAAGCTTGGGGAAGAAATCTGCATCTGAATCTAAAGATTTGTAGTCTTCAACCCTTGAATCCACAAGGAGGTGCCTGAAACCACAAGCAAGAGGGAAAAGTTCTCACAGTGGAGAAAACTAATTCAACTAAAAAAATGAGTACCTCATATTACAATGGTGGCCTTTATATAGGCTTAGAAAGGAAGTTAGGAACTACCCAAAAAGAGGATATTGACAGATCATGGGGACATAGTCTAACTAACTCTGAAATGACTTAAAATAGACTCTGACATATTGAGATATTAGACAGATCATCTAAAAATACTCTGACATGACCTAAAACAGACTCTGATAATTAGATATCTTTAGTAGATCTTAGCTACAAAATCTGACAGTCAGAGATCCTAAACAGATCTTAAGTACAGAATCTGACAATTAGAGATCTTGAACAGATCTTAGGTACAAACTAAACTCCAAAAGTTTATTCTAGAAGGAATGAAACATAAAGTACTTTCTAGAAGTGAAAGGATATAAAGTGGGCCCAAATTCAAACCTCCAACCCACTAGTGACATATGCGGGCTACTTTCTTGCAATTTTTACTGTATGACTCAAATTGAGAATAAGTGAGCCCAAATCAAAGTTGACACTTCAACTTGTGTCTTGGGCTACATTAATATAGGTGAAGAAAAGAGGTTGGGCCCTCCTCAAAAAGAAGATCCTAACAGGGGGCAAAGTCTAACTAACTTAAAAATGACTTAAAATAGACTCTAATAAACTGAGATGTTAGACAAATTCTAAAAATACTTTGACTAACTTTGAAATGACTTAAAATAGACTCTTACAATTTGAGATCCTAAGCATATCTTAGGTACAGACTAAACCACATTAAAATATCTTCTAGAAATAAATGAGACATAAAGTACCTTCGGATCTCCAGTCCACTGGCAACAAATGTGAGCTCCTTTTTTTACACTTTTTACTTTATAGCCCAAATTTAGGATAAGTAGGCCCAAATTCAAAGTTAACACGTCAACTTTTATCTTCGGCTACACAATTTTCTGTACTATATGCGAAAATATCAACAAAATTGACAACAATTTTTTGAATAAAAATGCTCTTCCATCATCACTTGTACAAAGATTAATTTTCATGATACTCACTTTTAAGATTAGTTTTAGAAAAAACTCCGAAATCTATGTCTTAGAATTAGAAATCAATATTTCACTATAATTTTGTTAATTGTTTGACTATCTACACACATAAGTTAGGTTTCATGTTTTTTTACAAATAGCAAGGGCTCATACATTCATGAATTAATTCCTTTCTCTAGTAGCTCTCCAGCTTTTTTCCTAAAATCTTATTGTATTCTGGGCTCATTTTGTAATCAAGTCTATATGATGTCTTTCAATGGAGGAAATTGTGTAAGAATTGCTATGTGCTAGAAAACTCATTCAGTATATTCTCTTTTTCAACTAACATAAATACTCCTGTATAACATCAAAATAATTCAAAGAAATATTCTCCTTTTCAACTAGTATAAATACTCCAGAATTTTCTTTCAAAGCATTATGACATCCTTTTTGTTAATCATCATAACTTGCTTACTCTTTTCTTTTAGTCAGCTAAAAAACTCATTTTCTTTTATTTAGCATTAAACAAACATCCCACAATTTTTGTAAAACAAAAAAATGCTTATCTCTACCAAGGTGACTGAATCTTTTTTGTTGTCGTAAAGAAAATTCAAAAAAATTACAATTTATAAATGATAAAAATAAGCCAAATTAGAATGATTTTATTATATAGGCCTATTCCAAGTCGAACACATGATAAAAAATTAGTTAATAATATTTATAATTTATTATTGAAGATTAATTTTTTAGAATTTTTAATTGTGAAAATTAACAAAAAAATTAAAATAAGAAATTAGGGTTTTTTAATTATGATGTCAACTCATGAAGAATACCCTCAAATTCAAGTCACCTGACATATGTTGACTCGTATTTCTCAAAATAAAAGCCAATATACTTAGAAGTAAAGTTTGATTTAAAAAGAGAAATTATTCGTAACATAATGTAGAACTGAATACAACTTTTTATAAATTAAAACGAATTTCAAGTTGTGTAGTCAGAAGAATGGGTGGAGCATTCGATGATCAAATTTTTGCTTGAATTCGATCGATTTGTGCAGGCATAGTGCATAGAATGAATTCCTACATGATCTCCAATCAATGAATGACCATCACAACAACTGTTACTTACTGACACTGATTGACAGTGGTTGTTCAACATCCATAGAAGAAATTCTTCACTTTTAGTATGGGAAAAAGAATGGAGTATGTTCGTGGATGAAGATCAGTATCTATAGCAGCTGAATTAGGGAGAAATCGACATGAAATTCATCAATAGAATGAGGAATGAAGTGCAATAATGAAGAATGGAAGGTTTTTGACCAGGTGGAAGAACTATTAAGATCTGCGTCGAAAAAGGCTAAAAAAAATAGAATGAAGTGCAATAATGTTTTAGATCAACTCAAGTGAATCAGAAACTGAAAGATTTGGTCACATGTTTAGTGAGCCTAAATTTTACAATTTGCACATTTTATTCATGTAAAATATCCCTCTATTCTGTTTAGAGCGTTCCTATTTCTTAGGGGCCTTCTAACAGAATAATCCTTTTTCATAGGACGGTTTAAACTATTTTCTTCTCTGTATTTCCGAGGATCATAACAGATTTCCTCTTTTATAGGTTAGTTATAACTATTTTTTTGCCTATAAATAGTCACCCCTTGTAGCCCTAAGGAGGCACGTTTTTTATGAATCAATTTTCGAGTTTTCTTCCTTTTTAGAGGTTGTTCCCTTCTACTGTTGGATTCTAATATCCTTGCAAACTCAGGCAGCCATTTTTTATCTTGTGGACTCAAGATCAACCCCTTGTGAACTCAAGGGATGAAATCACTTCATTATGTGGATTCAAGACAAGGAGTTTTCAACCAAGACATGTTCATTTTAGATTTAAGCTCGTGATATTACTTTCAGAATATACAACTAAAGATGAAACGTGATCAAGCTATCAATTCTTCAATTTTCCATCCTCTCTTGAATAACACTCTCTTGAATATTACTTTCATTTTAGATCAGCCTTCTTTTTCGCCTTAATAACACTCTTTTGAATTTCTTCATGATCTTTTCCATCTTCAATCTCATCTTCATCTATGGCCTATACGAAATTCACAGAATCACGTTTCCAACAACCATTTGATTTATTACCATCTTCATTACATCTATAACACTTTGAAATAGAGTTAGGTGCATATTTTTATTTTCTAATTTTCTTTAAAATATAAATTAATATTCAAATTCGAATTTTAAATTAAAATTTTAATTAAATTAAAATTTCATCTCAAGGTGAAATTTAATATGTTCTATTTTAGGCTCACGATTATGATATTTGGACCTTTCTATTGTTCTATTCTCTTTCAAATTTTCATTCCACTTCTATGTTTAGTATCTTTTTATTCTTCAGCCATACTTTCTAGGTTCTTTAATCTTCTTTCAATTCTCCTTGAATTTTTATTTTCGAGTTTTATTTTAAATTTAACATATTATTCTAATTAGAATCTAATTTCGAATTTCCAATGTGAAATAAATTTTAAATTTAAATTTAAATTTATTTTATGTTCAAATTTCATGTGAATCTTAGGCACCATATCATGATACTTGGGCCTATTTATTTTCATACTCCCTTTCAAATTTTCATTCCCCTTTAATTTTTTGTATCTTTCATTTTCCCACCATTATTATTGTGTCCTGAAAGTTTCTTTTTATCCTCTACTTATCTTTTTTTAAAAAATTGAAATTTAAATTTTGATTCAAAGTAGAAATAAAATTTTAAAATAAATTCTGAGTTTTAAAATTCAAAATTTATTTGATGTACAAAAATCCTTGTAAGTTCTATTAGACACATGATCATGATACTTCAGCCACTATATTTTTCTACTCTATTTCAATTTTTTATTCCCCTAGTATTTTTAGCTTCCTTTGATTTTTGGATTGTTACTATTTTTCATCTTGAATTTTTATTTCTATTGTCCTTCTATTTTTATTTTCAAATTTTATTTGAAATTTTAAGCTTGATTGAAATTTGAATTGAAAATTTAAAATAAAGTTTGAATTTAAAATAAAATATTATTTCACATTCAAATTTGATCTTAAGTTTTATTCCAATTACAAGCACATGATACTTGAGCCTATCCATTTTTGTACTCGCTTTTAGTTTCTCAATACCCTTTGATTTTTAATGTTTTTCAATTAGCTGACTATTACTTTTTTTTCTTTTAATCTTCTTTTTATTGGTATTGTTTATTTTAATTTTAAAAAAATTAATTTTACGTGAAATTAGAATTTGAAATTTTAAAATAAAGTTTCAATTTAGAATTCAAGATTTATTTCACGTTCAAATTTAAACTGAAATTCTATTTTAGGCACATGATCATTAGATTTGAGCCTTTGTACTTTTCTATTGCTCATCAATTTTTCATTTCCCTTTACAATCTTTCATTTTTGTATCATTAATATTTGTCTTCTTAAAATCTTGTTTTTCTCCTTTTATTTTTATTTTATTATTTTATTTGAATTTGAATTTTTGATTCAAATTAGATTTTCAAATTGAAAATCAAGTTTGAATTTAAAATTCAAGATTTATTTCAGGTTCGAATTTCAGTTGAAGTTCTATTTTAGGCAAAAGTTCATGGTACTTGCCCCTTATAGTTTTTTTTACTCCCTTTCAATTTTTCATTTCTCTCTATTTTTAGTATCTTTTATTTTTGAACCGTTAATATTTTTCTTGATTAAATATTATTTATATTATCCTAATATTTATCTATTCTAAATTCTTTTAAAATTTAAAAATTATTTATATTTAAATTTTAAATTCGAAATAAAATTTAAAATAAAGTTTGAATTTTAAAGTTCAAGATTATTTCCTTTTCAAATTTCATCTGAAAATCTATTTTAGGCACATGATCAATAAACTTGAGTCTTTGCATTTTTCATTCCCCTTCTATTTATAGTATCTTTCATTTTTTAACCATTAATATTTTTGTTCTTTAAGTCTTCTTTGTATTCTCCTTCTCTTTTTCTTTTTAATTTTGTTTAAATTTATATTTTGATGCAAATTAGAATTTCAAATTAAAAGTGAAGTTTGGTTTAAAATCATAAATTTACTTCACGTTCAAATTTGATTTGAGGTTCTATTTGAGGCATAATAAGATGATACTTGAGCCTTTATATTATTCTACTTCCTTTCAATTTTTTATCCCTCTTTTATTTTTAGCATGTTTCATTTCAGAACCATTAATATTTAGGTTCTTTCAATCTTGTCAAAATTCTCATTCTATTTCTATTTTCTTTTAAATTCCTTTTTTATTTAAATTAAAACTTTAAATTCGAAATTGACATTTAAATTAAAATTTGAATTTAAATGCAAGATTTATTTCACATTCAAATTTCATCTGAAGTTCTATTTGAGGCACAAGATGAAATACTCGAGCCTTTGTATTTTTTTATTCCATTTCAATTTTTCATTTCCTTTCTATTTTTGGACTGTTAATATTTTAATTCTTTAAATCTTTTTTTATTCTCAATCTGATCCTATTTTATAATATTATTTGAAACTTAAATTTTAATTCAAATTAGACTTTGAAATTCAAAATAAATCTTGAACTTAAAATTCAAGATTTCTTTTAGGTTCAAATTTCATCTCATATTCTATTTTATGTAGAAGATCATGATATTTGAGCCTTTGTATTTTTATACTACCTTTCAATTTTTCTTGCCCCTTCTATTTTTACTATCTTATTTTTGGGTCATTACTATTTTTGTACTTTCTATCTTTTTTCTATTCTCCTTCTATTTATATTTTCTAATTTTATTTTACATTTGAAACTTTATTCAAATTAAAATTTCACACTAAATGTTGAAGTTTAAAAATAAAATTTATCTAAAATTCAAAATTGATTTCATGTGCAAATTTGATGTGAAGGTATATTTTAGGCAGAATATCATGATTCTTAAGCCTTTTCTATTTTTGTGGTCCCTTTCAATATTTCTTTCCTTTTCTATTTTTGGTATCTTTCTATTTTTGGATTGTTGCTATTTTGGTTCTTTAAATCTTCTATATTATCTCTTTCTACTTTTTATATTTATTTTAAATTTAAGTTTTGATTCAAATTAAAAGTTGAACTTTCTTTTTTAAAATTTGAATTTCGTATTTAACAAATAATTTGAATTTAACATTATATTTGAAATTGAAGATTTCTTTCACATTCCAATTTCACCTAAAGTTCTAGTTTAGGATCATGATACATGAATCTTTGCCTTTCCCTACACCCTTTCAATTTTTCATTCTCCTTTTATTTTTAGTATCTTTCTATTTTTGGACCATTATTATTTTGACTCTTTAAATCTTCTTCCCATTCACCTTCCATTTCTATTTTTAATTTTATTCCAAAATTAAAATTTTGATTGAAAAATTTATAATCTCAATTTAAACATTAAAATTATATTTAAAATTCAAAATTTATTTCACATTCACATTTCACCTGAAATTCAACTTTTGACACAACATCATGATATTTGAGCCTTTCCATTTTTCTACTCCTTTTATTTCTGTTTCTATTATTTTCTTTAAAATTTAATTTTTAATTCAAATTAAAACTTTCATTTTTGTAGAAAAAATAAATTTAAAATTAAAATTAATGATTTATTTCATGTTCAAATACTAATTGACACAACATAATTATTGACTTGATGATAATTTGACTGAGTTGAAATAGTTTGAGTTCCACAAAATTGAAATCTTGCCCTTAAACCTTGAGTTTACATAATGAAGAGAACTTGACCCTTGAGTCCACAAAGATCAAAACACTTTTCTTAAATCCACAAAACATGTGATTGAGCCTGCAAAATCAAAAGATGGATTCCTTGAGTCCACAAGCGAGCTAGAGTCCACTATCAGATGGAGAGTACCTCTAAGAGGAAGAAACTCATGAAATTATTGACTACCAAATGTTCCTTAAAATAGGCTAGAGGCTCCTGATTTAACATTTAAATTTAAATTTAAAATAAAATTTTAAAGTAAAAATCGAAGGTTAATATAGAAAAGAGAATAGGAATAAAAATAAATAAAAATACATTAGGGACAAGAATAGTAGGAGCCAAAAAAAGAAATGAAGTAAAAAATAGAACGAGGGATAAAAAATAATAAAAATAAAAATAAAAGAGGGGTTAAAAAATAAAAAAAGCTAGGACAAGGAGGATAAAAATAGCAAGAGTTAAAAGTAGAAGGGACTCTTCAAGCAATCTATGCTTCTACTCCACTTGATACAAAGCTTAAATGAGCTACATAGTCATGACTATAAAATAAAATTTATAGTTGAAATTTTAAAAGAGTTGAGCCCAATAATTAATAGTTATAATCTTAACATTTGATCTTAGTGAAACCTGAATATGAATAATAAGAAGTTAATGGAGAGAAAATCATTATAATTGATACATTCAATCCCCCCTTCTTGATCTAAGTGCAACTTCAAATCTGACATGTTCAAAGGAAGATTATTTCTCATTAAAGAATGATAAAGTTTGAAGTGATTATTTCAGACCCTTTGAAGTGACCTCTATAGAAATTTTTTAACATGTTAGAGTTTGGTTGTATTAGAGTGCTATTAGAGTGCTCCCTCTAGGGCTATTAAGACGAGCAAGCATACTAAGTTTGGTTATATGTGAACTCTTTCTTCTTTTCCTTGTATTTTCAGAATACTCTCTCACTTAATTAAAATAAATCATACTAGGTTAAATTCTCAAGTCTTTTTCCTTTTAATGGCTGGAGGTATGAACTTGTGATCAACCTTTTTTAGTCATTAGGGAGATTGAACTCATTAATTAGGTATTTTTCATCTAGAGCTGTCAATTTATAAGAGATATCTAAGAATAATTTTGAAAGAGCTAAATTTGATGATCAACAGTTGTCATCAAAGTATTTGAGTTTAATAGAATGTAATAATAAAGATTGTTCTTAGATAGTAGACAGTTGGGGACCAAACTATTATAAAAAAATTTGAGACTTACACATTGATCCTAGAAACTTATAGAATTACACTTTAAAAGAGGTGACTGAAATTTTTGAAAAAGAATTAATCAAGAATACAAATAGAAGAAGATCAATTCAATTTCCCTTTCTTTATTTAAGTGCAGTCTTAAATTCAACCATCTAGAGTATGAGTGTTGCACTCATGTATGTGTGATAAACAAGTGAGAAATGAAAACAATATAGTTCATCTACACTATCAGAAATGTCTAAAATGATCTCAAGAGATATCATTATCAGGACTTTACATATATCAAAATTTTGCATAGTAGCTACCAAAGATACTTAGAATGGAGCAAAGTATAGGTGGTGGTGTAGTGATGATTGCCTACTCTTACCCCTCCGCCAATCATCAGAACCTCGACGGCATCGGTCTAAGCGAACTTGTGGGTATTTACCATTCTTTGAAATGTCTGCTTGTTGCACGTTTGATTTGTGAAGTCCCATGAGACCGTGTGGGGAGCGGTGCTGTAAATGGAGCTTTGGTTTCCTGCTGCCCTGATGGGATGGGCCGAGAGCAGCGAAGATATCTGCCGGGTAAAAAAATGCGTTTTTCTTCCTTTTTCGTGGCGTCGGGGCCGCTGTCGTCGCCTGCAGCTCCGTGGCCACACACTGACGGCTGGTGTTGGGCTCCCCCAGGGGAGGCGGGGCCCACGTGCCGTCTGCCCTCCCCCGAATAGTGAGGGGAGTCCAATGATCCGCGGCAGACGTCTTCTCACCCCGCCCCCGAATCTATCCCCCAATTGTCCTCCGCCTTGGCCGCTGGGAATGGTCATGGTGGTGGTGGCGACACCCCCGGCCGCCGCCTCGCATTCCGTCTCCTGCAGCTCGCCCCGGCGGCTGGGCCTCGCAGGTGCCTCCTCCCGCGGGCCGACGCCGGCCAGACCACGGAGACCCGCCCAAGTCCGCGTCCCCCCCACCCTGGGGGCGCTGGTCGAGGCAACCAGGCAGACTTCGCCGGCTGTCGTCAGACAAGGCGGGGCCATCGGAACAGATGTGGGGAGCTACTCTATTCAACTGGCCGATCGAGGGAACGGCGCCGCCTCGTCCCCTGCATCTCTCCGGGACCGCACAGATGACATGCAGGCTGAGACAAGAGCGCTGGGTCGAGCAGTTGGCGCCACCGTGTATACCCCAGAGCTTCTTGCCGATAAGTACGGCTCCCGTCCCATCAAGGTGAGAATCCCCATTCGCTCTCCGATTCTTTTTCGCGGTGTTGTATGGCTGACGTCCGCTGTGTGCCATCTTTGATCTTTCTCTCTCTCTCTCTCTCCCCGTCTGAATTCAGGTAGCTCAGAGGGCGATGGAGATATTGACAGCGCTGGGCAGGTTCGCCGTGAAGCTGCTCTTAGATGAACGTAGCGGGCAGCTTGACCAGAGGAAGCGCCAGAGAGCGGCAGAGCTCAGGGAAATCTTCACAAGCCTGGGGCCTACATTTGTAAAGATAGGACAGGGCCTCTCCACCAGGCCGGACATCTGCCCGCCTGAGTACCTTGAGGAGCTGTCCGAGTTACAGGTACAAAGCCCACGGGAAATCTTTATTCATCGCCCAATCCTGCAACCATATTGTTTATCTTTGTGCCCTTCGACCACTTTCATTCATGCTTGATGTTTCTCGCATTTCTTGATGTACATGTCTCTTTCTTTCTTCCTGAAATCGCTCATGAGAAGAATTTAGACTGCCTGCGACTCCAGTAATCTTCAAAAAACTGCGGCTATCCGCCCGCATTTTTCCAATAAGTCACTGATACGTGTAGTAAACATGGTATAAACTAAAAAAAGTTGGCATGGGCTGCTGCCTTGTAGGTGGGGATGGATAGGTCAAGACAGAGTTTTCAAGATTGGAGCTTGTGAGTGGCCAGCATTGGAACGTTCAGGCTCACGAACATGTTTGGTCACCTTGTTTGAAGTTTTACCTGAGACGAACTCCCTGTCTTCTCTCCTTTTGCTTCTATCATTGTCTTAACTGCTTTCTGTCTTCTCCCTGACTTTCTCCTCCCTTATGGTCTTGTGCATAACCGACCCTCCTTCCTGATTCTTGATTAATCTTCAGAATGGATGCGCCCTACTATACCCTTGCACAGCAAAGTAAACTACGTTTCTCTGACAACTTTGTGAATTAACTTGCCCTTTTTTCCTATCTTGTAGTTTTCTTCTGCCCTTCTCTCTCTCTCTCCTTTTCTCTTCCTTCTATGTTTCTTACTGATTCCCTTCTCCTTCATGCACAGGCTTCCTACTATTCCTTCTATCTTCCATCATAACTTTTTCTCTCCTATTCTTCCCTTTGACTAGCCCCTTCCCTCCTCGACCTAGCCAACACTGTTGTATGCAACCCCACTATTCATTGCACTCTTGTTGAAGGTGGGTAGTAGGATTCATGTTCCCTTGAGTTTCCCTGATTTATAAGGTGGTTGTCGCCAATATTTGAGGGTGAAAAAATGGAAATCATAGTGCGTGTTTTGACTGATGTACAACGAGGTATGTCCATACTCGAGTGTTAAAAATACTGTTCACATCCTAGTAAGATAAATCTGAGATATTCTTTGGATAAAAAGTTTGTGAATTCCTGCAAGTTTCAATCAATCAGCATGATTGTTTGGCATCACTATCCCATGGTTATGCGCATCAAAGATTTTAAACCCTATAAGTCATCTTGATCAAGTTTTGACTACAGTCAAATCATGATCCTTGGGATGGAGTTTAAGGCCTATCCACTTCCTTTGCCGTTGCTGCTACCACCTATGCATGCCACCTAGTACACTAAACACGACCATTTCCCCATTTTCGCAAATATGAAAATATTTTATGCATGTCCTTGAGATTTATTAGGAACTCTTATTTCCTTTTAGGTGCTCATTGTATCCGTCCCTATCGTTATGTTTCAGTTCGTTTCGACAATAAATTGTCATGAAAAGACAAGTTGGAAAATAGAGGGTCAGGGACGAATAGGTTATTCACCCCATTATGGTGCCAGCTCTCACTGTCAAAAGCCCATGTCTCCATTTGCTTGCTACATGTCACTGAAACCGGACTCTTCCCCCTCCTCCTCATGATGCCATGCCTATGTCAAGTAGTGCCATCTTGGCAAGTATCTTGGGTATGATAGGGACCGAATCTCATTGGAACTTCGAAGTTAAGCATGCCTAAGTGAGAACAATCTTATGAAATCAGCTCTATCTATCCAACTGGTGTAAGTCAAATGGATGGATATTTCTTTTATGATTTAGTTTTTGGTGTTGAGAGTTTCATCCATCTATCTCCACACTTCTCCACTTTATGATTGAGTAGTTTGCTATTTAGATGGCAAATGAGTGGAGGCTTTGGAATAGTCACAAGTTCTCTGGGTATTCACTCGCACAGCATATTTGGTAGAGGATCTTCAGTACGTGTTAGCAATTGGCCCAGCCTGAGATAATAATGGTATATCAACAAGGACTAAGTTGTGTGGTGTCTCCAACTCCGTCCAACCGTTAGGTCCTTTGAAAGAAACATGGCAATCAAATGCTTTGGCATGAGAGTTTTTGTGTTGATAAAGTTTTTTCTATTTATTTAATTGTGAAAAACAGGGCATGGTTGCTTTGGAGTGTTGGAAGAGGTCATTGCTTTGAGAATCTCAAACAATGTGCACCATCTCAACATGTGCTTTTCCTCTGGCTCAGGGGGATTCTTGTTTTTAGGGAGCTGATTATATACAATTGCTAGTATCTTTTGTCCTTTTTTTCATGCTTATTGATTTATTGGTAGCTGTTGCATCTAAGCAAAGAACTCATTGGAAGTTACATGGTTTAGACCCAGTCAATATGATCCCAGTTAAGAAGGCATTTGAGTTGGACCAGGAAATATGTCAGGCTACATTGATTGTGACTCAGGGTTTTTTTTTTCCTTTTCCTACCGCATACAAAAGCTCAACTATTTCTATACCATAACCAGAGATAGTGACATAACTATTAGTTATATGCTTGATAATTGATAATACCATGGACAAAAGTGGAGTCTTGAGTTTCGAATGAGCCTCAGGGAGGCGAACAAAATAATTTTCTAGTCTTTAGCTGTTGTTAACATGAATCAACGCCATTCCTGATGAACAGTCTAGGGGTGCATGTTTAATGGATCTTTTACCTTGAAAATACTTGTTAAGTATTATTGAGACTACATTAAAACTATCAATAGAAAGTTTTCCGCCTTCAATTTTACTGGAGAGCTGAGCGCATAGTTGCAGTTGGAGTTTTGATACACCAGCTAGTAGATCAAAGAATTTTCTTGCCTTTGGCTGTTTTTAACTTGAATCAACGTCATTCCTGATGAAGGAGATAAAAAAGTCTAGGGATGCATAATTAAAGGATCTTCTACCTTGAAAACACTTGTGAAGTATTATTTAGACTACCTTAAAACTATCAATAGAGAAATTTCCGCCTTCAATTTTGACCGGAGAGCTGAGTGCATAGTTGCAGTTGGGTTGTCTTGATCTGCTGCATCTTTTTCCTTTTTTTACCATGAATGATTGTGAAAGCTGACATGTGATGTCAGTGTTTTGTATTTTGTTAAACCTATTTGATCTTAGACCTATAGTTTTCTATCAGTTGTTAGGGGTAGTCTGTACGCCAATCCTAACCAGGGGTTTTATGTGGTTCAATGAATTCTGAAGTGTTTTCTTTTCAGTGATTTTCTCAGAAAAATTGAGAAATCCAAAGCTTTTGGAGGATTTACAGTCTCCAAAAGTTTACCCATGACAAAACACTTTTTCCAGACATTGTTAATACCTTCTGAAGAAACACCCACTTGGGCTGCAAACCGGATGATATGATTAGAACTATAGGAGAATTATTTCCATTCAGACTTCAGTTCGTTCTTATTCCATCCATGAGAAGGTTCTGCCATTTTCGATAGCATTATCATAATTGTCTTTAAAATAAAAATATCATGCTTAGTGACTAGATTTGTCGGTAATAAGTTTTGTCAATATTCAGTTTAGCTCAAACTTGTTTCTCATTAGAGTTTGAGTATGCTGTAGATTAATTTTTTTTAAAAAAATTGTGTTGGTAAAGTTCTGGCATCTCATGCCACACAAGCTATGACCTACTACTGATGCCACAAAGTGAAGGGAACATACATTAGCTATCTTGAATATTTAACAATAAATTTACGGGTAAGTCATTAGTATTGTGTCAACAAAATGCTCCCGTCGGTTAAGCATTTCTGACTTTTCTGTCAATGTCGCTTACCAAAGCATCAGCGTTTTCGTTTGAGCAGGATGCACTGCCAACATTTCCAGATGCTGAGGCTCTTTCATGTATAGAGAGGGAACTGGGTTTGCCACTTGATTCTATTTACTCATCAATCTCACCATCCCCAATTGCTGCGGCCAGCCTAGGACAAGTTTACAAGGCACGACTTAAAAGTACTGGACAGATTGTTGCAGTGAAAGTACAGCGACCTGGTATTGAAGAAGCTATAGGCCTGGACTTTTTCTTGTTAAGAGGCCTTGGTTCCCTGATAAATAAATATGTGGACTTTATAACAAGTGATGTTGTTGCTCTCATTGATGAGTTTGCACGAAGAGTCTACCAGGAGCTCAACTACGTCCAGGTACATACCTTTGTATTGTTTTCATTTTTCTGTTGTGGGCTGTGCCCGTACTCCAGTACTATCAGAGTGGTTGGCCATCTACTTTTTTTCTCTTAATTGCTTATTTGTATGCAGGAAGGACAAAATGCAAGAAAATTTAAGAAATTATATGCTGACAAGGAAGATGTTTTAGTCCCGGATATATATTGGGATTATACCAGTGCAAAAGTATTAACAATGGAGTGGGTGGATGGTATCAAGTTAAATGACCAAGAAGCTATTGAAAAGCAAGGTCTAAAGCTTTTGGACCTTGTCAACACGGGAATCCAATGTAGTTTGAGGCAACTGCTTGAGTATGGATACTTTCATGCGGATCCCCATCCTGGCAATCTACTTGCAACACCAGAGGGCAAACTGGCGTTCCTTGATTTTGGGATGATGAGTGAGACTCCAGAAGAAGCTAGGCTCGCCATTATTGGTCACGTTGTTCACATGGTTAATCGAGACTATGAAGCTATGGCTCAAGATTACTATGCATTAGATTTCTTGGCTCCTGACGTTGATGTTTCTCCCATTGTACCAGCTCTAAGAAACTTCTTTGATGATGTTCTTAATTCAACTGTTAGTGAATTGAATTTCAAAACAATTGTTGACGGATTGGGCAATGTCTTATATCAGTTTCCATTTACTGGTGGGTTTCTCCTTTTTCTGGCTTCTCTTCTAGCTGCTACTATCTATCATGTTGTTTGTCGATTTAGATTGTGGAAGAGTAGGTCCAAATTTTACATTTTGGTGAAGTTCTATTTAATGAAGTTTATATGTTTCTTTCCTTCGATTTTTCCAGGATACATCTAGAAATTGTGAATATAAAAATGTCTTTGAATGTTTACTTTTGCGAACAGTATAGGTAACCTAATTTGCTCGTTTATGAACAATGTCTATGTGATAGTTTTGTGTTTTTGCCTTGTATCTATCCCTTGATTGATTATGTGATTGTGAGCATACTTATGTGGTCAAGTGTTGATAGCATAAGTAGTTTTTCATCAGGTGGCTCTTCTTCATCAAGTGTTGATAGCATAAGTTTCTAAGAACCTAGACTTCTCTTGAAAAATTTTATCCCTAATTTTAATCATGGTCGTGGAAGCATATAGGATAGATGTAGAATATTGTTTATCTAAGATCAACTCCTGCAAAATAGCTCTCAAAAGACTGGCTGCCTGTGACACAGTTTCATCCATAAATTCTTCAATTTCAGAATACTTTAATGGATAATTTGTTTGTTAGTTGTGCGATCATTTTTACTGCCTAGAGATCTAAGATTAATTAAATGACACAGGTGTTTGACAGACATTCCCAAGACTGATCTGAATCAGCTGAACCAGTTCTGGAAATCAATTTCTAAAACCGTTCTATGAAAATCATTGTTATTATTATTGTTATACGATTAAAGAAGTCATCCCCCCTAGATCCCAACTTTGTCGCCCTTTTGTTAAATATTGACATTCTTCTTGTCAAATGATTGCCTAGAACTTTATTGAGTTGTGTGCAGTAGACAAATCTAAACTCTTCAGTTTGACAGCAGCAATGTGGTCACTCAATCCTCCTGACAATTTTCGCAAGGATCTATGGATTTACTGATAAACACCAATAACTATATTGCTACCATCACAAACTCCCTAGCCTATTGACAGTACTTCTGCACATATATTTCTTTGTAAAGGGTGTTCAAAGCTTTTCCTCTAAAGGGTGACGAAGATACCACTTTCATTACCATCAGAGAACTATGATGTATCTCTTTGTTCGCAATTCTTCCCAACCCCCATTATACATAACTTTTACGGTTCTAATATTTCTTATATATATTTGTCATTCCTCAAATGTGTTGTGAACTTTCAGCAGTCTCTCAAAAACGGTGTTTACTATAAAAATAAGAAAGTTCATGTCCGCCTTTTTGAATAGAAACAACACGTTCCCTTTCAGTTTTCTATTCTTATTCTAGTTTATTTTTGACATCTTTATCCTCCTAATACTTCTTTCTTTAATGGAAGGTTACATAGAGTGAATTTGGAAGACTGTTGGCAGCTAATCGTGTGTATTCTAGTTAATGACCTGTATTCTTAGCCATGCTTGTGATAAGTGCCATCCTTCTGTGCTTGACCTAACTTGGTGCATTATACTGTTTGCAGTTCCGGCATACTATGCACTGATTCTGAGATCACTTACTGTCCTGGAAGGCTTAGCTCTTTATGCCGATCCTAATTTCAAGGTACTTGCAGCGTCATATCCATATTTCGCCAAAAGGCTTCTCACGGATCAAAATCCATATCTTAGAGATGCACTTATTGAACTGATTTTCAAAGATGGGAGATTCAGGTATGTCTGGGTCATGTGAAGGTACCTACTAATTTTGGAGTATAAGCGATAGCTTGACGAATTTATCATTCACATGAAGGTGGAACAGGCTCGAAAATCTGCTTGTTCAAGGTCGTAAGGATAGAGATTTTACTACTAAAGATGCTTTGCAACCTGTTCTTAAGCTATTATTGGACCCTGATGGAGAGGAGCTTCGGGCTTTAGTTGTCAAAGAGGCTGTCTATGTTACAGAAGCTGTTGCACTTGGCACAATGATTGATACTTATAAATCTATTCCTCAGTTTATGAGAGCTCTAGCTCCTAATGGCAGTTCACTGGGCCCTTTCAAGTTGAAGGATGGTGAACAAGAACGAATGCTGGAGTTGCGGGATAGAGTGTTTAGAATATGGATTCTATTAAGATCCTCTGAGAATTTTGATCCAAGCATTCTTCAGCCTGTTCTACAGGTATCTACGCCTTAATTCCCTGCTAGCATTTCTCAGTCATTCTGAATCTTTGGTAATCAAAATCTCTTCTTCCTTGATTCAATTATCTATTCCTTTTTTATTATTGGCAAGTCATCTTTTAAATGAATTCGTCACCTCAGTAGGTTAAACATCCACATTGCATCTACAAGCTACTCAAAATACGTGACAATAACGTTTGGCAGGATGGAAGCATTTTGTCAGGAAGTAACAACATTGAAAGGAGATTCCTCCCAAAGATCTCTGACCTATTTGTTTAGGCTTTGACTTGCTGGAACCGATGTTGCATGTTAAATGTGAATCATTTAAAAGGATAGCATTTTCCTTTAACCGGAATTATCTCTATTATCTTGCCTATCACTTTTTTACCTGGGTTGGTCATTTTTATTTAATTTTTCTAAATTAGTAACCCATTGCAACTCTAATGTAGAAAAGCATGGCATTGATAGGTTCTGCAGGAGCCCGAAGGTCGTAATCTTGGCGGACGGGTTGTGGGAGGAATATCACAACGTCTTGCTGCTCGTCTATTGCAACAACTTCTCATGTCTCCTGTCTCGGTCAATGGAACTCCATAGAATTGTAAATTAAAACATACATGAGGTACAGGCCTGTATATATGCTGTCCTCGTAAAGAATTTTAACTATTTCTCATCCTTCGTTGATGTATATGAGTCAATTTGCCCACCAATGTAAACTGCATGTGGTTTTTGGCCATTGACTCTATGGAAGATGAGCTACAGTCAAACTAACTCCTTGGAAATGGTGTAAGTTTACAGTAAGGACTCTGTTATGCCACTGTGAGACTGAAGAACTAGTTCGATGATAAACGTAAAGAAAACTTAACTTTCAGGGCATCGCAAGTATTATGACCCTCTCCTTTACAAAATAAAGTCACAAGTTTATTGAAAAATGCTCTGTTTTATGAATTTCCTAACTTTACACCACATATCCTGTTCATCTTTCAACTCATTGACAATCACATAGTCCAAAACATTGTTTGAACAATCGTGAACCAGCAACGTCCTTCCTCTTGTATTTGCCTATCGGTCTGCCATTCGATAGATTTATGGATGCCAGCATCATGCGAGAATAATATTATATCGTATCATTAAAATGATTTATCAGATGAACAATGGCCCTTACTGGTTCACAGAATACGCGAGAAGCCTCTGTCACATATTTCCTAACATTGTTCTTTCTCTGTCACCATCAGCATCCCCATGCCTTCCACGTTTGGACAGTGGATTTCACTATAGACGGGAGAATGTGGCACTGTCATCGGTAACTTTCCACTTGAACAGTGGTATTGAAGGAACTTGTTTCTTCCTTACGACTGACATGATGCTACCATAATCTGTGGAACCTTCCATTCGTTATCTTCACTCCTGGATTTGACGGCAGCTATTCCTGTCGATTGAAAAAAAGTGGATTCCGAGCCTTGAGAAAGCTTTTCCCATCCAGGCCGTCACGCTCTCTGACGTCATTTATTTTTAATGGGTTATTTTAAGACCGTTGAAATTGTCAGCTTTTGCCGTCAACAACCTGGCAATTCAACCTTTTACCGTCTACAACCCTTGTCGAAATTGATTTGTTTGTCGTCTATTGACTGCTCTTGCCGTCAACAACCCTTGTCAAAGTGGGTTATCCTTCAAAGCTCTCTTTCTTCAGCCCCCGTCTTTCATCCCAGATTATCATTTGGCTTCACTCATGATACTCGGCCGCTCTGGCTCTCCAGCCTGTTAGAGTCAGAGTCTTCCACGTTCCTTTTTTTTTTAGTGTCTTCCACGATCACTCTCTATTAGATTTTCGGATGCAGATTATACCATTCCTGTCTCTTCCTCCAAATTCAAGTCCGCTGGACGCTGATTTTGCACTTGAATAAAACATAAAACGATTCAGGACTTTCGCCCTTGAAAACACCCTTTGACCTCGAGCTCTCTCCATGGTGTTCGAACTGTCCCTCCATGTCTGGTGCTGTTTCAGGCGCTCGCCTCCAGGTGTATCTAAACTCCCTTTCTTGATGTTTTCATTTAACTGAATGTTGCCGTAGAATGTTTGTTAGTTCCCTCTTTCGCTCCTATAAAACTGCTCGAGATGCACTCTGTGCGGGCGGCCATTTAGCCTACAAGTGCATTCTCGGGTAACGGACCTACCCTTTGATCTTATTCCCCTTTCATCCTGATCCAACTCGGATTCTCTCACTCTGATCTTCCTCCGCCCGCAGTGAAGAGCCCCAATGGGTTTCTGTTCATATTCAGTGCGGCACCAGGACTTGGTGCTCCTTGGCTTTTTTTTTTTGTGTTAATCTTGTCGTGAGGCGTCCGCTGTGTTATGCCCAACCAAGAAAGCATGATGGTATTACTAGTTATCTAATTCAATGTTGTCCCGTCCATTCACGCTGGTATCTGATCGATGTTTCAAGCAAGTGGAAGCAGGCAGCTCCTGTCTGTCGCCCCGTTGCTATGAGGCCCCGCCCGCCCGTGATCCCATCCATCTAGAACGCCGTGTTGTTATCAAGAACATCACTCCAAGGGTAGGTACTTTCTGCGCGGAATCAATTGCATTAGTGAAGATGGGAACATGCTGAAACAAAACAGCTAGGGTTCTGAAAATCGCGCTTCTTGGTTCTTTCAACAGCCTGCGTTGCTCAATTGGGCATGGATTTCTGGACGCCCGTAATGTAGGCGTGTGACTAATGTGTTCTAACCTGCAGATGACCGTTCCAATGCATAAAGCAGATGGGAACCATTAATAGTGATTAAAGAAGATTTCCAAAATGAAATTTGAGGCAGGAATATCATCATTACGAGAAAACAGATAGGGAGGGAGAGGGGAAGTCTACACACTGGCATTGGGATTACTGTGATCAATCAACGAACGAGTCATGGTGAATTCGTATATAAAATGTCTACCAGACGAAGTTCTTGAAAAAGGTTAGTTCACAATCTCAATCCATGATGAACTCCCCTGTCCTCCATTCTCGTAGATTTACAAATGCGACAAAAACTTTGATAGCCCCAGATGTTGCTGCATCTGAAACATCTGCCATAATAAAAAGTTGTACTCTTGCAAAGGAGAGACGCAAGGTAGATGCCTGACCTTTCAGCAGGAACTACTGGAAAACCTCATGAAGAGATATATAGAGAGAGTAGCATCCGGCCTAAGTCAGATTGTCGAGTTCGATTTGTTAAGAGCAGTTAGGAGGGAAGCCAACATGGGTCTGAACCAACAGATCATAGCTTTCTCTAGTTTAAAGACAGGCACCCACAGAAGCCTCTGCATTTTCAAACCCTCAAAAAAGGAATCCCTCTCGATGTCAAATCCATTTTCATTTACTAACTGGAGCGCATGCTCTCTCGTCTTACTGAGCAGCACTGCAGATTAATCCGAGCATAGAACCACAGACATGATTTTTAATTTGAGTGGGCTAACACGATATGGCCAAAGAGACGAGCAAACAACAAGTTTGACCTGAAGATATGATGGGGAAAGAAACGAGAGCAACTTACGGCTACATTATTCTGGGGATTATGCATACAATAAATTGCAGCAAAAACCAGAAAAGCATGCAATTGAAAAATCACTTTTGACTGTCCCTTAACCACATCAATGCTCTAATTTTTATGGGGCATTTAACGAACGGTATGAGATTTACATACTAAAACAATCAAAAGTGGGGAAAACTTGATGTCTTCTTGTTTAGGCAGTCTATTTCTTGAACTAAATTGATGCACGACTCCTGGGAATTCTCCAAAACAACGAACAAAATTGTTTCAAAACTGCACTCACGACTATTTACTTAAAGCATCGTTACCACTTAAGAGCTAGAAATATGAACCGTTATGGACACAATCATCTCCTCAAGAAAGCTTCTCTTGAAAGGTACCTCCTGTTTTGGGCATCATCCCAACAAGAAACATAATAAAAGAAAGTTGATTCAAGGAAATAAATATGGATGCATTATTTGCAAAATAAACCAAACTCAAGTCCAGAAAATGGAGATAGCTAATTCAGTGCTTTCACGGGAAGACAAAAAGTCGTGTTTTATCATGTTTTATCATTTTAGAATTCATCCATCAGAACGGAAAGGAATAACAGTTATGAAATATTTCCTGGAAAATTGTTACTTTTCCTCACCAGTTGAATGGATCATACTCATTTCTTTACTGTTATCCAGCCATAAATGATAGTATAAAACAGAGAATGAAAATCTTTGGCACATCAGACAGACGAAAGATCACTCTGACAAATGCTATTTGGGTTAAAAAGGACTGAAAATGGAAACACGGCCATTTACTTCTCAAATTGTCCGATCTTTTTTAAAGCTGGATGTGAGACTCTATCGGTGAAAGTTTTTTTGCAGAAGATAACTGCATAAGCTGGACATCTCTCACGATTGGGAAAACAAAAAAACCCTTTTACGTCTTGATTATGTGAGCTCAAACAATTTATGAACATTTTCTGAGATAGAATATTTTACAATATCTTCTCAATAGCATTCCAATGACAAATTTTTAAAGCTAATAACGTCTTTCAATCCTATTCCCTGCATGATTAACACTTATCAACATTTCATAATCAATCACATACTAACTTGTTCTTCCTAAGCATAAATTTCTTGCTTCTTCCAATGAGGATAGTAAACATCTTAACAAGTTCTTCCTTGACCATGAAAAGAAGTGCTGCAGCAAAAACACTCTGTACAATCTTTGTGCTCATCCCTTTATAGAAACTAGGCAATCCTTCATAACGGATCATTTTAATTATAGCATCTAAAGTACCTGTCAAAAAATAGTTTATCAGGTGAAAGTTCATAAAAACTGTACGACAAAAACAATGGTAAGGAATATCTTATGTATGATAGAAATGTAAATAAAAACGAGAAAACATTAATCATTATAAAAATTATGTTTTTTGGCTGTCATTTAGGTCACAAAATGACAGGGAGATAAAGACGAAGAAGAATTATGGGCAGAGAAACTGCTTTGGCTAGACTCTGGACAGCAATTAACAGTAGCAAAGGGATTTTACTAGCAGATGCAGATGAAGCGAAAATATTTTTTTTCCAAACTCTATTTCAAAGACCTAAATGTACGATTATTTCAATTTTCGTACTTTTAAAAGTAAATGACAGAAGTCATGGAGTTGGTTAATGAACTAGATATCAGCAATTATGTTGAAATGGAAAAAACCACATTATTCGCACGATTAGCCTGTGAACATAATACAAAATAGTACACAGACATCAGTGTAAAGCTGGCAGAGCCAGAACTCAGATCAGGTCTGCCTTGGATCTTGCATTGCTAAGATAGACGCAACTATGAATCCAAACTAATGTAAAGTCGATATCACTAAAATCATAGAAAATTCCTCCATTAACTAGGCTACTAGCCATTGAAAAGAGAGTCAAATTTTCTCAAGAATTCCAGAAGCTTCTTCGCAAGACTGAGCATGATTTATCCCCCCTTCTCCTCCCGTAAGCGCATTAAATAGACTAGGATATGAGGACAGGGATATTTCGAGGACAACATGGTGACTCGCAATATTAACTATCGAGTAAAATGTCTGGCAAGTGGAAGGAGCGTGGGAAATCAACTCGATTTAAATGTAGTCTAGATGGATTCTTAATGATATCTAACGCCCGTAATTGCAGGTGATTACATTTCATTAGACTTCTGTATGTACAGGTATTCAGAAAACTTTGGACTTGCCTACAAACATTTAAAGCCCCTGAAGAGTAAAACAGGAGTTTAAATAGGATGAAAGCTCTGAATAATTAATATAAGGAACTTCTACGTTTTGAACTTGACATCTATTTTCCAGTCTGCTCCCCTAAATTACAACAGATGCCAAAAAAAGACAATCTATCGACAGGCCCTTCAACATTTTTTTCGGTAAATTCCCTGTTGTGTGTCTTAGTCCATCCTTATCATTGGCCTCAAATTTCTAAGCAAAACATGGAAGCATATTAGAAACTCCATTTATAGACTCCATCAATGCAAATGTTTTCATCCCTTCAGACAAGAATCACAACAGCAAATGCATGTCCAGATCTTGGACGACTACATTCATTGGTGAATTTCTAGAGGGTTTTAAAACGGATCATTAATCTAAGGTTTCACTTTTGCCTTATCAACCCCCAGATTTGTGCTCATCCAATCAAAATTGGGACTGGATCAAAATAACACCGTATTCATATAACATCTTGTCATAAGGCCACAGAGAATCAAATAAACCGGGAAAAAAATAAACTTATACAAACTTTCCTCCACTATAATTATAGATCATGCCCATAGTACTAAAAAAGGAAAAAGGAAATAGGCATAATGTAATGCCGATTGGTGTTAGAAGAAGGTCAAGGTAGAAAAGAGAAGCTCTCTTCCCCTGGTAATTTAATGAGCAAAATGAAGACAACAAAGCCTCTTATTCGGATTTCATGCAATCACTTTCTGTATTTTTTTTATTTCTTAGAGTAGTCTCCCTTTGGTTGTAACGTTCATCATAACTGTTTAAGAATAGACTAGCCACATCTTACTGCTACCATGCTCAGAGTTCTTGAGATCGAGTGAAACGTTCTCCTTAAAATGATTATGTTCTCTTCTACATAGATGGCCTTATCGGCTCTCCTCAGGGTTTCCGAGGGAATGGAATAAATCAGAAGATAAGGCAATCCACATGCAACCGATCATACATTGCAAAAAAAAAAAAGGAATTCAAACTCTTATGCATCTAACTAGAGTAGAAGACTTGAAGTTCTTCCGGTGGGATTAATTTATAAAAAAAACCATAATATAAGCATGTGGATCAGATTAGGTGCAAAGTGACTTGAATTTATCAACATTACACAGTTTTATATTAAATAAGATATATATATTTAAAGCTAAATTCGTAAGGCTATTTTTAAAATTTAGCTCTTACTAAAATAAAACCGGATGTGGATGACATGGCTTTTGCTTAATTGGATCAGCTCATATTTAAAAGATCACAACAACATTAATGAATTCATTTATTAGTTATCAATTTAATCGTTAATCAAATAAAAGTTTACAAATCGAGTAGGATATCCATCAGGTCAAATCAGATATCAAAATTAAAATCCAACACAATAGATTTAATTTTTTGGATTACATATTTAGAGGATCGGATTTTACAGATCGATAGATTGGGTTACAGTAGAACCTAATTCTCCGGCACAGTAACCACATCAAAATCTCATCCCAAGTAATTGATATTTCTAACCTCTTCGTCTTATTTGGAATCTCCCTCTCTCCCTCTTCATCTAAAAATACTGAGCATTCCCTTTATATTTATACAATCAAATTCCTGTATAGTAACCTACAGTCGTTACTACAAAATTAAAATTCACAGACGCTCAAAATTACTGAGTAGAAAGCTACACACATCGAGTCAATGACCTTCCCTTAGAGTGACCAGGAAAAAGGAAAAACGAGACACGAAATAAAAGTAATATATATAGATAACAAGGTAAAGAATACCTGTGTATCTGTGTTTTATGTTCCCACTAATTTCTTGTTTTGCTTGAAGTCTCGACTGCATATTAGAACGCGAAATAATGAATATTCAGGGAACAATCTGATGCAAAAGAACTTAAAAAAAGTCATATTAAAACGAACTATTGCGGAAAATGACAGATTTTTTTCTCAAGCGTCCTTCAGTAACAAACATGCTGACCCAGACATTGGCCAGTGTCGAATTTCCTTCACTTCCTCTGGATCCTCGAGGAAAAAAATCAATTATATATCCAGTTAAAATGAGGAACTTCTATTCAAAATGAGGGAAAGATTCTGTTACATCAATTCACAACAGAGGTCTGGTATTTATATCAGACCCCTCGTGGAAGGTTCTGGACATGTGAACCTTACACGGAAGAAAAAAGACACTAAGACAGTCATGTGAGTCACTAAGTCAGTCACGTGACACACTAAGGCGGAGCATTTTAACAGCCAGAATGTATCAATCATTGTCCACGTGTCCCTGCTAGTCTCCCTGTGGCTTACTATCCACTTACTGATCATAGGCCGTGAAACTTTTATCTTCTGACAGATTTCACTTCTATCTAGTATTTACCTCCTGAAGTGATCTCATCATTTGATGATTCCAACAATAAAATAAATGTACACTTGACACACATTTAACATCACCCTTAAATTGTCAATTTAGTCATATTTTGTAACATAGAGGATCATAACTACCTTAACCACCAATAAAGGATAAGTCGACACAGTAGCTCCCAGTTTTGCCAAGGCTCCCAGTAAAAATACCTATCGATGCAAGGAAACAGTATGACGTCAAATGAATATCAGTCATCTGATTCAAGTGATATAAACTCCAACATGTGCTCTGTTTGTAAAAAAAAGGATACTGACTGTGGGCTTTGTAAAAAAATATAAAAGGATCCATATTGTAATATACCTCCAACATAGTGACATTCTCCAAACCACGTCTATTTGCAGAATGCTTTGCCTTCTTTAATGAGGTTTCATAAATCATAAATTGAATCGATGGATTGCAAACCTGCCATCAATTAGAAGCATGTCAAAAATTGATCCAATAAGATGTTGACTAAGTCTAATTCAGAATTAATGGGCACCATTATAAGCGTTGGAATAATTCCTTTCCAGAACCCTCTAATCCCTGCTTCACAATAAACCTCTTGAGCCTGTCCAAACATGAGAGAGAACAAAAAGGTGAAATGGAGATACCAAATATGGATGGAAAACGTAAAAGATTTCTGACAGTAAAAGATGGTCCTTGTAGAAACAGTCTGATGCTTCAATATAAACTTTCCTTTCTAAAAGCAAATATAATCCAAAGGTTTTCCATGCAAATGATATAATACGAGGTCTTTCATTGGAAATGTGTTTAGTGAGGCTTTGAAAATGGTATAAACAGAGACTATGGACTGAATATGTTGAAGCGATAGTGTCATCTATATTTCATCACTTCTGTTCAGCCAATGCAAATTGAACTTAGGCTTTGTTGCACTTATCTCCTTACACATAAGTCAATACAGGGATTCGTCTGCATGTCAAATTAACTTGACATGCTAATCTGATCTACATGCTTAAGCAGTTCTGCAGCAGATTGAATAGTATAATGCAGAACTGCAGTTTCTATAATGAATGTGTTTTTCTTGCTCTTTGGAAAATAGCTTCCTCCGAGGAATCATGTATTTCTGTATTACAACTGCATCATTTACTCCTCATCTGTAGCATATTCTCAAACTCCGGAGAATAGCTTCAACCTATTTCGATGGTTACATCAGCTTAGGTCGTCATTAAGAACGCAGTTTTCAACTTACTAATAGGTCTCAGAAGAATTTCAGGAGACAGTCCCAGTAAAAAAATTATCTTAAGCACAACATTTGTTCCACTTTCTAATGGTCTGACATCTGGCAGCTAGTTCGAAAATATGACTGATTGTATCAAGTTAGCTGACGACGGGATAAGACTTATGATACTAACTTTGATGCTGAATACGTAAATTCCACTTCAGAGATAGGGTTTCTTATTCTTGCAGTACGATGCTTTAATACAATGCTGCATTTTTTGATCCAGACATAAACAAGCATTAGTGAAACATCTACACGTTCCACATTGAAATATATTGAAACTTATTTTGCAATTATCTCTGTGTCACAATGAATCTAATTCAGTTGCCCTCTGTGTCCTCTTTCTAGGAGATACTAATCATAATATGAAATTTTCTTTACTTTCTCTCCTTGATAAAGGAGAGATATTCATCTTAATAAAAGATGTTTATGTTCTCTCTCTCGGATAGAATAATAGAAGGTTTAAGCTTAGATTTTTCTCTCATCCTATTAACTTGTCTTCTTTTAACCAATCTACATTCTCTTTTCTTCTGGTAATTGGCTAAGTGGCCGGAGTATATTTCCTCATCATCATCTTAGTCCTTTGATGGAATTGCTCCTAGGATCTATTACTCCAGGAGTATATTTCCCATGGAAGTACCCTCTACTTTCTTCCGCCATAGTTACGGAGTCATACCTCTTTGACAACAAAGATGTCTACGACATCTAGGCCTTCATCAGGCTTCTCTAGTCATTTTCGTGCGGCCCAAATTGCTTTTTGGCCTCTCATCTCTCAGAAGTGATTTTTATGAATCCCAACTGCCATCTTCCACCATGGGGGGTCATCTACAACAATTTCAGACAGATTGTCCGCTCCTATGCAGGTCATTATGTCGCTCCTTTGGTTCCCTCATCTCATGTGCTCAGAGCCTGCCTATTATATTCGCGGAAGACTCCATGAACACTTTCTAACTTTGTCTTCTTATAAAGTTTTCATATACGCTTGCCTACGTGCATGTTGTCATATAAACCTTTGTCTTCCCACAACACTACCTTGAATGAAATTATTGAATGCCTAGCTACTAGGCTCTTGTTAATTTCATATCCTGTAGTTGACACATGTCTCATCCTGTTATTGTCCCAATGCCTTCTTCTGTTGTCAAGAGTTCGTCCTTATCTATTTTGACTTCCACTACAAACCTATTAAAAAATTTATTCACTACTTTTTCATATCTTATCTATCAAGTCAAGCATAACTGGTATCAAGCCTATGGGGGAGCGTTAGGATTGTCAGTTGTTTATCACTAATGGGCCTAATCAGACAACTGTTCAATGAGTCTACCACGGTTTTTTTTCTCTTTCCTGAAAAACCCAACCGATTCTTCCCATCAGATTTCAGGTCTTTATTGTGCTCTATAATTTATTTTCACCTTCCCTGGTAGTATTTTATACTATTTGCCCTTGAGGAATATTTGGATTAGAGTGTTTAAGTTATTTCCTCATTTTTTGATGGACTTAAAAGTTCACTGCAGCTAGATCAGGATTTACAGTTTTCGCATTCTTGAATCAATTAATGCTCATTTGATGGCCTAGGTAGTTATGCAACATTGGTTTCATGAAAGGCAACATGAAGTGAAGAGTTTAGGTAAAGAAAATTGATATTTGAACGATATACAAATACAAAATGATAAGAAAGCAAGAAAGAGGAATCTTTCATAATAGAAAATAAAGGATCTCATAAAATATGGTGGGGATGAGATGCATTGGAGAGAACCAAGAACGCAGCAATGTTGGAAAACAGCTAAAACGCGTGGGTATCACAATTAAAATTAACTTAAACTAGTGCTTAGTCTGTAATTAACTTTTTATCTTTAAACGCTCTTCCCCCTCCCCCTTTCTCTCTCCCCAACTCTCTCTCTCCCCCCCCCCCCGCTCCCCCCTCTCCCCCTTCTCTCCTTCTCTCTCTCTCTCTCACACACACACACACACAAACACACACACACACACACACACACACACACACACACACACACACACACACACACCCCTTTCTCTATCCATCCTACCTATTTCCCCATCTATTAATATAAAAATGAATATATTCGAAAGTATAACTAATGGAAAGAGAAATAACGAAAACTGAAGAAATGGAAATGTGTACCGCATGAAATGTTCCATATGGTTTAGGTTTCATAGAGTCCAGCTCAGCCAAATTGTCTTCGAAAGTTCTTTGATCAGGTAAGATGGTTTCTGCTGCATCTCTTATAATGGCCTCTCTCTTCATTTCCATGATTTTCCTTTCTGCTTGGGTGTGGGTCTGAGGAAACAAAGTAAGGCATCACTGACACGCCAAAAATTCAAAGAAATGTCAAAGTAAATGCCGAAGTAGGAAAGAAGAATCTGTCCTTTTTCAGGGCTACTGACCAAAGACCTCAAGTTATGGACAGTTTTTGGTTTGGAAATCCAAAATTTAAGCAAATGGCATTATCAAGTTATAGGGTTTTTCTGCCAGTACTGATGACGAGAAAGACAATGATGACAGAAAAGTAAATGATAAGAAACCTCAAAATGACAGTCCAATGACAACGAAATCAATACACTTGAAATTCGACTGGTCATCGGGATAACTAGAAAATTCAGGTTTTAGCTCAGAAGACAGCCTAAAGTTAACAATGCTTACAAGAAGCACATTGCTCCATTATTTAGAAGGCGTTCTGGTTTCAACGCACCTGCATTCTTGTCACAAGTACCCATATTGGATTCGTCAGCAAAACATTTAAAGATCTGCACAGTAGAACACTGCAACGTGAATGAAATGTTCTATAATATGTGAATCTATAAACTTACAATGAAAAACTATTATCATCCTGTCACCAGCAGTGCATAGGCATGAGTAAAATAAAGAAACAGGGAAAATATTACGGAAATAAGTACTTCGGCTGTGTTGTGTTTACCCAGCAATGGCTGCAACAATGAGCCAGGATAACATTCCAACAGTCCCATCACCCCGCCCCTTTATCTTGCGGGCAGCAGCAATGGCCTCCGCCCTGTTCTTGAAGACCTGATAAAAGTAATAGTAGATCCCCTGCAACGATAGGGCGTATAGAAGTTAGTAGACGAAATGCGACAGATAACTCATACGAAAATAGAAGGAAATCATGACAACACCTGAGATGCGGCAGTGCCAACCAGAGAGGGCTTCAGACCGCTGTAGAGACCTCCCCAGCCTTCGGTCCGTATCACCTGGAGAACCTGGGCAAGACTCCCCGCCGTGGCTCTCGTCGGCCGACCACCTCCGGCATCAACATCAGCGTTTCCCCTCCCACCAGGATAATCGCCCATATTTTCCGTCTTCTTCCTCCTGGACATCCTCTCAGTCTGTTGTCGAGTGTTCACCTGTAGCGCGGGAGAGAGAGCATGGCTAACCAACCAATTGATGGATGATGAAGCTAATGAATAAGAGAGGAGGAACGCCTGCCGCCTCAAGGTATTCGAAGGTTACTCACCGTCTGCAGAGGATAGGTGACGATCTGGGCGATGATTCCTCCTCCAGCACCCGCCAGGCCATTCGCAACAGAGTTCGACGCCGACGACGTCATCGCCGCTGCCGCGAGTGTCCCTCCTCGCAGGCCTCCTCCTCTCCCACCAGAAGTGAGACAGTGACCGGAAGTACTTCACTCTGGAGCACCTCTTTCACGCGAAGTCCTCCCCCTCGTCGCCCTCCGTCGCCTTCCGTCGCCCTCACACCCCACTGCGAAGAAGAAAGACCTTCAGAAGATAACCGTCGACGACCGAGGGGACAAGGCAGGAGAGGCTGCCAAAGCGCCAGGAGGAGAAGCTCCGGTGAGAGAGAGGAGTAAACTTGTGGCGCCAAATGTAAACCGAACCCTCTCAGCCACATGGAGCTCGTATCATTACGATAATTACTTAAATACCCGGCGTCAGGATGAGAGAGAGACAGAGAGGCGCACGTGCTTGCGAAATTAATGGTAAAAAATATATTTACGTTGGTCCTCATCGAGCATCACCTCCACGTGACAACATTTGGCCTTCCGGCAGCGGAATTCAAACATCGAACCAGACCAAATTCGTCGAGTGGGGGGAGAAAAGAGAGAGTCCGCCAATTCCCGTAGTGTTGGGCAACCACCCCATCTCCGCCGGTCGCTCCCTACCTCACCGACGAACCATCTCTCCATCCTTCCGCCCCCCTTCCGGTCGCGTCCGACGTCCGGATTAAGAGCTGCCGGCATCTGGATGAGGCTCTGGCCGGAGAGAGGGAGATAGGTGCAGCCTGTTCGTGACTTGTCGTTGGTGGGGGAGGATCGTGGCCTGTGAATGGCGTCGGACAGGGAGAAGGAGAGGGAGGCGGAGCTGGAAGGTGCAATGTACACCAACTGCCTTCTTTTGGGGCTAGATCCGGCCATCCTCAGCGTGGGAGCAAGTGGCAATGTGCCCCGGGTGGGACACTTCCGCCATTCTAACCCCAGGTTGGGGGAGCAGCTTCTCTATTTCCTCCTTTCCGCACTCCGCGGTCCGGCACAGTCTGCTAAGGCAAGCGGGATACTCCCTACTTTTTGTGATCGATCGTGTATTCGTACCTTGGGGGACTTTGTGTCGACAATTTCACGGGTTTCTTCTCGTTCTCCGTCTTTCTCCTTCCTTCCGTACCACTGATATCTCATAAATTCTCAGGATTTTGACAAGGTGTGGCCAATCTTCGACTCCACGCAGTCGCGGGACTTCCGTAAAGTGAGTTCCAAGTGTCATTTCTTCGTAGCGAGACGATACTTTGGCTTTCTCTTTCCAAAATTTTCCATCTTCTCTTAGCTCTGACACAATACAATTTCTTCTCCGGGACCCTGCTGGCCCTCTCGCCCGAATAGATTGTTCAAGGGATCATTAGTGAACTGGAGTCACAGGGTGCTTTGCCGAGGAGCAACTCTAGGGTTTCATCCCTTGCGACATGCTGTGGGCTAAGGTGAATGCTTCAAAGATTAACTGTGTTTATGTTTGTCCTGTCTGATACCCAAAAATGAAAGAAGATTTGTAAGTTATGTTCTAGTTATTCAATAAATTTATTCTATGCGTCTCTCTGCCAAAAGTACTAGAATTGTACCCAAATGTTTAAAGGTATCATATATAGCACTGTTTTCTGTGCACAAGATTCTCTCAAAATGATCTGAGGCACAAGAGTAGCGAAAATTTCAAGGTATTTGGCATTGGATATTCTAGAACGTTGAGATTGTTTGCCTAAAACCCAAGACAGCATTTTTTTTGAAATATAAGAAAACAATTTTCACGTAGTCCTACTCTGGAGGCATAAGCTTAAAGGGAGAAACAGAAGCATTGGTGGAGGTTAAAACAGAAAACAGGAGATGGAATAAGGGGTGCATCTTCTCATCTGAAATGCTTAAATGATGGAAATATGAAAAATATGATAATGATGAGTTCCACTTATTCTCTGTATTCGTTTGTACTCTTGTTCCAAATATTCAGTCCTCAACAAAATACGATGTCAAAGTCTAAAGTAACTAAGATTGAGAAGCTAATTGAGAGAGTAATTGCCAATTCTGTCACATATTGGTGCCCATGCTGGTGCTGAATCTTTTTGTGGAAACTACTTGGTGCGAAATTCAAATTAGAAATAAAAGATCTTGGCTGTTGGACGGAATAGTATAAATTTGTCAAAAGCTGAATTCCTGGACATAAATTAAGGGTGCTCTCAATCTTAACAGATGGTGTTAGATTTTGCAATATAATTGTCATCAAAATGTACTGACGTACAGATCTAGTCTTAAGTTTCCCAATATTTTCAAGAAGAGATTATGGAATAATGTGTATTTTTGTTGAATGATAGGGGAGTGAAATACAAGGACTTTTATCCTATTAAACATTGTCATCTCTGCTGGAAGAAGTCTAAACTGGGGGGCTGGGACGCTGTATTAGCAGCTTTTGAAGTGATAAACGATAGCATATCCCCTATTTAGAGAGCTATCCAAGTAAAGAGGGATTCATTGAGAAAAATTGGTAATGCTTTGGAAACTCTATTTTGGTTTGGTAATTAGACTCTAGTGTTATTCTTTATGCGAAAAATCCAAAGTGACGCTCAATTACAGGGGATACATTGGCAGAGATGCACAAGAGTCAAAAATATGCTATCAGCACAAAGCAGTATTGAAGAAATGAGAGCGTTGATTATGCTACCTCCTGCAAACAGATAACTTGCTTTTACAGCGTGGAATCATCATAATGTCATGGCAAGTTATATTCAGGGATTGGAAGGCCACATAGTCTGAATCTTTATTAGCGGACAGTTGATAGAGGATATTGGAAGAAATTTATGATCCTGCTAAAAAAGTTATTTGAGCAATGATTTTGGCTGCAGTGCTTTGGGCCACATGGAGGGAAACGAATGAAAAGATCTCCAGATTAGATTTCAGGAATCAATTTACATCTTAAATACTTCTTTAGTCCTGATCAATTATTGGCAAAGAAGGCTCGTTATTGCAGCGATGTGAACTCAAGAATTCAAAAAGGGTCCTGATTGAAGCAACCTTTTTATTTTTCTTTCTTCCCAGAGCCTTCCTAGGAAAAGTATCATGTGCTGAGGATTAATCTTAGGGATGGAAATTGGTAGTGTTTGCACCTACCTCTCCTTTTCGCTGCCTGAATGTTAATGATTTCAGTGAGTAATGATTTACTGAATTGTTAATTGCATATCGTATTAAAACTTAAGATTTTGTTAAATAAAGCTTATATTTCAGAGCTGGTAGTATTTCTTCCTTACATTGTAGATTTTGAAGAGTATGATATTGATCTTTGGTCCTTCTATCTCGTGATTTCGCCTCTTTATCCCTGGAGGATTGATATCTCAGCCTTTATGCACATTTGCATCATTTTTTTTCTCTTGATTTTTTTCTCAGTCCATTTTCTTATGTTTCCTTTGTTAAAGCTGTCTAGTATGATTATTCTGTTTTTCTCTATATGAATTTACTCATTCACCAATGATTATTTTTATCTGCAGAGGAGCAATGGCTCTGTCTAATTTTACCTATGCTTTCAGAACTCTCATGTAGATTACTTCTGTCACCATGGGCTTTCTTCAATTAGTTCTTTGTCTGAATTGTAAAACTTTATCATGTCAGATTTGTTGAGCTATTATGGCAGCTCTCTGTCCATGCCTTACGTGAGGTCCACAAACGGATATTTTCAGCTGATGTAGCCTCTAATCCTCTACCTGCCTCCTTGACGGATGTGTCTTACTTACATGCAGCTTCATTACTTCCGATCACCAAGGTAATCTCAATGACGTTTTCTGCTTCTATGACATAATTCTTCACTTGCCCTCCCGATTTTCTTTATCACAGTCAAAATCGGATTGTGCGCGTTGAAACTGAAGTAAGAGGTTGATAGAAGGTTTTGACAATGATATTTGAATCATTAGCTTCATAATTTTGGCTCATTCTTTCTTGCTTCTGTGCCATTTTGAGAGGGTGGAGTATCCCATCATGTTTTATTCCATGTTCAAGGGTTATCTTCTCTTTGAAGGTGAGCATGACTTGGCTTTAAGTAGTTCAAGGCATTTCTTTTCGGAGAGACGGATGGCTGTGAAGAACTAGTTAGTGTGAAGACAATGTTGGATCATGCTCCTGGATATCTAGATGACACTTGATGTGTAGAAAGTCTGCAGGAAGAAAGGAAGGGTAGATTTGGTCCCCAGACAAGGTTCCATTGACTTAGCGGTTGTGAAGATCAGGGAACAGAAAGGACATTATGTGGATAAGGAATTGACAGAACATGTTTCTATCAATGGAGTACTGAAGCACCTTGCATATAAGGTCTCTCTGTATAATGAAGGAATATTTTCTTCAGTTAGATTTTAAAGTAACTCACCATTGCCTGGCCGAGCAATGGTAAAGATGTGTGGTTTTGTGAATATTTTGTAGTAGCCTCCTACTGATGAACCAATTTAATATGATATGACCTATCCTTATATGAAGGTTGCTATCAGGTTCTAATTGTCTATTTAGTTAAAGGTCTTTGTATGTGAAGTCGACAGTAAATTTTGCTGATCAAGATTTATATCTTAATTGAATATTTTTTATTATTATTTTAATGATATGGTAATAGTTTTAACTCATGTAAACGAATGGATTGTTGCCTTCATTGTCTCAATTATTTTGTTTGATACAAAGATGTTATTGCTTCTGATAAATCTGAATAGATCATGGGGTCCGTTTTGTCCACTTGTGAAGGGGCTAGGTCTAGGGTTGAGTAGATCCCAGGGATCCAAACGGGCTCCTCTTGCTCACCTCAGGATTAGACCCCAGGGCTATGCCTAACCAAGCCCCCAAAGGCTTGCTTGGACTGGTTAGGTGGCTTGGACCGGAGCCTCATGGCGATCCATGCCGTCCCATCCTGCTCACTTGGGAAAGAGCCAAGGCTAGACCTTCCAAAATGGTTGGAGGTGGCCCCATCTTGGTACCTCGTCCCCATCTATTACATTTCAAACTGGAACGGTAGATTGAATAGCTCTTGAAGAATCCTCTTGTAATTCGTCTGCTTAAACAATGCAATTAACTTTTTCCCTGACAGTTATTTCTCCACGTGGATTATTTACTTAACTTTCTTGTCATTTATCCAGATGAAGCATATTTTATGAAACCAATTGTTAATGTCTTTTATAATAGAGAAGATGCGTGGGTGATTTTTCAATTGTTGTAAAATACATGAGAGATTGATGAGGAATATGTTGCCATACTATTGGTAATAATACATCAACAAATGTTGCTACCGCAAAATTATTGATGGATCAGAAAAAACATGACATAAATCTCTTTGGGTAGCACTGTCTAGATTTGATGCTGGAAAATATAATCAAAATGAAAAAATACAAAAAAGATGCGAAAATCGACAACTAGGAGAGATTTCGCTTGATGGGGAATTCGCTCTTTTGTTTCTTACATTTAGTGCTTGCTTGCATATTAAGATAAGTTGACTCGAATCCTTGTCTCTATTGCTTGGAGCTTATCAATCGAACCATAACATGTTGAATTTTGAACATGCCTTTCTAATGAATTTTGTTATTCATGGTGAAATTTTTATATACGTCCACTCTGTTTTTCTTCTTTCTTGAGTATACTTTCGAACATTGGGCATGTCTTTTTCCCTCTTTTCTCATTTCAATTACTTCCCTCTTGATTTGACTAATGTATGCAACAACAAGACAGACCTCTTTGGTGTAATTTTCCCTTGCTAATTCCTCAATATTGAAAACAAACTTCAGTACAAATTGTATCATCGTAACTGCCATTTCATTTGTCCCCTTCTTCAAAGTTAACTCTGTTCTTCTCATTCTTATTCATCTAAATGTATTATTCCGCTAGAATTGCTGCATCTGACTTAAAACATTGGAAACATCAGGAAACCTCCAATTAGTTTGTCTTTTAATCCCTCCACTTGAGGCAAATCCATGTAGCTCATATTTACTTTATTTTTGTCATTTGGATCAGGCTAATTAATTCTATCCAACCTGGGGATGTGATATCTCATCGTTGCTTTTGTTATTAAAAAAATCTTGTCTTCAGAGGTATTGAAGAGATTTTTGTGGGAGAGTCCTTGTTACTTCTTTACTTTCCTTTTTGGTTCAGCCTATCTTGCCTTCAGAGGATTAACAGATAATTGTTAGCCGCACTTGGAGTTTTTGGTGCAATAAGATCGCATGATAATGTTTTACTGTGAAAAGGCATTTTTTGTTAAACTTTTCATTTGCTATCTTCCAGTTCTGGAGCTTCCACTTTAGGAAAATTTTCTGGGAATTTAATCATTTCACGATGGAATCATTTTTCCTTAACAGGCTAGGATAGCACTTGAGCGAAGGAAATTTCTTAAAAATGCTACTACTTCTGTTCAAAGACAAGCTACATGGTCTAACTTAGCGCATGAAATGACGGCTGAATTTCGTGCTCTTTGTGCTGAAGAGGTAGATGGTAATTTTATTGTCCTTTTTATCAGTGGCAAGTTCTTCACTCTTTATGCCTTTACTTTTTATAGATATCAGGTTTTGTTCTAATTCTTCAAATCTCGGAATGACTTTATATTAGTTGTTTACCTGCTGTGTAGGCTTATTTGCAACAAGAACTAGAAAAGCTTCAATATTTGAGAAACAAAGCTAACTTGGATGGTGAATCATGGGATGACTCTTCATTTGGTTCTCTTAGTCAAAACTCTCATCTTGTACAGAAGGCAACTCGTCTGTGGGATTCTTTATTAGGCCGAATGAGTAAGAAGTCACTTCAAGTGACAAATTTATTTATTTTATTTGTATTTCAGTCCAAGTTTTCTTAAACTGTTATGCTGATTTGTATCAGTTTCATGTACAGAATAAAAACATCTTCCTTCCTTGTTTCTCCTTTACTTTTATTTACCAAGGAATATTTTCATATTATCTTACTTTGGAATCATTTTAAACTTCATGCATCTTGCCTTATTTTTAAATGCAACCTGTTCAAAAAATTAGTTTTATCCCACATTTTCTGAGATATTCATCATATTCTTTTGACGATATTGAAATTTAATAAAAAAAATTCCATATTGTGTTGCCTTATGATTGAAATGTTAGAATGATCCCGAATGGTTAATATGAAATTGTACCTCGAGTGATAGCCCAATAACTGTGATGTGGCTCAAAGCTGATAATATCTTTTAGGCTACTAGTACTCCATTTATGTTTTGCACTTGATGAAGCCTAAATACTCTTCTTGTGTACGAGGAGACACGAGAATAATCCTTTAATAATTAATAGTTAAGCCTATGATTATAAAGATAGGCTTACTCTACCTATTGTCTTGAGTTGGATGGTCCGATAGCTGTAACATAAAACTCTAGTCCCTATGTTTGAACAAGATTTCTTGTTGTATATCAGCTTTATAGCCTAGGTAATTTACATGGTTCATCGAAAAAATTAGCAAAACTGAACATGAATATGAACTGTAGAGTGATCAATGCTTAGTGACTTGCACATAGCAGTCGCCTGTAGGTCTAAGTTATGACTAGCTTTTGTTTTGAAGCTGGCTCCTTCACAGAAAAAACCTATGGAATTGGCTGACAATGTCTCAACTTTATTCTTGGACTCAAAGTCAAGATCGAAATGGGAATTTGAATATGGGTGGAGGTCTGTTTGGCATATATTCCTAGACTTGGAGATTCAGGGATGACTTTAAACTGGAAACTACCAAGGACCCCCATTGCTAGTAGAAGTTGTCGCACGACCTAGTTACAGATGGTACTAAACTTTATTGGACTTGTATTTTCTGAAATTTTATTAAATTTATTTAAATTTATTTATTTAATCACCTTAAAAGTCTTCATTTCATCCTGATGATTGTGGAATCGCACCAAGTCCGACCTTTAAGGTATATGGACTGTCATGACGAAACAGTAGTTATTGGTTGCTCCTGCTTGATTTAGGCATCAAGCAGCCCTACAACTGGACTGCATATGGTGAAGAGTTAAAAGACATGTCGAAAACAGGTTGATAGGCCAAAAATTCACTCTGGTTTGTTGCATCCAATCTTAATAACTGATCCTTTAAATCTTAATTATGACATATGCTTAATTTCTCTATTGTTATTCTTTTCTCGTTTTTGCAACTTGTCGTATCTTGCCATTCAGTTATGAAATGTTTATGCAAGTCAACACAGTTTGTATGTTGGTGTTCTTTCTTCTCTCCAGCTCAACATGAAGTTCTTGCTTCAGGACCAATTGAGGACTTAATAGCTCATCGTGAGCACAGGTTTTGTTTTTGAGTTTTTTTTTCTGCTTTTATATAATTCCGATGTATCTTATCTCCTAGTTGTAATCTGTCATGGTCAACTTGATATTTGCAGGTATCGAATCTCTGGGTCATCTTTGCTTGCCGCAATGGACCCAAGTTCTGATGTCCCTTGTACAGATACAGTCTCAGTCCAATCAAGTGATATTCCTCTGCCATTCAATGAACAGAACCAAGACGTGTCAAGTGGTTCTCAAGGACAAAATGAAACTGTTTCTCGGGTCAGTGAAGGAAGCAGAAGGATGGAATCCACTGTTGATGTTGCAGAGGTTCTAAGGTGCTGGACTCATGCTTTGCAGCGGATACATAAGCAATCACTTCATCTGGTATGTTCATATTGTTTTCAAGGATGCACTAAGAAAATGATAAACTTAAGCATAGTTTTTTATCCTTTTTCTTTTTCTCAGAATGTTCCAACTTTTTTATGTGATTAGAAATGCATAATGTTAGCCGCAATTGAGTTCATTCATACCATGACCTGTAATATCAAATTGAGCTTTGCATTCTGGTGAAGGCCCATTTCATGTAAATAAACAAGTGATAGGGATTTCTCTGTAAACTGCAGCTCGTGAATTCTTGCTACTTCAGGCCCAAGCAAAACAAAGGGTTTGTTGTTAAATATCGTCCACACTAACCTTTTCTGTCAAGAAAAGGTTATTGCTAAATTCCACCAAATATACAAATGAGCTTAATCATACATGTCTTCCAATTATATCTTATGAATCTCCCGCACTAACCTTCTCCCCAAATGAAACGGGGATTTTAGTGAATAACAAAATAGCACACTTGGTCGGTCAAGTTGGTCAATTTTATGACTCCCTACTAGAGCCCACGTATGATATATGCCTTAAAATGAAGAGCCTTAAGCACGAAGAGAAAAATCAGGTCTTTCCTTTAAAAAAAGTTTAATGCATGTACCTAGGTTTGCTCGCTTGAAATGTGTGACAAAAACTAAATGTTTTTTTCGTTGGTTTGGTTGTTTTATTGACAGTAAATTTATGATTATCTATGGTGGCTCAACATATTGATTTGACATTGCTGACAATTAGGAACTAAACGTGCATGGGGTGTGCTTTCGGGTTTCGTATTTATGTCTATTATTTGAGCATTTTGGAGACGTCCACTGTCCATAGCTAAAATTTCCTTCCCGCTTCTATTAGGCGTTGCAACATTTGATGTGCGTTCTGAAATTGTAACTTTTTTATGTTACATTTCCTCGTCACATTTCTGACAGCAGTTTATTTTATTGATGGTGTACGGAATTTTTATTGATGACATGCATTTAGGTGAAGGTCAACGATGGATCTGGTCCTGAGCTTCTTCAGTGCTCTGATACTGATAGTAATGCACACACTGAGTCACTGACTGCCACTCTTGCTGAACATCGCCAACATTTAGTTAGCATGCAGGTAGTCGAAGCTCTTACCTTTCGTACACTTTTTTCTTGCTTGTTTGAGATGTCCGAAAAGTCTTTTTTTATTTTATTAAACCCATATGAGATCCCTAGGGATAACACCATGATAAAGTTTGGTCATGTGAATTGTGTGGTAAACATAAGAGAGATAGAAAATTAAAAGGTACCTTGGGGTTAAACCAGTTTGTGGGCTAGGATTCTTTGCCATCAGTAAAGGCATCATCAAGCAGTAAGGAGAGTGTTTGAGCATTGAATGGGATAGAATGTGTGAAACAAAAAAAATCCAACTATGGGGCATCTGTCTAATTTAGGAAATGTTGCTATTACTGAACAATATTTTTTTATTAACATGTGCATCACCAATGCTTTGTGCCCAGCGTTTTTTGTGATCGATATCAGAGATAGGGTGGAGGCCTTTTGTAGCATATGTGAGGAGTCTCTATTTCCTGTGTAGTGTCAAGTTTTTATCAAGGCGGAGACATCCAGGTGGCTGGATTTTCTCTAGTTCGTGGATAAACTGATCTGGAAGAAAAAATGCTAAAAGTGTACTTTAAACATGATATATTGTACTTTATGTACTGTCATTGAGGTTAAATCTTATACTGGAAGGCGCGCAATAGAATGAAATTTAGAGTATTCTATTAGTTTCTGCTTTCTTCTTAAATGATAAGAGAAGCACAATCTCCACTGATAAGAAAGTGCCCCTGGTGAGGTTTCTATGTTTCGTGGTTGAGAGCTTAGCCGAGTTCCTGATTCTTTAGAGACTGTAGAAAATGAAGAGTAGACGCTGTGTGTGTGTATGTGTACACAAGGGAGAAGGGGCCGCTCGAGATTCAACTTCATCAGTAGACCCTCTCAACGACTAAGATGTTAGGGTAAGGAAAAGATTCGCCTGCACCAGGTTATGATTTCCCGTAGTTAACTTCAAAAGTGGTGGGTTAGGTGGTGGAGGCCAGAGAAGATACAATTGAATAATGTTGGGGAGAGATTTAAAAAAGTTTGCGTGCACCAGCTTCATAATTCAGAGATAGGGTGCTTTCTACACTCTCCCTAACCTCTTTCTAAAGAGCAATAGGAAACTTCATGGCAGATTCTGAAGAGGATTCAGTTAGACTTGTCTCCTCCTGTAAAGTAGGCTCATGAGAAAGCTCATGCAAAGGGAAACTTGACTAAGCCGTCTCCTGGGGTTCTGTTTGGTAGTCAGCTTGTCTCTCTTTTTATTTCTATTGCTCTTGTAGTAAGTGAGAGGATATTGTTCAGTCCTTTCTTTCCGATCTCCATCCTTCTTCTCCCCAGTAGATTCACTAGTGGCTCAATATCAGGGTAACATCAGGAGTTACCTGAGGGTAGGGAGACAGTGGATGTTGCTGGTCTTGAGTAATCTAACCCTGAGGAGTATGACTGGAGTAAAAAGACTCGAAGTTAATGAAAGTGAAATCCGTTCAAGATATACTTCCTCCTATTTATTGGATCAAGACACTTGTACCCCTTTTGATGTAGAGGAATAACGAAGAAACATGGCATTCTGTTTATAAGGAATGATATTGTGAGAATGGCTTCTGTTCAAAATTTTAGTTTTAGGCAAGTTGGTGTAGTAAGGCACTAGCAGTCTTGAGAAGTATAAGCACAAGAGAACTCATGCATGATGCCTACATCTTCCTTGAAGATGTTATCATCCCTTGAAAGCTATTCCTATATGCTATGGGTTCTGGAAACCTGTACTTGGTTTCTTACCAGATTCGAAGCAGCTAACATCTGGATATATAACTGAGTAGTTTCAGTTTGTATCTTGAACATTGGTCAATAGTGTAGCTTTGTACCTGAGATTTGGTGGTTGGAATAATGTCATACCCTCTTTTTCTAATCTTGAAATCATGGATAGCAAGATTGTCGGATATGGGATGATGCTAACTTCTATAATTATCTATCGTTATTAGATTATTGTCGGAAACATTAAATATGTACACCGGGGGAAAGCGAAGCGAAGCTAGGTAGAGAAAAATCATTTTAGCAAAGATCTACGGTCAGTCTGAGATTTAATTTTGAGATCCTGCTTAAGGCAGGGAAGGGGAGAAATTGCATCATGGCTTTCCTGGCAACACAGCTGAAGTATTAATGAAAGATAATACTCGACTTGAGTTTGTTGATTTCCAGTTGAAATTAAGCCCATATGTGGCTCGCGTTTTAGATTCATCTTCTCGTGCCAGAAAACTCCTACTCTTGTACTTTATTTTTTGCATTATTTATATTTATTCCCGTAAACATATTTCTTAGTGCTATTTATTGAAAAGTTTTCTATCATTGTACGTCTAATTGCCTGAATACTTTCTAAACGTTTTTCTTTTCGCTGTAGGGTCTCATTAACCAGCTGAAGGAAGCAGTGCCAGGAATGCAACAATCAATAGTAGAGCTCACAGAAGAAGTTAATAACACATATCGCTTGTTTCCTATGACTGAGTACAATGCCAATTCAGTCCCACAAATTCAGACCCAAAGTAGTGGACGAGCACTAGTAAGACCTCCATGAAATCACTGAATCTTTCATTGCCTAACACTAAAATTTGTAATAGAATTCCAAATTATTGCGAGTAGTCGAACGATCATGCATCAATAAACGTACCATATATTGCACGACACCAGGGACAAAGCAAGGACGAGGCTTTTGAGCTGGCTTCAAAATTATCCGGCATTCAACTTGAGAAATCTACAGCTAGTCCTGCTCTGAGGCTACCCCAGCTATTTAGTGCCACTCCAAATTCATCTGGGAAAGGTGGAAACACATCAAAACGTCTTCCTGAAGATAAAAAAATCAAGCAGCCTTTCTCAAATGATCATGCAGACAATGAAGGTTTTTAACTTCCTTCTGTTATTCCAAGTGGCGTGGATTTTAGATATATCCCTTAGTTTCTCATAATTTTTTTGTTTCATAGTTGTTACAGATTCTTAAGCTAATTGTTTTCTTCCTTTAATAATTTAACCTTATCTATGAAACCTTGTCAAATCAAAATTGATTACTCATACCTTTCGCTTTTGTGGTATCTGAAGGTGATATTCATTACATCCAGAACCTAAAGCATTCTGTTCGTGAAGCTGCCCTGTCAATCCAATCGAGTAACCTTGTCTGTCCACAGGAGAAGGCAGATGATGATAATTCCGGGCATTTCTTTTTACCTTTGCCAGTGAGTGGAGATTCTCGGAGATGTGAAGATGCTTCGCCTAATATAGGCAGACACCAGCTGCTTTTCTCTCCACTAGAAAGATGTGATATGAAGAACAACGTCAACCATAAATTCCCTGATACAAAAAGCTTGTATGAGGCACCTGACTCAGCAAAACATTCCCTTGAAACTGATGATCGAGGAAATGTGATTAGTAAGCATTTCCAAACTGGTGATACAAACTGTACAACTCCGTCCACACATATTGCGTTTTATGGCATTCATGGAACTCTTGATCAAGCCCTTTCGCCTCCCCTAATGATGGACTCCTCATTCTTTCCAGATACATATGAGGACTTGCTTGGTGAGATCTTTTGTTAAAAAACCCATTTGTTTTGTTATTTATGGCTTCTCTATTATACTGTGGTATTAAGTTTCGTCAACATTTGATTGCTGTATTATAATACAATCATGACAATTGAAACCTTGTTTAATTTTATGAGAATGGCAGAATATGATGATCATATTTGATAACTTGTTCGCTAGTCTAACAGAAACTGAGTTGACAGGCTCACAAGTCAGACTGATGCATCAGTTGTGTACATATCAATTATTTGTCCTTGTGAAGTCTCCTCGCTATACTCTACTTCCCGACTGTCTACCTCTGCTGTCTGTGAGTAATCCTCCTCTAATCAGCTCATGCTCTTTCTGCAGCACCTCTCTCTGAAACTGAAGCGGCATTGATGGAGAGATAGGCATCCATGAGGATCAACTTGCCTCAGGTCCTCAAGTTGCCCATCACTTGTGCCCAAGTTAATTCTGGGCTGTCGCTACCAACTTGGCTACTGATTTAGTGAGTCTCTGAATCAGTCAGTAACTAACACCTGCGGATTCAGTTTCTCTCTCCTCACACGGAAGCCCGAAGTGTACTGAATTCCCCGCCCCCTCTACAGACGGTTGGTGTACCCCACCTCTCTTGTTGTCAGAACAGAATTCTATTGTGGAGCTGCTACTTGAAATCAGAGTGTGGCTCATCCCGGTCCGGTCCCCCGAGAGATCAGATGGCGCGTGCAATGCCTGCGACGGAAATTGATGAGGCAACCAGGTTATTATGATCCCTTGTACCATTGGCCCGGAATCGTCGACAGAAACAATGGCATGCTTTCTGGATGAGAACCCACTGACATGAACGGGCATTGATCGATCATCGATGACTCTCTCCATGGACGGTTGTTCACTGCTTTCCAAGAATGCCGCACAAGTATGAGCCCGTTTTAGCATCTTTTTGAGGTTGAAATAAGCCTTCTCATTTATCTTGGTAGTAGAATTCATACGATCGATGACGTGGGTTCAACATGAATAGCATGAGTTCATCCGAAACTACTTGGATCCGCAGTTAGCTCTACAGGATTTACTTGCAAAAGTCGGATTGGGTTCAAGCATAGAGTGATGTCTTGGCCCTAACTCACCCAACTCCCTCACTGGAGCTTTGTGTGAGCATCTAATCCTTGAGCGTCCCCAGGTGTTCTGTGTTTGATACTCATTTAAATGGATTACTAAGTAACCTGATCCTTCAGATCACAATTCCAAGAGTCCGTCCGGATCCCCATTCTTTATTACGCCCTATTTTTTTTCTTTCTTTCTCGTGGTTTATTAATGGGTGGCCGCCAGTTTGGGAAAATTAGGAAGTTTGAGACAGAGGGAGAGCCGTCTTGATGTGGTGGGTGGTTCTTGGAGAATAATGCCTCTTAAAGGGCGGCGTCTGTGGGCGGTATTCGAGGGCTCCGCCTGCAGATTTTTACATTCTCTTTCTCGCTCCTACTATCAGGCAGTCCCTTATGACCCCGAGGAAGACTCTTCATCCTCCACGAAGAAGCAAAGGAAGCCTCTTCCTCACTCCATTCCTTCCCGGTCCCATCAAGTCTACCCTTCCTCGTTGCACAGGTAGGGGAGGAGTGAGGCTTAAGAAAGAGGAGCAGAGCGAGAGCGAGAGAGAGAGAGACGGTGGGACATGGCTCTCGGAGGGTCGTCCGTCTTTCTCAGAGTCTCTTGGGGCGAGGGAGAAAATGCAGGCGCCTCCTCATCAGGTTCATATCGCTAACATCGTCGCCGCCGCAACCAAGAAATGACGGCAACCTTCCTCCTCCGTCTAGGTTTAGATCTCCAAAAGTAGAGCGTTGACCGATCCAGTGTAGAAACAAGTAGAGCTTTTCGGCGATACCTGGCGTCTTGCCTTAACCTTTGACTTAGCTCACATACTAAACGAGCTTCTCAAATTTCTGTCTTCTCCGAATTATATATGTTAACCGTTTTCTGCTTCTGTCCATGCATAAATGTGGCTGCACTTAATCAAAAGATGAAAAGACAACTAATGGGATGATTGCTCCTCCAATATCCAGGATTCGGCTGCTCCACCGAGGGGCGGCGCTCCACCGCCAGTGGGCGGCGACCTCTCCGGCGGACGGTCGCCGTCGACTTCCGGGTGATGATCGCCGCCGATCTGGGTTAACCCATCTCCGATGCATTGCTCCCTCGAGGATAAGAATTTCATCCCTTGATCTTCGTGAAAGTCCTTCCGGCAGGTTTCGCCCGGTATAAACTACGCGGGGGTCACGAAGAGGTCCTGCCATGGGGCTGCTCCCTGCTCCGACCCTCCTGTATGCTGTGAACACTAACTCATTTCGGGAAATACGGTGAAGGAGGTCGACGACGACGAGGGACCTCCCCGCCGCCAGCGACTTTCTGCCCTTGGATGCTGAGGCCCTAGCCTCAACGAGGTATCCACGTGGACCAAGAACCCGGATCCGATCGCAGAAGGTAATCGGGTATACGGAGCCTGTGAAACAACCGAACGGTCGGTGACGGCCGAGGACGACAACCGTTAAGATCCGCTTAACGATTAGCAGGGGCTGGTCGGGCCGTTAAGTGACCACGAAGATTCGGACAGAATGACCCGGCAGAGACTCTTGCGAGAGTTCTGTGTTCTACCTTCCTGTATTCCCCTTTCCCTCCTCCCGCTCTTCGGAGTCGAGGATCCTCTGGAGTGATTCTAGTGGCATGGTGATAGCACTGAGTTGCTGGTTCGTCGTTATTTGTTCCTGCTTGACGTCTTCCAGTTGGCGCTTGAACTCAGCCTGTTTGTTTCAGAGGGCGTCTCTGTTAGCCTTGGCAGCCATGAACTGTTGTTGTTGCTCTAGGCAAGATTCCTTGAATTCTTTCTCCATGAATTCGAGCCGGTTGTCCTGAGACTTGGGCGGCATGGTGGAGGACCAACTGTGCTCTGGTATCAGTTGATAGGTGCCCCAGATGAGACGGCCGACACTCGAACCCCAGGTGGGCTTTGGCTGGCCGGAAACGGAGAGACAGAAGCTAGAATTACTGAAGTAAGAGTATGGGCTACGGAGAGGATCCTCGACTCCGAAGAGCGGGAGTAGCTTAAGAGGGAAAGGGGAATACAAGAAGGTAGAACACAAAGAAGAGAAGGAACAGGGAAGAAAAAAGGAAGAAGAACCCCGGAGACCCGCCATCTCGAAGAGGCGACCCAGCAGAGACTCTTGAGAGAGTTCTTTGTGTTCTACCTTCTTGTATTCCCCCTTCCCTCCTAAGCTACTCCCACTCTCTTCGGAGTCGAGGATCTTCTCTCTATAGCCCATACTCTTACTTCGGTAATTCCAGCTTCTGTCTCTGTTCCCGGCTAGCCAAAGCCCACCTGGGGTTCGAGTGTAGGCCGTCTCATCTGGGGCGCCTATCAGGCCACAGGGTAGCTTCGTCTCTCTCACTAGACTACTGGTTCTCTCTTTCTTTTAATAGACAGCAAAAGTACACTGCTGGTTCTCACTAGACTGTTGTGTGTGGAGGGTGCGGTTTCGCTGTAAAAGCAGCGGTCGCAAGTTTTTCCTCCTCTGGCCTGACCAGACTCGGTGCCCGGCGGCGGCGAGGGCCCACTGATGGGCCCTTTGCGTCGACTGTAGACCACCCGGAAGAAGATGCAGATTCTACACTGGCTGAGGGCTTGCCGGCATCCCTCGAGCCGACCTTCGTTCCGATGCCGCCGGAGTAATTTGTCCGTGCCATCCTCCGCAAGAACAGGGTGATGCGCCCCCGCCATCTCCTCTGCTGGTGTTGTCTGTGTTAGATCTGAATGATCTTGTGTTGATGTAGGTGGAGAATGATAAAACATAATGAGAATGAATTGAAACCATACCTGAATCCATGAAGGCGCAAATACGAGGATGGCCTTTTGGATCAGCACAGGAGAGTTGTCCAATGACTTGCTCTAGAGAGATGGAATGCTCTAAGAGTGACTCACGTATGTGTGACCTAAGGACCATGACCTCCTATTTATAGATAAGAGGTGGTTAACCTCTTAGTGTCTTTTTTTAATTTAGCCTATCATAAAATTAGAATAAGACCTGATCTCTATACATTTTTATATTTATACTTATACTTACGAGAGATGTCATAATCTTAAATGCTTAAACTCCAACGAATCACTTTAAGTATGATTAATCAATGATAACCCCATAATATATAATTCATATATATCATTGTCCACATTGAGATTAATTCTAACAGTCTGATGATGATCTTTTGAATATCTCTCTCTCTCTCTCTCTCTCTCGTAAAGGCATCGGATGAGAGCGGACCTGGTAGGACAATCTGTTCAGAGGCGGAAGGAGGGACGTTGTCTTCGAATGCGGAGGAGGAGATGTATGGGATGATGGGTCTGCAGGTCGGAGAACCCCGACGAGAGGGCCCTGGCAGTCGAGGTAGACCTGGTGGTGCTGGCGTCCAACATGAGCTCCACGGGGGCTGTCTGCCAGACCTTCAGCTCGCCGTGGTCTGACGGCCCCGCCGAGGCCGAGCACGGCGCGCCGTCCTGCCATTACACCACGGCGCCGCCGCAGCTCAACGTGCGTGAGCTACTCCTCTTCCTTCCCCTCCTCCTCTGCCGACTTTGCGCTCTGACTGGGTTCCCCCATTCTTCTTCTTCTTTGTCTTGGCGATGGCGGGCGGCGGTGCGGTGCAGCCGTTCTTCACTTCTACAGGTAAACTGGAAGAGAGAGAGAGTGAGAGAGACGGGTGTCGAATTTCCAGGGAAAGTGACCCCCCTTTCTTCCTGATCGGTGCTCGAGAGGGTGGTTCCACCACGAGGGAAGCAGCTCTGGTTCAGGAGGGTTCGAGATGCGCATCCAGATTGGGGAGGCCCAGCCGGCCTCCGCCATTGCTTCGGCCCCTCCTGGCACATTCTCATTGTCCCCACCTCTCCGGCCCCATTGATCGTCTTCCCCATTCATTCTCTCTCTAGAAGCTCATGCTGCTGCTGCTTCTGCTGCCGCAGGAAGATCCTGAGGGCGAGAAGTCGGAGCCTGCTCCACTGGATAGCCCCCGCATTTGACGATCCACTGGAGAGAGAAAGAGAGAGATAGAGACTCGAAGATGACGTCAAATTAGACCATCCCAGCTCCTCTCTCTACACACAACATGGCGTCACCCAGATGACCGACCTGCCTACTACCTACGTAACGGGAGGGAGAGAGAGAGAGAGGTAGGGGTTTGGTGCAATGACTTTCAAAGCCACCAAAAAACTGAGTGTGAGAGGGAGAGAGAGCAGACTGACTGGCGAGTACCACAGAGATACGCCGAGGAACAAGGCCGCTGCTACTTTCGCCGGGACGCAGCAGCGCCGCCGAGGGTTTCCCTCGCGCTGCTCGATCTCCTGTAGTCCACCTCTGCGTCGGAGACCGACGTCACCATGCGGAAGCTCCTGCTCGCCCTCTTTCCCCACGCCGCAGAGCCCGACTCGTCGTCGGTCGCCGCGCGGGCGAGGCCCTCCGCCGGAGCCTCGCCGGAGTGGTGGCGCCCTTGCTGCGGCAGCCCTGAGCCACAAAAAACGAGGTGACGACGACGATGAAGCCGGCTCCCGCCCAAAAGGGGAAGAACCTCAAGGCCATGGATGGAGTGAGGAGCAGTTTACCTGTCCGCTTGGGATCGCAGGGTGCCCTGAGATCGGAGGATTGGGGATCCGGCCGATCTGACGATCTCACCGCGTCCGGCGACCTTCCGGCAGTGATCTTCGCCGGCTCCGGAGCCATGGAGAAGGAGTCGTCGGCGGCGACGTCGGAGATCTCTACGTAGTTCTGCGTGATGATGAGCTCGTCAGCGCTGAAGCCGAACGACGCTCTGTAGGCTTCAATCTCCTCCTCCTGCTTGCAGGCCTTGCTGTGCCTGTGTCCTCCTCCGCTGCCGCCGCCGCTGCTGTAGACGTCGGCCTCCCTGGAGACGCTGAGCCTTGCCGCAGAGTGAGGTTGATAAGAGGGATGCTGGGCCTGGTCGAGGTAGAATTGGGCGGAGGAGGCCGCGCAGAAGAGGCCGGAGTCCGGCGACATCATGAAGTTGCGGTGGCCGAAGAGCCTCGACGACTGGCACCCGTAGAAGGGGGAGGCGCCGCTGGAGGACGACGACTGGGTCGGCACCTCGCGCTCCGGGAAGGGCGAGGACAGGCCGGTGCGCGGGGTGGCCGACGCCGGCGAGATCAGGCTGCTAGAGGGGCTCCCCGGGTAGAGAGGATACGTCGCCTGGAGGTCGCTGCCGGCAGCGCCCTTGCCGGCGGCGGCGAGGGAGGAGGAGAGGAACCTGGCGTAGGGCACGTCCGGGGAGGAGGGGGTGGTGAGATGGGCGAGCTCCGGCGGCGGGGTCAGAGGGGCGGTGGATGGCTCGGTGGTGAAGGTGGAAAAGACAGGGGGGGACACGAGCTGGGTCTCGTGGGCGTAGGGGCCGGTGGCGAACATGGTGGCGGAGGGGCCGCCGCCGGGAGAGCTGCCGGAGATGGACAGGAAGCAGCTGGGCGACTGAGCGGTGGAAGGGACGGCGGAGTGGGTGAACGAGGCCGGAGACGAGGGTGGGGCGAGGAGAGAAGGGGCGATCGCCGCCGTCTGGATGGACGGGGCGGGTGCTTGGGGTCCATTTCCGCGGTTCCGGGGCCCGTTCCCCTCCACGACGCGAGTCGATGATGGAACCACGCGCTTGGCTCTTCCCTGCGATCCGAAGCAAGACAAACCGCCAAAGCAGCCTCCCCATCGGCGACGCTGCCAAAAGTCAACGGAGATGCGGAGTCAAAGGTGATGATAAATAATATCTAGAAAAGATTACGACGAAATGTGCTTGTTTGGATGAGCCGCATGCCGCCAGAAAGTCAAAACGCATGTCGAGCATGGTAAAATGAAGCAAGTATATATATATACCCCTGAAGATCAATGCGGAGACGGAAGAAGGCCAGTCTCGTGGAAAATTGTAGTTCCCTGTGGGAGTAGATATTTGTAGTAGTTCATCCAAGAAGGTTTTTTTTTAAAGTATTTTTAAAAAAAATCCATATTCTTCGGCCGGTCTTTCCACTATTGGAGGTGCGGACATCTGAGAAACAATGGCTGTGATGGGAAAAATAGGAACTGGGTGAGGGAGTATTAATCCTCCACTCCCCCATGAATCAGTATGTATGCATACCCATGAATCCAGCGTCATCAAAATTCGGCCCCTTCTTCCTAGATCACACTTTCAACCCAAATCAGGATGACTCAAAGGTCATACATAAGCACTCAGTTGCAATGCCAGCTTCAGTTCTAAAACCAAGAAGCATTTCAGAGTAGTCTTCCACACCTTCAATCAAATAACGCGCCTGTTCTGCGCTCTGTGCGGACACACCTGATTGATGTGATATACATCATTTTTATCACTGTTTTCGACAGTAAATACGCAACAGATCAGGCAAAAGGACTAAGCTCATTTGTTCATCCCAGTTCAACCACTACGCCCTTTACCGTTAGTAGCAAACTGTTAAAGTTCACCATTAGGAGGGGAGCCAGGCAGCAAGGTATCTCGGGCCTGCCAATGGCACTGGCTTATTATAACTATAATAATCCTAACGACAGGTATCCACCATGTCTGCTTATTGATGTGTGCATATCATGAACAGATTTTTGTGGAACCCTGTGAAAACCCGGTGAGGAATGTCATCAACCAAACAGTTGTCAGCATCTCATAGCTAAAGCACAAGGATCATAACACCTCGAATTAGATTCGTTGATTCTTCCACATATATCTGTTCGTCCTATCCAACAGCTCAGAAAATTGCCCTACTTCAGTGGATGCAAGCAAGAATGAGATGCTAGATATTGAGCAATGTCCCACATTTTGCTACAGGCAATACCAATGATTCCTCTTAATAAAAACTACGCCAGAAACAACGAATCATATTTTCCGGATCCCAAACAAAGCAACACAAGGAAATAAAATGCAGAACCAGAGAAGAATTCCTTCAACTGTTCATTCATTTCTCAGATGGGGAAAATAGCTTGTAGATAAAATCCCGGGTACGTGTTTAAAACAACGTGACCATTTGAATCTCCCCACCAGCATAATAATTATGCTTTCAAGGATGAGAGAAGATAGGACAACTCCCTCACGACCGTATCAACCTTCACATGGCAGAGACGTCACATCAAAGAAACTTGAGATTATGAAAACAACACAGACCAAGTAGCATTTCTCATGTGAACTTTCGCATTATGGGAAAGAAAAAATATGGAAGTCAGGCGGACGGACAGAAGAACGCGAAATCAGTTTTAACGAGAGCCAAAGAAAACTAGAGCGGCCGACACCAAGTCTACGCTGGGTCAGCAAGCATCAACTCCAAGGGATCCTCCAGTCAGACCAGGATCTACCCGTGAGCAGAAGAAGGCACAGTCGGAGAGTCTCGGGAGATGCCAAAACTTCTCCTGACGTTTGTGGACCGGATCAGATCAAAACGGGATGAGGCAGGAAATATCTGCTGCGCTTAATTTCAAACAAATAGAACTCGGGCACGACATTAAAAAGGGCGAGACACAATAACGACAGACAAAGAACAGAAACTTTATCTCCGGGTAGAGAAGAAAAGCAATGGATCCTTTGAACAGAAGAGCACGCAGTGTCCGTAATTGAAAGCATTATGGAGTAATATGAATGGAGAGAGCGCAATGATTAGAGCCGGGTAGCAGAATGAGGAGATGCGGGTACCCGTTCTGGAAGGGGGAACCTCGACTCGACTGAACCCATGGCCGCCGCCGCCGCGCTAATCGACGCCCCGGTACCAGCCCCACCCCGGCCGCTTCCAGAACCGTCTCCCCCGGGCCCATTCCCGGCCATGATCTCGGAAACCTGCGCGCCGTCTCACATCCTTCGCCGTCCTCGCGGAGCTGAAAATCAGATCTCCGTTGCCAAGGACCGACCAGGGTAGTAACCAGAAGCAACAGATTGGGAAAGGCGCGCGCGGCCGTACTCCCCCCTCTCCCTCCTCGCTGGAACAGATCAAGACAGCTCGTCGGGCCTTCCCGACGGGCGGCACTGAGCCGGAGAAGATCGTACGGATCTAGGGGCGCAGCCGCACGCCAGTAAAACTCCCGCTCCTCTAGCCGTCTGAAGAGAGCATCCTCTTCTCCTCCGCGGCTCCTCCTCTTCTGATCTCGCGCCGCCCCCACTGCTACTGTTGCTGCCCGCTGGGGGATGGGGCGTCCAGCTTTGTCACTTCCTCGGAGCTCCCCTGTCCCTCGTGCGCGCTGCTTCCAGCTCACGGTGGGGCGTCCTCCCCTCCCCTCTCTCTCTCTCCACTACCGCAATAAATAGAGAGAGAAAGAGGGATAGAGATAGAGGAGGGGGGGTGGTACTCGGGGATGAGATCTTCTATTCTGTGCTTTTTAAGTGGACTCTGAGCGGGTGCCCTCACGTTGCCCTTTTCTATTTTCTCTCTCTAGACCCAGCGGCCCTCTTCTCTCTCTCCTCCTTTAAACCTTCCGACAGGAGGTCCCGTCAACGAGCGGGACATTATATGTCTCAGCGGCATCTGAGATTTGACTGTTCATGGGCCCCCCCTGTTTCTCTCTCTCTCTCTCTCTCATAAAATCGCGCCCTTTAAAGTTTTATGAGACGAGTGCCCTAGAAACAACCCCATTCGTCTGGGCATGATACTTTCCACAAAGGGGAGGGAGGGAGGTGGGCTCCTAAGGGGGGGGGGGCTCTTATTCAGCCATCTTCACATGCTCGGTCTAGCTGCCTCGTGAAAATGGTTAGAGAAATTAGAGATTATTCTGCGCGTTCAACAAACTGCTATTTTTTGTGTTATAATGATGAAAAAAATATTAAATAATTAACAAATGAGGGAGATTCTCGATAACATGTATACTTGATTGGTAGTTTAAAGGTCACTTCTAAGAAATAAGGGATTTTAATTTTATTATTTATTTATTTTTATAAATTCTCACTTGTTAAAACGTCGTCAAATGATAAATTTTGTGTTTATTATTATCTGTTTTTATTAATTTCCGTCGACCATCGTCAGTGTGTTATCTTAATCGACTCTTTTGGTGTAGCATATATTTCTATTAAGAGGTAAATAATTATTTTTACTAATATTTTGATTTTTAATGTATTATTTATCATCGTGATATGACACTTCCATATTGTTTAGAAATAACAGAAACCGAAAATACTTCAAATAACAAACTGTGTGAACGGGTGGAATTATGTGGGAAAGACGGCAGCCCCACTGAGATCCGATGCATGCGAATCGGAGGGTCAGGATTTTCGCTCGAATCCGGAGAACATTTCGTTTTTTCCCGCCCTCATCGGACGACCTGTTCGTTTTAGGCAAAATGTCCGTTTTTGCTTTGTTGTTCAAACTCCTGCTCCCTGTTCCTCCCTACAGGTAGAGAGCGCGGGTGCGGCGGCAGTGGTGGGAGCGACGGCAGCAGCAGCAGAGACAGCAGCTAGAAGAAGAGAAGTGTGCTCCTGCTCACTCTCTCTGCTAGTTGCCGTCCAAGCCAGCGTTTGTTTTGTCCTCTGATGGAATCGTTCCCCTCGGCGGAGTCCGATCTCGACCATGGCGACTGTGGGAGCTTGTCGCCGGAGAGCGGGGCAAGCAGGAGGCCGCGACTATTCATCAGGGAAATGGTGATGCGAAACTTCAAGTCGTATGCCGGCGAGCAGCGGGTTGGTCCATTCCACAAGGTAAGATCTGATCTATTATCGCTGATCGTGGCTAGCGGGAGTCTGTACGTGGCCTCTTAAATGGGAGTGGCGTCGGTAATTGACCGTCATTTTTACTGCATCTGCCATCAACGAGGGCCTATAAGTGCCCATATAGACAGCAAAACATGTTCCTTTACACTGATTTTTGATGAAAGAACGGAAGGACAACGGAGGGAGAAATCCCTGGTTTGCGTCCATCGCCAGTTACTGCCCTATTAATATTCTCGCACTATTGCTGACCTCTGTTTATGTTTCAGAGTTTCACAGCAGTGGTTGGACCAAATGGGAGTGGGAAGAGCAACGTTATTGACGCTATGCTGTTTGTCTTTGGAAAGAGGGCGAAACAGGTTGTTTCTCTTTCCTTCCCTCCCTTCCCCTCCGGCCTTTGTCTTCTCCTCTGTGCCTTTCTTTGCATTTGGTTCCTAGGGCTGTTTTGCTGAAGTGAAATACCGTTGGCTTATACCCCTACTTGCTTTTTGTCCTGTGACACCTTGAAGATGCGGTTGAACAAGGTATCAGAGCTAATTCACAATTCGACCAATCACCAGAACCTGGCAAGTGCTGGCGTGTCCGTTCACTTCCAGGAGATTATTGATCTAGTGAGTAACTGTCACTCATCGTTGAGATAGGAGAGAGTTGGAAAACCTATCTTTTCATGTCGTTCACCTGACTCATGGTTGATATGTTTGAAATTTAGGATGATGGAACATACAAAGCTATCCCTGGCAGTGATTTTGTCATCACTAGAGTTGCATTCCGAGACAATTCATCCAAATACTATATAAATGATCGTGCAAGCAATTTCACAGAGGTCACCAAGAAATTGAAGGGGAAAGGAGTGGACTTGGATAACAACCGCTTTTTAATTCTTCAGGTTCTCAAAATTTTCCATGCCATTTGACAAGACAATGAAATGTATTCTCCCCCGGCCCCTGCGTCCTGCCTTCTGCACTGTACTATTTAACATGTTTTTCTTTCCAAGGGTGAAGTTGAGCAGATCTCCCTCATGAAACCTAAGGCCCAAGGGCCTCATGATGAAGGGTTTTTAGAATACCTTGAGGATATTATTGGAACTAGTCAATATGTTGGGAAGATTGAAAAATCGTATCAACAGTGAGTTCATTTCATTTTCTCCCATTTTTAAAAGTTTTAGTTACTCTCTGAAACCTCATGCTGAATTAATACAACGTTTCTTGCTTCTTCTGATGTTTTTTAATTGTAAATGTATTATTAAATATATACACACCCAAATTTGCTAATTTTCCAGACGCTTTTTCTATATTGATAACAACTGATGTCACAGTTCTTGACACTGCGTCGTATTTGATGTTTGAAATCTCATATTGCATTTCTCGTGCATATCTTGGTGTTCCAGTAGTAGGGAACTTGTTTTTATTTCTTCTGTATATTCTCTAGGGTATGTTAATTCCAAGAAATAGAGTTCTTAGTCATCTATTGTGCACTGGGAAACTGCACGTCCTGATAGATTGGTTTTATAAAACATGTACGAACCTCAATGTGGTGTCATCAAAGTCTTAATCTATGCAGTTGAAGCTTTGATTTTATTGACTGGGTACTTAAGAGAGTGATGAAGGGATGCCCTGCTATTTAGTTTTTGGTCCTTGGTTTTTTTTATTACTTTTGAGTGAAACCTAGGATATTCCACCGATGAAACTATGTGTTTTGAATAACTGAGGTAGGGAGTTTCTGAATTTTAGTTCGTGTGCTTGGTTTTCTCTCATTTGGGTGAAAATCAGAAAGAAATTACATCGACAGAATTAGAAAAATACTATGCATTGATACTTTTTGTTGAGGAAGGATGATACTCTTTGCCTGTATCGATAGTCACAACCTTTATTGTTTGTAAGACTCATGGGCAAATGGTCCCTAGTCTTTTTATTCTTTATAGGTTTAATGTATCTAGTTGTTGTAGCTGACTCTATTCCAGTCCCTCTATTTCAAGGGGATGGAGAAAAATACCAATAGTTGAATGCCATTTGATCTTTTCAACACCTACCGACCCTCAAATTATCCAATATTTTGAAATTCATGGCACAGTTATTTATGATATGACAATCTAATATCCTTAGGTAAAATGGAATCTTCCTCAAGTCTCACTCATGTACAGCTCATGGCAGCGTGATGAATCTTTTTGGTAGCACAAATGCTTCAATAGATGAGGAAATCACACATGCCACATGAAAATTATGAACTCATGTATGCTTAATGATCACATGAAATAAATATCTATTCAAGAAAAATATTTGGAGCTAAAATTCACTATCCTAGGGAAAATGCTTAATATTGTTACAAGGTCGGAACCCTTTTGCTGGGTTTTGAAAGTATTTCAGTTCCAAATATTTTGAGAATGGCCTAATTTTTACGCAGTAGGTCATAAAAAATGCTACATGGGGAAACCATGCATTATGCAAGAAGAATTGTGGCTTGTGTGACAATTAACTAGCTTGGGAGGGTACTCAAACCTTTGCCAAACTTAGGTGAGACCTGGACAGGTGAGAGCTGTGATATCGGATCATTATTCTGTGAAATTTGATGCTCCATGATTAATCAGCAATGCACATACCTATTACGCTCATGGAACTAAACCTGTATAATTAACTAGATGAGTTGCCATAGTATCACATTTTACGTTGCTGCTAGACTCATGCTTGTACACTGGGTATCGATCTACATGTGTAGATACATGTGGATAGATCTACTTCCGGGATACCATTGCCATCGACAACTAGCAGATATGGAAACAACTCTTTGATCGAATAGGTCATGCCATGCCACGTAGCAGGGATACAAAATCAATCAAGTTATGCATCTGTATGTGTATGTAATAGTATAATAATGACTCCCAAAGGTGAGTTTTTTATGGAGAGTTTAAGTTTTTTCGGGCATTATGTAATATTGGGGATTTAATAGACGTAGCATCAGCCATCAAATTTCAGCTAATAGTTCCTTAGGTAATTAATTCCTTGATACGGGATGAAGTTACTGCTTCATATTCACATTGGGAAGCGTCATGATGTCAGACGGTAGAACTGGGGACCGTCATTTGTATGAGACTGCACTGTGCTGGAGTGTCACTACCGCTGATGAATGACGTGCCTGAGCAGTCAGTTACGTGTGTTTGAATGGCCAGTATTTTTATCTTGATAAACCCATTACATTTGACAATGTTGTCCGAAGTATGAACATTGAATAACAAGGCTCGATTGAAGATGTCACTGGTTGAGTTATGTGGAGCCTAGTTATTGCCCTAGCACAGTTAGAATGTAGATTGGCCTTCATAATACGCTTGGAATTGGCAAGCTCCCTTCTTGGGGTAGAACCCTTGAGTCAAATATATTTTGTGTGAAAATATCCTGGCGGTTAATTCAGCACAGTTAGTTGATTGTTGCCTCAGTTGGGCTTTTACTCATAGGAAGAAGAGGGAAGGCTATACATCTCATTTATTTGTGGCAGATGGGGGGAGAACAAGAAAAACTTGTCACAGTTATCACTCTCCACGGTCTGAAGTCTCTGATTGATGCTAGATATTTTAAAGGTTTACACCTACGTTAACTGCACATTAGTTTTCAAATATAACTTTATGCATGTATGCAATCTTCTTGATTTTGGTCCTCATCTAATGAAAACACAATTGATGCAGTGCCCCATTTTTCAAGCTCTTTTCAACCTTCTGTTGTTGACCTGCTGTCAATGTATGTATTTATTTTGCATAACCTGGATACAAGGATGATTTGTGGAAAGTATAGGAACGGTTTAGCTTTTGTGTTCTTGATATTTTATGATCAATGGTTAGATGTGGTGTACTCCTTGTATGTAATTTATTATGAATATAATTTGTGTTTTCAGTTGATGCACTTCATTCTCCAAACAAGAGAGTGACATGTATTCACTGCTAGGTTCAATAACTTTTCTTTCCTGTAAAAAATGTAGGCTTGAGTCTCTTAATGATAAGAGATCGGGGGTTGTTCAAATGGTTAAACTAGCAGAGAAAGAAAGAGATAACTTGGAGGTTCGCATTAGTTTTTATCATTTTTGTCTTGTTTCTCATTGTTTCAGTTGTCATGAAGGAATAACATTAACACTTTTAATTTCAGAATATCAAAAATGAAGCTGAAGCTTTTATGTTGAAAGAGCTGGCTCTCCTAAAATGGCAGGAGAAAGTCACAAAGTTGGCTTCTGATGATGCTATTTCCCATGTTTCAGAACTGCAGGAAAATGTGTCTATCTTGGAAGATAATCTTAAAAATGAGAGGTCACTCTTGTGATAAGAACCGAGCTGCTCGCATCTTGTCCATTTTGAAAAATACTATAGGGTAATATGTTTTTTTCGTTCTTATAGGAAAAAGCTTTGTCAAAATTCTGAAAGTTTAAAGGACCTGGAGGCAGTGCACCACAAATATTTAGAAAAACAGGAGGTGCATTTTTCTTCAGTTTGTTATCCATCCATTTTATTAACTTTCGATCTCTCTTGACACTGCAGGGGATGTATAACACGAAACTGTACTATGAATATGTATTCTGTGAATAAAACAGGATAAAGCAGGAGCAGTCGTCTGCTCATTCTAGACCAACTTTATTATTTTCAATTTAGCCTATGTGCTAATGAACTCGGAAAATCAATTCAAAATTATTCTTTTGTAAACCTCTGTGCATTAGCGCTGCGGAAAGTAAAATCGTACTGCATTCACGAAATAAATCAAGAGATATTGGAGAATAGCTTTGGCATTTATATCATTTGCCAAGTGTTTTTTGGTTGAGCGATTTATACTTTGTAAGCAATATACTATGTCTATTAGCCTGTATTCGATAATTGAAAAACGTCAAGGGATTGAATTATTTCCTCTATTCTTTCCGTTTCATCTGGACTCTGGAAATGCTTTAGGGGAAATATATCATTGGACTTTTGTTGGTCTTCGCTGATAATTATGTAGGCTTCCATGGGTCTGTCGTTTTTGTGATCTATCAGTCAATGAAGAATTAGTTTATGGAAGTTCCTGTCAAGAGACAACATTACTAGCATTATATGAGACTTTGCTATTGAGCTCAGAAGTTATATCTTCACCTATCCCATACCCAAATCCTCGACCTTGGGGTTAATGTTTATTATTCCAGATGACCAGAAGACAGACTTCTTTGAAAAATTATAATTAATGTAGAAAAATAGAAAGGGGGCTGGCGTTCTTCCTTCCTCTGGCTCTTGATTAAGTTGGATCCTTTTTTGGTGCTTCTTTACTATGCAAGTGGTGACTGAAAATGCATGTCCCTTCTTCATCTTCATTACGAAAGTCATTTCTTCTAATTTTTTTAGAGTTGTTGCTGCTGTTGAACTTTCCATGCTGTTGTTACTACAGTTGAGATTTTCGATAGCACACACAAAGGAAGAGAACCTGTTTCGTATCTGATTGTCTTAATCAATATCAATGGAACATCAGATGTATTTGTCTTGTCATCCTAGGTACTACACACAGATTGGAGAGTCTGTAGTTGGGTGCTTTTGATGGCCACACACAGCCATGCTAACTGCTCAACTTGTTGTACTATTCAATCTAGTGTGAAATATTCAATCTTGTTGTACTACTCAACTCCATATATATTAAAAACATCAATCCCTTTGTAAAAAACATTTTAGTGTGCTCCGTTATTTCTTGTATTTGTTTCCCTCTTGAAATTTTCCTGATTTTAGAAAAAGCCATTTGATTCCATGAACACTGCTATAAACATTAAGTTAGTTATGTGTCAGTGGTCATAACATGCATATCTTTCAAAACTTACCTGCAGAGAGATCTTTGTACCCGATCCTTCTGTTACGTGGTGGTCATGGTAATGTACCATTGCTTTATGCCATGTTTGAATTTGTTGCACAATTTAGAAACCATTGTGGTAACACAGACCACGAGTGAAATGATAATTCCCAGCATTTAGAAACAGAAAACGGTAAAGTGATAGCTCATATTCCGACCATTTCCGTATTGAGAATAAAGAACGACTTTCATATGACATTTCGATTTGGCCTGTACTATTCCTGACTGCATTGCCTAAATACCCAGCTATCTTGAACACTGACGTTCTCTGCTTCAATATCGTTCCTATCTAGTTTTCTGGTGCTGAAAATTATTATTTTTCACTATTCTAATTATTGTTTATCTTTCATGCCTCTCTAATACAAGCTTAAATTAACAATTTTTCAGGAACTTGAGAATGATCTCAAAGTTTGCAAAGATCAATTCAACGATTTTGAAAGGCAGGATGTAAAATACAGAGAAGATCTGAAGCACCTTAAACAGAAGATCATAAAAGCAGATGAGAAACTTCAGAAGGTAGGGGTATGGATTGCACTATCATCAATAATTACTTGCTTGCACCAATGTCGTTTGTATGCTGCAGGATTCATCTAGAGTTGAAGAGATTCAGAAAGAATGTGAGGAATCTACAGATCTCATTCCTAGACTTCAAGAAGAAATGCCTAAGCTGCAACAGCTTTTATTGGATGAAGAGTCAATCTTAGAAGGAATTAAGGAAGACTCAAAAGGTGAATGCATTCACAATATACTCATAATTCTAAGCTGTGAGTATCAGCTGGTTAAGCATCCTAATTATGCTGTCACCCAAGAGTACATCATATCAGTAGCATACAAATTGTAGTTTTTTCGTTGTAGGGTCACACTGTGTGGGAGTGAATAGAACATATGTTTGACCGTCCAAAGTACTGGTCACATTTTTTTCACTGTTGGATCCTCGTGAGTGACTTTGGTTTTAAGAAGTAAAAGCCAATTACTTTACTGTCAATCTGCTATATGAAGGAGATTTTGCTATAGGGTCCATGACCCTGATCTTATTTTACTAGGGTTTTGTAAAAGACGTCACAACATTTTTTTTAAAGTAGTGAAAGACGAATTTATTGCTTTCTGTTTCTGCGATATTGTAACGTGCATTGGCTGCAACTTGGGTGAAAACAGTTGAAACAAAGAAGCTGAGATCTGAGCTTGTAAATGTTCACAAGGAGTTAGAGCCTTGGGAAAAGCAGCTGATTGAACACAAAGGAAAACTTGATGTTGCATGCACTGAAAAGAAGCTGTTAACAGAAAAGGTTCACTTTTTCATGTTCTGGTTACTAATTTATTTCATTTGGATATTATTCTTTTGTGTCTCATTATTTTGATAAGTATGTGCCTATCTTTCAGCATATATTCTGGATGATTTTTTCATCATGCTGATTTTTATTTTTTTTGAAAAATTCAGCATGATGCTAGCCGAGAATCTCTTGAGAATGCCCATAACCAAATGAATGAGATATCCTGTAAAATCAAGTCAAAGAATGCTGATAGACTAAGAACTCAGAACGAATTGCAGATAAATAAAGTTGATGCATCAGAAGCTCATAAGATGGAACAAGTATGTTTCTACGCCTTGTTTGTATTCTATGTGCATTCACAACATTTTAAATTTGATTTAGCCTCGAGTTTTTTTGGGCAGGAATTGACCAAACAACAAGAACTACTAATGCCTCTTGAACAAGCAGCTAGACAGAAGGTTACAGAGCTCCGATCGATTTTGGAATCCGAAAAAAACCAGAGTTCTGTTTTAAAGGCAATCTTGGAAGCTAAAGAATTGAAGCAAATTGATGGGATTTATGGTCGTCTGGGTGATCTGGGTGCAATTGATGGTGATCTTCATTTCCTGTTGTTTTAAACTTAATTTATCTCTCCAGATGTGGTTTGCTCGTAGATCGCATTGCATGATGCATGGCGAACATAATTATGAATTGAGAGTACTTTTGTCAATATAAAAAATATTTAAAACTGATAGACAGGAAATTTGTTAAAGTTTTTGGACCACTTTGCTCAAAGGTACTGCTTTGACAATTTTTTCCCTTATAGTGTTCAATTTTATTTGTGGGAACAACTTCTGCTGTTTCTTTTTATTTCTGAATTGTGAAGAAATTAAGGCAGAATTCGTTCAAGGTCTCAAATGAGCCTTTTATCGAATAGCCTTCCATTGCCGGTTCAGCATTCTTTTTCATATCTCACTTAATTTTCTCGTTGATGGCTGAATCATTCTATCATTGGCACTGCTACTTTGCCACAGAAACTACTGCCCAGAATTCTGCCAAAAAATGTACACGAATTGTGATGCTTTTCCTATGGCTCCTAAATCGTGTATTGAAGGGAAATTTGTCGACATCTGTTTCTGAAAAAATAAAATAAAATATATATATATATATATATTCATTGAAATATTTCTCTCTTTACAGCAAAGTATGATGTTGCCATATCAACTGCATGCCCTGGCCTTGATTACATCATAGTTGAAACAACTGCTACAGCTCAAGCATGTGTTGAACTACTCCGGCAGAAAAATCTTGGCATTGCAACATTTATGATACTGGTAACTTCACTATGATGTTATGTAATAGATTACATTTAAACATTCGCTCACAACTTTTCAGGAAACCATATTGACTGACCAGAATCTTGTTTCGTTTTCCCATCTACGATTGGCTTTGGAGATTATTTTTTGTGAACTTGATTAGTTTTGGAGTTAGCTTGTATAGATCTGCATTTTCATCATGTTGGGATGATGAATTGAGAGAAATATGGTAGAGGAAGCCAGTACCTGTTTTCACATTGGTATATTTCCTACAAAAAGTGTGCAGGATGAAATTCCTGATATTATATTTTTTTATTAGCATCAATAGGATGAAATGACTAAGATTCTGTAACAATTAAAGTGAAGGTCCAATGTACTGTATATTTGACATTCATCCATAAGCATTTTAATTTATGTTCTCATTTTAATTCCTCCATAAACATATGTGCTATTTTGCTTGTTCCTTACTCAAGGGTCTCTCTCTGAAATCTCGGATGTTCTTCAAGTCTGTTTCTAGATGGTTTCTCGTGGGAAACTGTAGACAAGGCACCATGGATTAAAGAACTGAGAACAAATATTGTACTTTTGTAAACACAAGATGATGCGCTACAACTGCCTGTGTAGGAGATACAGAGATTTCAGAGAGATTGACTATACAGCTTATATAGTGGTACTATGCAAGTGGCTATATCCGTTTATCCTAGAGTGATTGACTAGTTTGGTGTAACTTAAGTGTACATTTTTTTGCTCTTTTGGATTGCCACAGCCGAAGAAATATGATGAAAGATATCATAATTTCCTTGATTTTTTACCCTTGTTTTTGCATGTGCAGTAAATTTAATATGCTGATATTATGTGCCTTCTTAAAGAGGATTTTTTTTCACACTGGAAAGCATTATAATCGTTTTGTACTCAAATATGCTTGATGTCATTTCCATAGCTCTCTGACAAAATGGTTATTCTGTTTGTGGTACAGGAGAAACAAAGAGATAATTTAAGGAGGTTGAATGAGAAAGTCAAAACACCAGAAGGAGTTCCACGGCTTTTTGACCTTGTCAATGTTGAGAGTGAAAAATCGAAGCTGGCCTTTTTCGCTGTCCTGGGAAACACTCTTGTAGCAAAAGACCTAGACCAGGTTTGATGATCTGTTATCCTCCCTAAAAGAAAAGGGTGATTTTTTGTAGAATGACGATAACCCTTTTTCTGTTAATGTACTGCTGTGTAATAGTGAGCTCATTGATACGTCACTTTCCTTCTTTTTCTAGGCTACGAGAATTGCATATAGTGGGGACTCTGAATTTCGGCGTGTTGTAACATTGGACGGTGCACTATTTGAGAAGTCAGGAACAATGTCTGGTGGTGGGGCTAAGCCCCGTGGGGGTAAGATAGGAACATCTATTCGTGCTAGTGTTTCTAATGAAGCAGTTAAAGCTGCTGAGAAAGAGCTTGCTGAGCTAGTCGAGCAGCTTGGCAGTTTACGTAACCGAATTGGTGATGCTGCCAGACAGTACCAGTCAGCAGAAAAGGTTTCTGCCAACTTGGAATTGAGCTTGGCAAAATGCCAAAAGGAGGTATATTTTAAGTTTATTCTGTGTTGAATTTTTTTGTGTGGGTTTGCTTACTTTCTTTTGCATACAGATTGACAGTCTAAATGCCCAATACAATTACATAGAGAGACAGCTTGGTTCTCTTAAAGCTGCATCACTACCTGGAAAGGACGAGTTAGAAAGACTGGAAGACCTTCAGAAAATTATTTATGCTGAAGAAAATGAACTTGAAAGACTAGCTAAATGCTCCACACGACTAAAGGAAAAGGTAATTTTTTTCTAATCTACATTTCATTCCGGGTTTTATGGAACCCTGGATTAACTTAGTCATTTAATGGTGGTCTAAAAAATTGAATTTCTTTTATTTTTTCCATCCCGCATTTATTTTTGTTACCCGCATTATATTCCTTTTCGTTATTATGGGATTGTAAGATGAACGTTTTGATCTATTAGTAAATTTGATTTTATAATGCAGGCCTCTGAACTTCAGAAAAAAATTGAAAATGCTGGAGGTGAAAAGCTAAAAAATCAAAAAGAAAAGGTTTCGAAGATCCAATCTGTGAGTACAGTATTATATACATTTACATTGATTTTAGCGTGCATGTGGCAAATAATATGTTTTTCCTTCCTCAGGACATTGATAAAACCAGTACTGAGATCAATCGTCATAAAGTAAAGATAGTTTCGAATGAGAAGACGTTGAAAAGACTAAGAAAGAGTATTGAAGAGTTGAAGAAAGATCGGGAAATGTCTATTGGAGCAAAAGAGAACTTAATGACTACTTTTAAAGAGATTGAGCAAAAGGCATATAAGGTTCAGGTCAACTACAAAAAAACACAAGAGGTAACAAATGCGATTCTTTTTTTAAATCGCAATCTTTGTAGCCAGCCGCATCTATAATAATATCAATTAAATGACACTGCTCCTATGTTTCAGCTTATTGACAAACATAAGGATGTGCTTGACGGGGCAAAAACAGAGTACAATAAATTGAAAAAGACCATGGATGGCTTGAGGGCTGCCGAGGTTGACTGCACATGAATTCATTTTAATAATTTCTCCATTATCATGTTCGATTTCTTATTAACTTTGTTGTAATCTTCAGGTGGATGCACAATATAAACTGCAAGACGTGAAGAAACTTTCCAAAGATTGGGAAATGAAGAGCAAGGGGTACAAGAAAAAGCTTGACGAGCTACACATTAGTCTTTCTAGGCATTTGGAACAGTGAGTAGTAAACGACGTGCAATTTAAATTTTATTGGATTTTTTACACAAACCGGCGTTTCCCAAAAACTCTCTTTATATGACCCTATCTTCTCTCAGACTTCAGAAGGAGGCTGTTGATCCCATGAAACTTCAATCTGAATTAAGTGACTTATCCAACAGCAGTTGTGATTTGAAAAGAGCATTAGAGATGGTTGCTTTGATTGAAGCACAGCTGAAAGACATGACTCCTAACCTGGATTCGATTGCAGAGTATTGCTTCTGCTATATCTTGGTAACTTTTGTTCTAATCAAAATGCTACTAATTAATTATCTAACTCCAGATATCGGAGAAAAGTATCCTTGTACAATGAGCGTTTAGAGGAACTGAATGCTGCAACTCAAGAGCGTGACGAACTAAAGAAGCAATATGATGACTTGAGAAAGAGGAGGTAACTCAACATTCTACTATATCGTTCTGATTTTCGAAAGTTTTCACATTTCTTCTGTTGTCCAACTGTTCTAAATGATTGGCTCACATTGCAGATTAGATGAATTCATGGCTGGGTTTAATACCATATCTCTGAAGCTGAAAGAAATGTATCAGGTTCTGTTGCTCTCATCATTGCATTCTATTTATATCAAACATTTTTTTTTGTATTCTTCATTCACATCACAAATGCGTTTAACTAGTCATAGCCTCACAGCATTTGAAATGAACCTGAGATCTTTGAAATGAAATCTGACTAGCTTTTAGTTATATTTTTTTGCACTAATTATTTGTATTCACAAAAGAAAGGCCACTTAACTTGTTTGAGCATCTACATCGTCGCTTTTCGAATTGGAAGAAATATGTTCATTTAGTTGTCGTTAATAATTAGCTGGTAAATATCGAAGTTTCGTTGTTTCTATTTTCATTCCGATATTTTGTTTTCTCGCATGTAGATGATTACTCTTGGAGGTGACGCAGAGTTGGAACTTGTTGACTCTTTGGATCCTTTCTCAGAAGGCGTGGTTTTTAGTGTCAGGCCTCCAAAAAAGAGCTGGAAAAATATTGCTAACTTATCTGGTGGAGAAAAGGTATTTATGCCTCCTAACCGCAAGTGCATATCTATTTCATTTTAATATGGAGGGCATAAAATTCTGTGCCATAGTATAGCTAGTTTAACCCCATGTTACCTGCCTAGGTGGGAAAGGTGCCCATTGCTAGATGCTTTTATGATTTCCTGATTTAATTATCGCGTTGTTAAGCCCCTTCATTCTCCAGTAGAAAATTTGTGAGAAAAGAGGTCCAAGTTAGCGGATTGAAAAGTCCAGAGTTATAAGAGTTTATCATAAGCGACATAAAATGCTGAAAGACAACGAAAAACTAAAACATTGAAGGCACAAGAATAATGTATACTTTTGAGTCCTTTCTTGGTAAGTACATATTTGGTTCTTTTGAATCAGGACATGGAGCATCAGACTTTATTTTTCAATCCTTGTTTGATTTAGATTGTTGTCATGTTCAATGAATTGGGTACTTATCTTCATGTTCCTTTTCATGAGCTCCTCTTTCTTTCTATCCTCTACCAATAATCTATTCCCCTGTCCACAATTCTCCTACACTACAAAGTTACTTCAGGCATTCGCATTAATGGACAATCTTGGTTACGGATCGAATGTAATTCAATGTGTTGTGCATTTTTTAGTTCAACTTTGCCATTTCGATCTGCACATCTAATTGACCGGCACCTGATACATGAGATAGATAAATGAGTCTACCTACCAGGCGCCTGATACATTTCCCTATCTACTGCAGCGTCTTCCTCTGTCATTTCAAGATTGAGATTCGGATCTTTTGTGGTACTCGCTGGTTTGCATGCGGTCTTGCCTGTTTCTCTAAGAAGATCCATAACATCTGTTGAGAGATGAAGATGTCCTAACTCGAGTGAGCTGCTTCAATCCCTAGAAAATATTTTAAACCCCCTGGCCAAGCGTTAGCTCAGATATTATTAATCGTTATCCTCATTCCCAGTCACTAATATGTCAGCAACATGTTTCAAAAAAAAATTAACTCCCTTGAGGATGACTGTATATTGAGCAGTTTGTGAGATCATCCTGGTCGTCTTGAACAAAGTAACCCTCAACCAAACCTTAGGCTACAGCAGAAGAAATGAAGCAAACCCTAGATTCTTTGGAAGCTAGCAACTACAATCTGGCTATGTACCACGTTGGGAATAGTGGGCAAACCTTAGGGGGATATGCTGAGGAGAAGCTGAACTCGTATCCACACATAGAAGACTGTTGTCTACATGTACTAGAGCCACAAAACAAGGAAACTACCTAACAACTAGGAAACCGACAAGCTAGGAAATGAACCAACAAACTAAGAAACGGTCCAACTGAGAACCGAACTCCTATTTTTATGCTATTTTCCTACAATATAAGTTATATTATCTAGGGCAACTATCTGAGAACATTATCTGTGCAGTAACAGAGACATGGGAGAAAAAAAATCTATCAGTCCTGTAGAACTTTCTGCCTGTGTGAAAATATGGAAGGGGATATGAACCAAAAATATGTCTGGAAAAAATGGTAAAACTCGACATTTGTCCTCATCAAATTTAGCATTCTTTTTATGCCAGGATAGAAACTTTCTATTATTTAGTTAGACCTACTCTGTGCGTAAAGTTATGGTAACCCTTCAATGTTCAAACACGTTGGATCCTTGATGGGTATTTGTTTACTGACTTGCATCCTTGATTTGGCATTTGATGATATAGCCATAAGAGTATGACCTCTTTATTGAAGGGAAGTCCCAGCCAGTGCTCCCTGAGATCCAGTGAACGAAAGATGCACTGACGTCAATACTGTTTTTCTTATCCTAAAAGATAACTGGTTGTTTTTTGCTCTCTCAGTTTATTTATTTACTTATTTGAGCTGGGATTAGATCTGAGCTGATCTGATCTTGCGCAACTTGGTTGGGTAAAACTTCTGAATAACAGAATGTCAATGCTAGCAGTGTTTCTTGTTGGGAGTTGATAATTCCAACAAGATGAACTGGCTTGGGGTTGATAAACCTCAATACCGCAGAAAATGTTGGATGTATCCTCACCAAGGACCAAGGTTGTCCAACCTCATGGGTCCTTTCCTGGGGATCTTCAGCCGTCCCCCCTCACCATTTGACTTTAAATTGTTTGTTGGGCCAAAGGATTTAGTCCAAACCAGTTAGTCTCCAGCACAGCCCGTATGTAAGCCTCTTAGGCAAGTGTCTAGTGTCTGGACTTATCAGGGTTGTGGATTAGGATATTGACTTTTTAAAGTTCTCTTACTTTGGTCGGGTTTCTCATATACATCGTATCTAAGTGTAATTTGGACGGGAAAGACTCTTAGTTTGGACTGCATATGTTGTTCTTCTTAAATAGCATGGGTAAAACAATGTAATTTCCGCTGAAGTTTTTGTTCTACTTTCTGAGAAGTTCTGTCCCTCAAAAGATTCCTTGACTGGGCTTGTGTACAATTTTGCTCCATGATCCCTGGTATTGGATAAATGAACAACAGAAATCGTTATATGTTCTATCGAGGACCTTCAACTTGTTATCTTTTGCTTATTGATAGCTTCAATTATGTTTGGTGTTGGGTTAAATGCTCTCTTTTCAGCAGTCACTTATGGCTACTAACTTTTCTTTCAGACACTGAGCTCGCTAGCACTTGTATTTGCCCTGCATCATTACAAACCCACCCCAATCTATGTGATGGATGAGATTGATGCTGCACTGGGTACTCTTCTAATATTCCTAATTCAAACTTCTGTCTATTTTCTTGCGATCGTTCACATTCTCAGGAAAAAAAAATTCTCATGATCGCAGATTTCAAGAACGTCTCAATTGTTGGTCATTATGTGAAGGACCGAACAAAAGATGCTCAGTTCATTATCATAAGGTAATTGATGAAGATACTTTGATTATTTTTTGTAGGTGTGCATAACTTGTGCCCCTCAACTTCACTCTCTCTCTCTCTCGATAAATATGTATATTCCTACATTTCTCACATGCCTCGTGCAATAAGTGAATCATCAAAAACATCTTCCTCATTCTCAGTTGCTCTACAGAGAAATCAGCACTTCCAGTGCTAGTTTGATCTCAATTGGGTATCTCTGTTTAATTCCTATTGCCATTTGTGATTACTTACAGTCTCAGGAATAACATGTTTGAGCTGGCGGATCGACTTGTCGGCATTTACAAGACAGACAATTGCACTAAGAGCATAACCATCGATCCAGGAAGTTTTGTATTCTGCGGCAAAGTGGCCTAGCAAAATCCTCGCTTCGTGTGAAAGATCTGCTTGTGCAAGAGCCCCAATCAAGCCCACCCACTTTCATGTGTAGAGCTTGTGAAACCCTCGTCGAGTATGTTATTGTTATAATTATTACAATCCTTGGTGCACAGTTTGTGTACGTGTAGTTGTTACTTGTCTGAAAGATTGATGATGTTATGTAGCTTCTTGGAATGGGTTGAGGGCTCTATTTGTTTGAGCCTTTCTTTTGTCACCGATTTCATCAAACGAATTGGAGCAGATAATGCCAAGTAAACTGTGGAGAAGATTACAGCATTTTTCTAATGTGGATAGGATATGGATTAGGCCTATTTATAAGCTCATCATTGGGATTATTGATGCCATCACTTTATTCAGAGCAGCAACAGAAAAGCCACCAAGAGGAAATTCCAACGGTGGATTTCTTTAAAGAATTGTGTAATTCCACCCCTCATTGCAGTAGACCGTGGGCCTTGTGACGACTTTTATAAAAAAAAAGAAAAGTTAAATGCGAAAGCAAACAATTTATGGTTAAAGAGATCTGGCCATGCCACGTATTTTTAATGATCTTTGACTTTAATAGTCAGATGACGGCTGTATTTTCAATGATTTTGATGTTGGTTGAGAAGAAAAAATCCAGATTTATTTAGCAAAAACTATGACACATTTAGTATGCATTCATTCCAATATAAAGGACATTATTGAATCCACCAGGTACTAGAAAGTGCAGGAACTTCCATCATAAGTTCCTCCAGCAGATGGGACACTAACTAGAGAGCTGGCTTGTAAAAGGTGATCCGAATTTTTTTTCCAATCTTATGCCATCTCATGCCCGAATATTAAGGATCAACCATAAAGCATCTCTAGCTTGGCATTAATGACCAAATGAAACGAGCAACATGGAAAGCATTTGATGATAAAATTATTGGTCTGATTTACTAAGGAGTAACTTGACACAGAAATTTCAGTAGGCTGCTCATGATTTGATGATAAATGCTGGCAATCTCATAATATAAACTCTCTTGGAAACAACCCTCTGCATTGATAAATGAATTGATTTTATTGTATAGTCTCAGGATAATTAAGGAACTTTCCGATTTATACCAATTGACCACAATGGGTGTTGTTTAGCATGTTATTCTTACATTGCATGATGCTAGATCAATGCATATCTACTACGGAGCTTAATCATTCTCATGGGCCAAGTAAAGAAGAAAATAAGGTTGTCCTGCTTAATTGGTCCACATAACAGTTGGGAAAAGCTGATACGAAGATCTATAGTGTTAGGAAATTCTGAGATGGATCAGAATCGGTCTTTACCTATCAAGTTCCAATGTAGAAATTGAATCCCAAATCCAAGATCAGATCAGACCTTGTGATCACCTTCCTAATCTGATTCCACAGACCATGGTCAAGACAAAGTTGGAAGTTTGAACTGAGCTATTAAGGCAAAAAGTATATATGCTACCATGTTGACTTTGTAAAGATAAGAAGAGAGGATTTGAGGAATTTAAAAGAGTTGACGAGCATGATTCATGACACAATTTCGAAGTGTTTAATGACTCAAATGACATCTAAAATTACTGCATTGTACTCTGCTTCAAAACTGACCTTATACCATAGTGAAATGTTAGATATTTTTGACTTGTTTCTTCAAAAAATGGAATAATTTGAAATATTAAATCCATAATTCGGTGGTGCTTGATTTTCTATTTGAAAATAAGAAAGCTTTCTTGACATTCATGGGTTCTTTATAGGTTGTACACATTAAAGCAAAACAAACTTCAAGACTAACCTAAATATTTGTTCTAGCATTAGGAGAGACCACCTACAACAAAACTCTTGAAAAAAACCTTGAAAAAAATCTTAGTGCATGTATTTTAGACAACAAACATGTGGCACTAAGATGCTTCTTTAAAGAAATTGAGGCACTATGGTGGTTAGAAACTAAAATACTTAAGAAGTGATCTGGCCAACTTTACATTTACTTAGGATTCAAATGAGTATACGATTGAAAGTTATTTCTAGTTTCCTAGATCAAGTTTACATTCAATATGTATCATTAAATATTCACTTTGAAATAAATTTTAATAACAAAATCCATATTAGAAATTTCATATTTAATCATTATCATTCATATAGCTGCCTGCTCTCACACTAACTTAGACTTCTAATGATTGAACTTTTATTTTATGGTGAGTATTTCATATATTCATGGAAGAATCATAGTATAGTGGATAATAATTATGATAATCCTCAATTTAGATTATTTATGCTATTTAACACTACAAATTTACAATGTAAGTGGAGTACATTGGACTATTAATGTCAAAGATGAGACATAACATATTGACATAGGTACTCTTTTGATAGAAAATAATATTATGATGATGCATATCTTCATTTTATTTAATAAGAAACCGTCATAGCGGTAAAGGCAACAGAACCTTGTCGTCATGATATTGAAAAGTTATGAGTCTACACCTTTTAGACTCTTAATAATGTGACTGAATTCTATCCTCTCTTACAACACATTGTTCTCGTGACAGCCATGGCCTTTTGTATGAATAACTTTCCCTCATAATTTAAAAATTATGTGTGCCTTTTATACATACTCTTGTCGGCTGGCACATGCTCACACTTGTTGGCCTTACATTCATCCATTATGCACACTCACATTAGTTGGCACTTCACTCTACATTGGTCACACTTGTGCACCTACACCAATGTGTGTGACAATCTATTGTAGTTGCCATTATACGTCTTGTGACACCATTGTTGTGCCACTTCATGCCACACACACTTATGTGTGCCTGTGTGGTTGTGTCATGTTGCTGCCACATCACCACATACTACGTATGTTGGCACATTACCATAAGTCTATCATGAGTGCTTACATTGATAGTCATCTTGACTTATGGTGCGAGTGAGATTATGTCAGACAAGAACTAAGATCCTTTATGTTGAAGGTACATCCTCCACCACACTAAGAGTCAAATGTTCTCAATGGATAGTGTTCCTCAAGGTACTTTCAGATGAGGTCTTTGAACTACCACATATCAATGTCATATTCTCAAGTTACATCCTTCTTTGGTTGGCCCCTCAACTTAACGAAAGAGTTAATTTGGTAGTTTGTGTAAAATTATCTATCTTGGTTCATCTCTTTGCAATTTAAGATTATTTCAATAATGTATGTATACTAAGTGTGCACCATTGACAACACTTGGTGAGGATAATTGTGTGTTGCATCCTCATCCTTACCATGATAGGACTTAAATGGAAAGATATGAAAGACTAGATCAATCTTCAATTGAGGTAAGTTAGACGACTTACCCTTGCTACAATATCAAATAGGCCACCTAAGCAAGGCACAAAACTATGATATCATTTTATTTTCTTGACATTCTTATGTATTAATTAGGGTTGATTTAAAGTAACACGCAATTATCTATAGTGAATTACACTTCATAAGAATATTGGTCTCATAATCCTTCATCTATTGCATTGCATGTATTTTTACTAAGCATTCCATATGTGCTTATCTAAATTAGTGTGCCACCAATCAATGAAGCGAACAAGTATACTTTACAAGCTTTCATAGGATTAAGAGTTTGACGTAGTAGAAATATTGACTTGATGATGATTTGAACTAGCTTAATAGCCTCAATTACATTGAATTGAAATCTCTTCATCTTGAGTCCACAAAACATAGAGATAGTCCCTTGAGTTTACAAATAGTTTGATTTAGAGTCCACAAGATCAAAAATAACTTCATAAGTCTACATAGATACTAAAATTCACCAACAAAAATAGAGAACCTCTAAAAAGAAAGATAACTCATAAATAAATTACCTTTGGGGTTACAAAAGGGGCCTTTATTTAGGGTGAAATGTAATTATAAAAAACTTAGAAAAAATAAGAAATTATTATAATCCCAAACAAAGAGAAAAATAGTTAAAAGTTTTTTAGAAAAAATGAGAGTTATGCTTAGAATGCATTTAAATAATTAGGGGGATTTATTTCAAATATAAAAAATTAAAAAATATGAATAAAAATGAGAATTGAGATTTAGTCACATTTAACATGTAAGAAAATCTCTCATTTAGTCATTTTGAGTTAAATTTGGGCCAAATAGAGTCTTCATGTCTTCTAGTAGTTAGTTCACTTGAATTGGCCTGAAATAGGGCTGCATCTTTGTTCCTTTTAGGATCATAAAATCAAATTGTGAAGGATTATGACACCTTCTAGGTCAAAATATTTTCATCCTTCATTTGAAGCAATTTTTAAGCCACATCAAAATTGTTGACCTATTCTGAGCATAAATATTGATCACCTCATTATCAAACTCTACATTAGGAGAAGTGTGTAATGTCTAATTAGTGAACCTATTTCTTTTAGTTCATCAACATGTAATGAAGGTGCTTATCTAAAAAAATATTAGTTTACTTTATCTAACCACTAATATATAGATAAAAGTTGTTTAGAAGTGTGAAGCTTGTTAATAAGGTCTTTTAAAACTATCCAATAATATACATATCCTTATCATTGACAACATCTCATAATAGGCCTCATTGTTTTATCATATTATTAATGAGGAAGTGAGTCACTTATTTTACTAATAAATCTATTCATATTGGCACAAAAATAACACTCTTAGAGAATCTATCAATCACAATAAAAATATATCAAGGGTGTTCACCTTTAGTAGTCCCATAATAAAATTTATAAAGATCGAGTCCTATAACTGACTCTAGATAGACAAATCAAAATGTACCTACTAACTTTACATAACTTTGTCATATTAATAGACTAAATAAGAGTAAACTTAAGCTTCAATATATTCAATTATAACTAAATATAGATAGACAAGAGGACAAGTATGCAATCAAAGTAATTCATAATTATAATTTTAATATAGATGACGACATAACTTTTAAGAAGTCAATGACACCACATACAAAGTAGTGTACAACAGGTATGATCTCTTTCTTGTGCACAAAGTAGTGTCACTTCTTGTCACTCTACATTTTACTTTCAAAGGTCACCCAATTGCTCATCATATATTAACACATTGTTGATGTCTAAGTATGATACATTAATCTATCCATCTAAGGATTGTCAAAGTTGAATAATTTTAAGATTGACTCACTTGTTATTGGTTTCTTGAACCATAATTCATTGGCACCTCTTGATCTACTCCAACTTCATATCTTTTTTTAATTTTTTTTCTCAAAAGGATTTTTCAACTACAAGTAGCTCTATGCAAACTTCATATCATCATTGGTCTTGCCCAAGCAATATTATAGATCTAATTTTTAGTTTGACATTAGTCATTTTCCAATTACATGGAATTTAAGCTCAATGTACTTGCATGCCACCATGTCACATGACATGGCTAAAAAAAGTGATATTTTTAAATATTAATTCACACTTCATAGAGTTGAAGTACAATTGATTTTCTCTCAAATTTTATAGTACCACTTTGAGATCTGTCTCATACTCAGTAAGTTTTTACTAAATACAAAAATGTTATCCATATAAACAACCTTGAACCTATTAATATCTTCTTTAATAACTTTTATAAGGATAAAGAGGTGGTCGGTGTATTAGTGAGGTCAAATGTTATCATGGTAAATTCAAAAGACTCATAGTGCATCACATGTTATCTTGAGTGTATCAGCTTGATATGAATTTAGTAAACTCTTAAAGTCCTTCCATAAGAAATATATGTCTCATAAAATTGATCAAATAATTCTTTCATTTATGACATTAAATATTTGATAGAGTCAATATATTCAACCTCCAACAACTCAATTTATTATAATCACAACTCATATAGCTTTATAAATGAAAACTAGACAATAGTTTAACGACATGGTCCATCTTATGTTGTGGTGTCAATTGAGAGTCAAAACTTGTGATAATATATTAATTATTTCCTTCAAAAGTAAGTCAATTTTTAATGAAATTGATGTAGTGTGATGCCTTTTATTGATGCACATGTCATTGCCACAATCATGCTTATTTATGAACATGTAATCTTATCATCATTTGATATGTCTATAGTGCTAATAACCTTACATGACTTGTTTACTAACACCTCACATGATGCATGCATTCCTATCCCACTAGTAGTGTAGGGTAATTAGTCCCACTTGTATCAAACTTTAGAGAGAATTTTTTCTTCGTAAAAAGGAAAGTATCATCAATCCTATATAGGTCATTCAAAAGCTATAATGTAAATAACATTTGTAAGACAGTTTCTTGAAATTTTGAAATAAAATATAGGCTTTTTTCTAAAAAAACATCATAATATAAAATTGAGGGAGAATCATTATAAGTAACCACCAAAAAAAGTATATTAACGATAATAGTGTTAAAGTCAAATATCAACAACATTGTGAAATCAATCAACATTTAAGATATTGATTAGATTATGTTGTTGAGTTATCAACCTTGATTTTGCCATCTCCTTGTGACAATATAAAGTTCAATTGAGATGTGACTTTCTCAAAGACAAAGATATGGCTTCCATCATGTAAATTATTATTGTGGTAAGTTTATAAACACTAGCCTCAAGATTGATCAAATTTGATCTATTAGTCCAACTAGTGTCTATGTAATATTGCAACATGTTAAATAGCCAAAGGGGGTTCAAGATGACTGCATTATCTCTTATTGCCACTTTTTATGTGGTCATTTCATCGACATTCTTATATATAAATATTTTACACACTAATTATGTTATATTATTGATATCATGACATTATATGTAACACCACTATTGATGTGACTTAGTCGTTATATAATAAATCACGTAAATTTAAAATTTATAAAACTAAAAAATACTATTTTTTTAAATATTTTAAAATTATTTCAGAATAAATAAATCAATTATAATTTTATAAAAGGTTCCAAATATAGTAGAAAATTTTAAGCTTGATTATAGGAATGTAAGATAATATCAGATAATATTTTAGATTTTTAAAAAAATAATATATATTTTTTATAATTTTTAGACTAAATGATAAATATAAAATATATTTTAAATTTTACAAAAAAG